CCTTGGAACATATGAAAACATAGCGGAACACCTGGCTAAATATATAAGAAAAATATCTGAATTTTGCAAAATAAAAAGATGGCAAATCATAGACGGCATACAACCATAGACACAAACTAGTCATAGACACAAAGAGTGACTCAGCTAAATAAAGAAAAACACAGCTATGAACTTACATTATTGCAGCGTTTCAAATTTCATTAGTCAAATAGCTAGCTTCTTTAGTGAGAAATTTTCTTAGTTTGCCGTTCAAAATTTCTCGGCACACTGGTTGAGAATCACTGGGTTATTGTCTTGAAATATAAGAGAAATCCAATATTGTCTTTTCTTAGTAATTTATTAAGTGAAAATAATATTATTGTTGTTTATTACGAATTTAACGTCCAATACATTATGATTATGACATTATGGACAGGTTCAGGTAATTAAGATATTTACATATCAAGGCGTAATAAAACATGAGTAAAAGCATAGAGAAAAGAAAAAATAAGTTCTTGTATATCAAAATGTCACTTTAAAACGGTGTTAAAAGTGAAGATAATGCCACGTGTAGGATTAACTCATTTACACACTTCTCTGTTATTGCTAACTAGAAATAAATATTCGTCGTCTGATTCCTACAAAATGAAATGGGGTTTAACGTCCTACTGTTCTGCTCTGAACTGGGCTAATGAAGACGGGCATACGCCATACAGTGTGCTATGAGGGACATTTTGCCCGGACAGCGGCACTACGGCCTACTCTTATATCGAATTCCAACTGTCAAGGGATCTTATACGTGCACGCCAATGTGTACACGGGACCTTGGTTTTTCGTCCCATCCGAACGACTAGACAGCTGTCCTTGTCAGGCCCTTCGTCCTTCATCACTGACACGTGGGAACCACGCCAGAAAATCTGGATGAACTTTCTCGGCCAATGCAGGGATCGAACACCAGAGTCCCGACCTCCAGGCTAGCGAGCCAGCGTCTTACCCACTTAGCCACCGTGACCCCCTACAATATGACGAACTCGAAGGAACCAGTGCTGAGGAATCAGAATGAGACAGATATTCATGTCACAAAATCCTCTGTTGAAATGTCACTGATATCGGGTCGAAATTTTTTTTGACCCCCCGCCTTCTACTGGAAAATGTTGGCTCCGTCACGGTATTTGTCTAAATATTATTATATCTTATGGTAAAAATAGCAGGGCCTAAAATAACGTGTCTTGGAGCATGAACGTGCTTCTAAATGAAAACTCCGTGCTTCTAAATGAAAACTCCGTGCTTCTAAATGAAAACTCCGTGCCTCAAAAATATGAAAACCGTGCTCTGAAAAAAGAAAATGGTGTAGTGCTGAGAAAAAGTGTAAGATAGCGAAGCCTCCTGACCCCTAACGACTGTTTCGTCTTGTAATTCAAATATTATCGTAACAAAAGTGGTGCGTTATCTTCATAGTGCTGAGTTTTCATGCGAAAAAAAAGCTGAGCATAGCTAAATAAACTCCTATGTGAACAGTACCAAAATAATCCCACAATTTTCTGAGGGAGGTTCCCCACCCCCGCCGGCGCTCGCGGGCGGTCGTCTTCTCGGACACAGAATCCGTGCAACTAGAATTTAACCTTTTTTCAGGCCCTGATTAATAGGGATAATGTTTATATGACCAATAAAATATTGTAAAATGAGCCGATATAAAAACTAACATCAAGTTGAATCACGTATCTTTGAAATAAAAACTACAACTACAATATTGACAAAATATCAAATCTTTGTTGTTCATTAAACATTAGATTAGTCTGGGTGGATTTTATTTCTCATCGATCGCCTCTCCGGAGTTTTCTGCATACGATTTTTGTCGAATAATAAACTTTGGTGTACTTCTTCAGTATAATTTACACTATTCATCAATCCTATAGACTAACCCCTACTCATAATTCACCGGTAAGTTTCGCCATCACTGTCAGTCGGTTAAAACTAATCCTTGTACAGCTCAATGCATAATATAGGCAGCATGGGATGAGCATGAAAACGAACAAGATGACGTCTTTATTAAACTCGCTGGTGTAGAAAAGTGGAAGATTACACCCCCATTTTGTTGTTAATTTCCTCAGTAGTCAGTAGTGGGAAGGGGGGGCTACTCTTGGAACTTGGAACTTAATCTTCCCGATCTGAGAAATATCTTTGATTCTTTCCTTGTTTATACCCACAATTCTAACCCTACCCCTTCAGAATAGTTTTAGCCAAAATCCACCGTTGCTACAGATTCAATTTGTACGTTTGACATGTCATTTATAAACCTAACCCTAGAGAAAGATATTTCTCAGATCGTACAAAGATCTTGTATTGTGCAATGGCTAGCTTGGAATTTAATTACATATTATATTAATCTTTTAGTTTATAACCCATATTAAAGATTGCCTGTTCACTGGCTAAATTTATTTGTTAAAGGCCAGCTCAATTTTTGTCATGTCGCTGAGATGTAAAAAGGTTATGGCACATGATTGTTGGCCTAGGGTAAGCATTGGGGCTAGGTCCATGTTAGGGATGGGATTAGCACTAGCCCTGTTTACATCTCGTGACCTATGACGAAAAACTGAGCTGGCCCTAACCCTGTTCCTCTTAATATAAGGTTTTGATGAATTTAGGCCTTGGACTCATTCAATGTTTTACTCATTTTCCAATGACAAATCAATTTATTTTAATTAACAAAAAAAAGACAACCGTTTTTTGTATTTTATTTTTCCACATTTAATGAAAACAATTATTTCACAAATACTACATGAATAAAAATATTACTTTAATTCTCAACTTTAACAATGTGTTGAATTATTAGACCTGGCCATAACATAACACAAAAACAGGCCTTTTGATTAGTTGAAATAAATTATGATGGAACCAATCAATTTTCATGCAGTCAACTATTAACATTTGATGAAGAACCCAGACATGTAAAGATGGCAGCATGCGACAAACAGCACTAGTTTATTGATAAAATGAAAAAAAAATGTACAGGCCAGGGTACACTACACAGTGCCCCCCCCCCCCAATATTCAAGCTACATGTACCTATAATTCAAGTAAGACAGGTTATATCCTCAAAAATCAAATCTGGTCAGATGACCATTGCTGATGAATGAAGTTTTCATGGTAAGTCTTATATAATGTTAAAATAATCCCGAAATAGTGTCTGTTGTAAAAAAATTTGAGCATGAACCACTGTCTATAGTGTCAAGAATCTCAATAATATTATATTTTTCGATTAGACTACAACTCACTTTTTGGTATAATATAATTGAAAGATTCAGATATCAGAACCTGTCCCCCTCCCTCCTTCTTTACACACAGACATCTATGCCTACAACTTTAAGATTTGAATCCCCGGTTGTACGTGACAAGGAGTAGGGTCGCCTGTCCAACCTCGTGGGTTTTCTCCGGGTCCTCCGGTTTCCTCCCACTGCTAAAGACCCCTATGCGCAAGCGAATTATTGAAATAAAATTAAACCATGTTAGTCCCGAAATGTGACCTAGTTTGTGTCGAGTGGACGTTAAACCCCATTTCTCTCTCTCTTTTTAATTAAGATTTGATTGATTAGAATAATATATTTGTACAATTATCCCATCATGTAGCACAATATTAAGTAACAATCATTTTAAGTGATCAAATCTCTCCCATGGGAAATATTAATAATCACCCAACAATGAATTAATGAAATTTATCAATCATATGCTACTAAAATAAATTAAGTCGCAAAATTTCAACAATCCGTGGAACTGGGTGGGTGGGTGGGTTGAACGACACTGTGGATAGAAAATGATCAATTAAATGTAGAATCGTGAACGGAATCATGTCAACATTGTCTTATATTATTGAACCATGCACACATTTTGTTACTCTGTCGACAAGGGCAGGTGGGAATGGGGGGGATCTACACGCTGGTTATATGTTTGGACGCAAGTGTTGAAAAATTGCGATTGTCACTAACTATAATATATTACACAAACCATGCATACATTTGGGAAACCAAAAAATATAATTTATAATGGTCGTTATTTCTTCATAAATGATTCACAAACCATTTCCCACGATAATTTTTGTGTGGTCGAAGGGACACACTAGATCATTAGGCATGTTATTTATGCCATTAATGAGTTTGATCTCAGAGTGCCTCTTGCTACTACTTCTAACAATTTGTTGGGGCCAGTGAATTATTAAAATATATATAGAGAAAAATGGGGTTTAAAGTCCACTCGACACAAACCAGGTCATTTTGGGACTAACATATGGTTCAATTTTATTTCAATAATTCTGTTGTGCGTAGAAGTCTGTAGCAGTGGGAGGAAACCAAAGGACCTGGTGAAAATCCACTAAGGATTGACAGGCGACCTTACTCCTTGTCACATACACAATCAGCAAATGGAAACCAAGTCAGATGACCCAATGGCAGACCTTATGATACAACACGCATGAGCTTACCATTCAGCCATCCAATGCCGCTATTAAAATATAAACATACCCCCATGTTATTCCCAAAAGAATATAATTATAGTTTGCGTTAAACATACATTATGCAAGAGCTAAACTTCCTATTTGCAGGTCTTTCTTTTGGCCTTAAATGTTATATAAACTATTAATTACAATTCTATCAACATGACAAAACCATAATCAACTTTCGTCGCCATCTGATGGGTCCGTTTTTCAACAGATTTGAATCCGATCTGCGGTTCAACGGCTGTTGATGATTAACCGCAAAAATGGGTAATTGAGACTTTATTATCGTAAAATGAGGATTTCTCTGCTCAGAGTGAATAATTTAAATGAAATTTCAGCATATTACATTATCTATTATTGAACTAATGTAGCGAGAACTGTCAGCTCTTTATCTAATCTCCCATAATGAATCTTTAAGCGGAAGTTAAACCCATTTCTCTCTCTTTTAGATGCCATAATGATTTTTGACATTCAATGTTTCAAAAAAGAAAAAAAAAGAAACCAGGTTAGTTCTGGATTAACATATGGTACAATTTTATGGTACAGGTCTTTTAGCAGTTGAAAAAAACCCATTGACCTAGAGAAAACCAATGAGGTTTGGCGGCAAACCTACTCTTTGTCACATACAGATGTGGAATTTGTTTTATCTGATGTGCATGCATACGGAAAGATACCCATTTTTAAAACAAATAATAATAATGTACATTTATGATTACCTTACTCCATCCATATCGCATGCTCTCAGCGAAAGGAAGATAATAGCTAATCATGATAAATCACAAACCAATGAGGTTTGAGTTTAGATTTTAACATTTAAAGGCACAATAAATCGGTTCGTTCACATATCTCAAAAGTCAATATGTACTACAATTGTTTAACTGAGAATATTTGAGTACAAAACCCCTACATAAAGAATACGTAGTGGCAACGAAAAAAAATAAATAAAAGTACTTTTGATTGTATATTAACCGGTATTCTGTCATGTTGGGGTTTTGAACTAAAGAATATTTCTAAGGTCACACCTATTTGATTTCCGGTTCTTCGTGAAAACTTGTTAAAATATAGCTGCTTATTTCTTAGGAAATGAAATGGTGTTTAACGTCCTGTGAGCTATGGGGAAATTTTGCTTTGGCAGCAGCACTATATCCTAGTCTTACATCAAATTCCAAGGCATCTTTTATGTGCACGCCAGTGTGTACTTGGGACCTCATTTTTTCGTACCATGTGGATGACTAGACAGCTGTCCATGTCAAGCCCTCCTGCACCACTGACAAGGGGAAACCACTCCAGAAAATCCTGAAGAACTTTCTCAGCCAACACTGGGAGCAAACCCACGACATCTAGGCTAGCGAGTAAACGTCTTACTCACTTAGCCACCCTGGCTCCCTTATTTGGGAAAACAACCCAAAGTACTTGTGCGCTGTTTGAAAGCTTTTAGTTTCAAATATTTAAATTTTAAACTAAACAGAATTCACGTGTATTTATCAAGATTCCTGAAGAACTAAAAATTAAATTGGTTTGGCTTTAAACTAGGAATGAAAACAAATTAATCGACACTAATAAAATTCAATTGGTTTGGTCTAACATTAATTATATACATTGTACTGATGTCCAAAAGAAAGTATACACACTAAAAATATGGCTAACTTTTGTTTAGATTTAAAAAAATTTGATATAACATTACAAAGCTTGTCTCTTGCATCCAAACTCAACATTTCTAAGCGAAAAAAAAAAGAGAGAAATGGGGTTTAACCTCCACTCGACACAAACTAGGTCATTTCGGGACTAACATATGGTTTAATTTTATTTCAATAATTCGCTAGCGCATAGAGGTCTTTAGCAGTGGGAGGAAACCATAGAGGTTAGACAGGTGACCCTACTCCTTGCCACGTACAACAGGTGAATCAAAACCACACCAGTTGACTCAATCACAAGACCTCATGATACAGCACGCACATGCTAACCATTCGCCCATCCAACCCCCCACTTTCTTTTGGACATTACTATAGTAAGAGATAATGTTAATAATTATACATCATATCACTTGTTATTTTATTGATATAAATCATATCACTTGTTATTTTATTGATCTATGGTAACAGATACTATATTATCACTCTACATGCTGGCAGATATGTAGATGTTTTAAATCACAATACACCTACATTTTTCTCACTCGTGACATTACTCTGATATAGAATATATATTCTTTATCACACTGTGACACTACAACTAGAATGATATTACTGTGAGATATATGTTATATATCACACTGTGACACTACCAGGATGATTAGACAACAGATGTTGGAGAAACATCAACAAATGAAATGAAATGGGGTTTAATGTCCTATTGTTCTGATCTGACTAGGCTAATGAAGATGGGCGTACGTCATGCAATGTGTTATGAGGGAAATTTTGACGTGGCAGCAGCACTATGGCCTACTCTTAAAGACCCAGAATGAAGTAATTTGACTGAAATCTTCAACATATTCATTGCTTATTCTCTATTTTTGAACTAGTGTAGAAAGAACGACCAGCTCCTTATCTAAATCTCACATAATGCATGTTTAAACTTCACCTTGTTGATCAATTCAAAGTTAACGAAAGATGAATTGTTAAAGTTGAGAATTATTTATAAAACAATGAATTAAATTCTGATCACATCACAAATCTCTTATATCTGTACAAAATAATGTATTGTTACCTTATATGGAAATGATGTACAAATATGGAATTCAGCACATTTGATGTCATAATGAATAATTAGAATTATCAATGGGTGGGGTGGGGAGATACAGTGACCATGGATAATAATATTTTGCTTTTTTGTTCAAATAAAATATATATTCAATTTAAATTATAACAAATATTTAACATAAAACAATAAATTCAGAGGGCCCTGAAAGGAATATTCTAAGTGCACAACAAAATGCATTTCTCTAAAATCTCGAAAAGACGGCATTTTGCCAGGAAGTTTTATTCCGTCATGTGCACGAAGAAAACAACAGAACACGCTCATTGATAAAACATGGGGAAATAACCTTTTTCAGTATCCAACAAAAACAATGTGCAATTAAAAATATAAACAATAAATTGTTATTTACAATTTTTGATAAATTTTTCCTCTGTTCCATGAAGTAAGAGTCAAGTAAATAAAACCATTAAGGTTGCCGATTCCAATTGTGCATTTATTTTATGGACATTAAATCTGAATTTTCGAATAAAGATAAGCTCAAGTTCTAATCAATAGTCTGTAAACCAGGCCCCAAGTTCACAAAGCCTTCTCAGAATTAAGTTAAGAAATTTACTCAACTTTCAATCACTGTTTATGAGAAAAATCTTTGATCCAGAAACACAAAACTTAGCACATGGTTTCTTAATGATGTTTTTGATACATTAAAACAACAAAAGTTTTATTAAGGGCTTAGGTTTTTCATCCTTGCCAGGCCCTCTGTCCTGCACGACTGACAAGGGATCCATGGCTTACTGACATATTCATTTTAATCCAATTTAGAAGCAGATTGAAATGAGTTTTTTTAATCTTTTGGCCACACAAAACTTTTAAGACATGTATATGGTAACAAAACTTTTGGTAATTTTCATTTTAATTATTATATATTTAATGCAAGGGGAAGAATTTTGTCCTAGCAAGAGACATTTCCGTCTAATCTCCTTCGAACTTCAACTGCCAAGGTTTGTTTCATGTGCATGCCAATTTGTAAAAAGCTAGACTCCACTTCCTTTGTCTGCCCCGGAGATGCAACATGGGCCTAGAGCTGATTACAATCAGTAATTCAGTAGCAGAAAATATTCTATAATATATTTTCGACAATTTTTCAGTGTATTCAGTCAATCTGATTAAAACACAGATCAATATTTCGTTTCGTTTTTTTACATTTTCGATGGCCTACACTACATGAAGATCTGACAAGTTATAGTGGGAGTTCACGTCAGGTGTCAAACGAGCGGCTTTTGACCTTATGACGTCAGACATTGATTAATCAATCAGCGTTGACGTTTCTAATCGTTTACCCACAGTTCCATGCATCAAAAGGCCAAGAACTCGTCATAACAGACCGTTTCATTGGCTAATCCCTCACATCATCCAGAACACATCGATGATAACTCTTCCAGATCCTTGTGTAGTAAAGACAAGTAAAACGAAATTTTGAACTATAAAAACAAAACGAAATAAGATCTGTGTTTAAATCAGATTGTATATTCCGTATACTCCTGGTACATATATATCAAAACTACTTGCAAGAAATAAACATAAATATTTCAAGACAAACGAATTAAACATTCCTGGTCACTGCTCCCCCTTCCCATAATGCACCATAAGTTACCATGATCACAAATCGTTATCCGATTCAGATTTGGTTATTTCAGATTTATCAATGCCGTTGATTATTTTACTGTCTTGAGCATTGTTTGTGATACTTTTAGATGATATTTCCAAGTCTGGATCTTGGAGTTTCCAGGGCTGCGGACTCCAAGTATCCGAACTATCATAATTACAAGTTGTTTCAACTGTCTCTACCTGGGACTCCCTGTGGTTTTTATGTTCTATTCGTGAGTCTGATTCTATTTGCTTTAATTCATTTCTACAGTCGGTGATATTGTCCGTTTCCATGGCTTCTTCTTCTTCAGTGTCTCTTTCACTGTTGTCATAGTTGTCATAGTTACCATTACCTGAATAATCAACTAATCCTCTGTCTTTTGTTTTAACCACAAGGCCATCATTTGACCTTGAAATGGAGTCATGTGTGACGATTGGCCGATGAGGCGTGTCTGATGTATTTGCGATTAGATTATTTGCGGACGAGAGATGATTATCGGGACACGAAGTTAGACTGGAATTGTGGGAAATAACCGCACTTTGGTCTGTATATGATTTAGTTTCCATGGGTACCACTGTATTGTTTGTTTCCATGGTGATACCGTTAGGGACGGCTGATGTATTTTTACGCAGTTGTTCGTTTTCTGTCTGTAATTGTGTGAGTTGTTCTTTCGTGTCTTTAAGTTGTTGCTGAAGAACATAGATCATACTCTGCATACCCTCCACATCCTCCTCAAGGTCAGCCACAAACTCGTCCATCTCTGAAATAGTTAACAAGGTAAAGTACTGAAGCTGTTCTACAAATATAATTTATTACTTATCAGTGCAATATAAATTGATATCTTATCAGTGCTATACCAATTGCTTTCTTATCAGTGCAATATATACTAATTTCTTATCAGTGTAATATATTCTAATTTCTTATCAATGCAATATATACTGATTACTTATAAGTGCAATATCAACTGATTTCTTATCAGTGCAATATACATGTATATTAATTACTTATCAGTGCAATATATATTGATCACTTATCAATCCAATAACAATTGATTAATCAGTGCAACTTATATTGATCACTTATCAGTGCAACTTATATTGATCACTTATCCGTCAAATATAAATTGATTGATCAGTGCAATATATATTGATTACTTATCCGTCAAATATAAATTGATTGATCAGTGCAATATATATTGATTACTTATCAGTCAAATATAAATTGATTTATCAGTGCAATATATATTGATTACTTATCAGTCAAATATAAATTGATTTATCAGTGCAATATATATTGATTACTTATCAGTCAAATATAAATTGATTTATCAGTGCAATATATATTGATTACTTATCAGTCAAATATAAATTGATTTATCAGTGCAATATATATTGATTACTTATCAGTCAAATATAAATTGATTTATCAGTGCAATATATATTGATTACTTATCAGTCGAGTGGGTGTTGGATGGCCAAATGGTTAGCACGTCATTGAATCAACTGGGGTGGTTTTGAATCCCCGGTTGTACGTGACAAGGAATATTTGTTATGGAATTATCTTTTAATTTAAATCTACTAAGTTTTGTTTGTTTAAGATTATTATCTGAACATAAATTTTTTGAGTAAATTGAATTTGAATTTATTGGAAAAACTTTAACCCCGTAGTTTCCAGCGAGCTTTGTCATATTGCAGTGATAAACAACTGATTCCAGTCACACACCAACTGTCCACAAGAAAAGATCATAAGTGGTGATTAGACCTTGTATAGTGCTACGGAGTCGGGGGGGGGGGGGGGGGGGGTTAATGCAAGCTTGGGAAACCATAAGGTGTGTAATTGAGTCAAGTGGTGTGGTTTTGATTCCCTGCTTGTACGTGACAAGGAGTAGGGTATCCTGTCGAACCTTGTGGGTTTTCTCCGGGTCCTCCGGTTTCCTCCCACTGCTAAAGACCCCTACGCGCAAGTGAATTATTGAAATAAAATTAAACCATGTTTGTCCCAAAATGACCTAGTTTGTGTCGAGTGGACGTTAAACCTCATTTCTCTCTCTCTCTCTCATCAGTCGAATATAAACTGATTTATCAGTGAGGTCAACTATAATAGCAAGGTCAGGGGGACTGAAGCACACATAAACAATTACACAATATAAATAGCCACCTCAAACAACAAACGTATCAAGTAAATGGATCTATTGGCTAGCTGTAAGCGTCCATTGCACTGTACAGTCAAATATACATGTAGTGATGCTATATTCTACATATTTTCAGATAACCCGTAGACCTGACAATCAATCTTGTTGGATCAACTCTTGACGGATAGGTCAAGATGTATTTGAAATAAGAGAATAGCTTTTAACGTTAATATCCTGGGTGGCTAACAACTAAAGAGAAATGGGGTTTAATGAATCTTCAATACAATACTATTTGAAACCACCATGTGGTAATTTTTATTTCCATGATTATGTGTGCATTGCCAGATGAAACATTTTATTATTACAGCATCATTTCTGTTTTTCGTTTTCAACTGTCAATTTTTTTCTTTCCACAGAAAAGCAGATCATTGAACCACATTTTAGTTCATTTCTTTTATGTGCACACAATTATGAGAGAGAGAGAGAGAGACAGAGAGATATGGGTTTTAACTTCCACTTGAAACAAACTAGGTCATTTCGGGACTAGCCTAGTTCAATCTTATTACAATAATTTGCTTGCCAGCAGTGATCTTGAGCAGTGGGAGCAGAACGGGAGACACCCACGAGGTTAGATAGGTGACCCTACTTCTTGTCATGTAAAATGCCACTTGACTCAATGACAGACCTTATGATCCAATGTTCACGAGTTAAACTACTAGACCCCCTCCCTCCCCAACAATTACGTAAACTAGTGGCCTTGCTTTTTTAGGTCCCATCCGTATGACTAGGCAAACTTTCGTTGTCCGGCCCACCAGCAAGGCTTGAAAAGTCCCAAAGGTTCTTTTTTGATCAATGCCGAGATTTGAATCCATGACATTCTAGTTCCGACATACCCCTTTTTCCAAATGAAATGAAATGGGGTTTAATGTCCTACTGTTCCTTTTCCCCCAAAGGTACAGGTGTTTATGACTAGTATTAGTAATAAATTATTAAAATAGCTGACCTTCCTGTCCTTTCTTCATCTCTGTAACTAGGGTTTTCTGTAAAGCGATTTCTCCCTCTAATTTTGCTGTTTTACCAGACGCTATCATCTTCCCCAACTCTTCATTTTCTTGTAACAACATACGACATTTGACCATTAGTCGTTTACCCGTTTGGCTGGAAGGTAAGAGTAGGTATTGTTATATACAGTCAGTTACAAACATACCAGAATATATTTACGGTTAGGACGATACAAGTCTCGTTTCACAGGGCAGCAGATCTAGTCAGAGTGTCAGCAAAGAATTCATTTATTAAATATTAACGACAAAATTTCATTGGAATAGATACATTTAAGTGAATTTCACACGACAGCAAATCAGAGATTGTGTAGTTACGTATGCAATGCAAGAGAAGAGAAGTTTGCCAATACAGCAGCACTTCTGCCCATTTTTCTTAAAATCATATTTATTATTGCACAATTAACAAGCACTATTAATGTGTACTAGCCCAAAACAAGACACTTTAGACTTTAAGCCTGCCAGCAGTATTTCTCACATGTGTGGAGTTCAGCACAGCCCACATGCAGATAATAATTCTTTTCCCTACAGTACCAAATAACAATGAAGTGTGCAAATAAGCAGGTTGATTTTGAATAGAGACAATCTTTTTCTCGTGATATGGTACTAACAACAATACTATCAGTGTTATCCTAGCAAGCTATCTTTGGTGTGCAGAAATTGTATCGTCATAGCCGCAATATGAAAACTATCTTCGGTGGACAAAAAAGCAAATTGACTTAAAATTGAAACCATCTATTTCTCTAGGACTATATTGAAAAAATCCTATAGTTGTACCATCTAGCAACAAGATTAAATCCATCTTCACAAAATCAAGATATACAACAAACGTTTGATAACTTGACTATATACTGGTTAAACGTCATCGTACAATTAGCTGAAAATATTTTTTGAAACACTTAAACAGACTTCTTCACGCATTAGTTGAAAATAACATTCAAATTGCTGTCATTTGTCAATATTTTTTCCTTAGGATGGTTGAATCAAACTCTCTATATGCCAAACATGAGATCATTTCTTCATTCATTGCCAAGATACTGGGCCCTTATTCACGAAAACTTAAACTAAGATACAATCGAAATTTTAAGAAATACTGCAATTCGATTGGCTGACCAATATGCAAATTGGATATATGCAAATTGATTTTACTGGTCAGCCAATCGAATTGCAGTATTTCTTAAAATTTCGATTGTATCTTAGTTTAAGTTTTCGTGAATAAGAGCCCAGGTGTTTTAAGATGCAGTACAAGTCATACACATTAAAGTCTCTAGTAGTTTTCAAGGAAATGCTTTGTTATTAGCATGTCGGGGCAGTGGAGTATCCACCTGCTCTGCACTCAGTTCCAACTGCAAAGGGTTCTTTTACATACAAACCAAAGAGTACATGGAACCTCAGTTTTTCGTTCTGTCTAAATGACTATACACTGTCCTGCACCAATGACAAGAAGGAACCATGGGAGCTCCAGGTTAGAGAGCCAACGACTTACTGAGTTCACCTTTAGTTTCGAAATGCATTCAGATACCTTCAGCAGTACAATAAATTCTGCTAATACAGTCTAAATAAGTTTGTTGTAATATCTTGAGTTTGTGAAGATACATAAAAAGTGTTAAAAGACACAAAAAAGCAAGCGAGTGATTGAAACTAATATGACATGGTGAGGGTATACATGTATCTAATCAACATACACAGAGTTTTTATAACTTGAAGGATATAACTCTACACTTTAATAACTTTATTCCAGGCTAGTAATTTTAAGGACACAAGCCAGAATAATAAGGATATAACTAAACTAAACTTATTCCAGGCTAGTAATTTTAAGGACACTAGCCTGAATAATAAGGATATAACTTTATTCCAGGCTTGTAATTTAAAGGCCTCAATAAGTCTACACAAGCAAGAATAATCTATCATCATTAATCAGCTTTCAATTACACTAATTGTAGAATTTTCATATTCATTTAGGAATTCTAATGTTCTGAAGTCTGGTACTTGCAGTATAAATGAATAATTCTGATTGTTTATTATGTTTATTATATCCCTGTAAACAAAGGTAATTTCGGTAGCTAACTCATTTCAAAATTAGAATTTTCAAATATATTTGAGCAATGTGGAGATTAGTAGTATTCAATAAGTTTATAGTTGACCATACTAACTTCAAGCAAAGAATGGACAATATTTACATGTAGTGAATTCGTGGAGTCTTGTATTATATATGTTCCCATCTTCATTAGCCCAGTGGGAGAGGAACAGTAGGACGTTAGTCATGTGTTATATGTGTTCACTGTGTTCAGTTCAGGAGTTTTGTGTTATATTATGTGCCATGTCCAGTATTATATGTGTGTCTAGTCTGTTTTATATGTGCAAAATTGATCACATATCTGGAAAATTCTGAATACATGTATAAGAGACTTAGAATAGAACTCATTTTATTGCCAATGAGCTGATATATGTAACTCCGAAGGTCAAACTTTGATTCAAGCTAAAAGTTGGACTTTTACATTTCAAAATCATCAAATCAGCTTATAAATTATCAAATCTTTTTGGGCTACCGGTATAATTTTTCATCTGATTCTGAGGAAACTTGAGATTTAAATTTATATAAATGAGACCTTTCAATTTTTGTGGTTCAAATATGTGAAGATTTTACATGGTGAAATAAAACTTGGTATATGTAAGTTTATCTCTTTTTGTGGTTAACTTTGTAAAAATCAAAGTATGTATTAAAAGAGGAATGATTTTGAAATATTGTTCAATTAAAATCTGGTTTATGTCCTTGAGATAACTATATGCATATTATTTCCCAGGGCAGAGTTTGATGGCCGAATTGTTAGCGTGTGAGCACTGTATCATAAGGTCTATCATTGAGTCAAATGGTGTGGTTTTGATTTCCCGGTTGAACATGACAAGGAGTAGGGTCGCCTGTCTAACCTCTTTGGTTTTCTCTCGGTCCTTCGGTTTCCTCCCACTTCTAAAGACCCCTACGTACAAGCGAGTTATTGAAATAAAATTAAACATGTTAGTCCTGAAATGACCTAGTTTGTGGCGAGTGGACGTTAATCCCCAATTCTCTCTCTCTATTTCCCATGGGAATTAAATAACACTGGAAATAGCACCGGAAGGCAATGGGCTATTAATAACCTTTGTATTTGCCCTGTGGTCTTATAGTTATATCAATAAGAAATTGGCTAAGACTGAATTTCATGCAAATTATTTCCCTTTGAATAATCATTGATACAATTCTAATGAAACTTTACGCTAATCGGTCAGCTTCATCACTTCTTCATAAATATTATCGAGAAAAAAATTTACTACAAAAGTCAAAATAAGATTCAAAACCAGATTCCTAGCAACTAGGAAAAATTAATATTTTATAATTGCACAATATTTAATTAATGCTCTTTTCTATATAATATTCTTGACTAATATTTAAAATACACCTTAGTAAATAACCATATCAATATACAGTGTGGTCAAAGATCAAATTATATTTTTAACTATTTTGAAATGCATTGTCTAATTTGAACCTGATGAGCAGGACAGGAGAGGATGCTTTAGTGGATGCGAGAGAAACAGAGTTTAACTTCCACTCAAAACAACTTAGGTCATTACGGGATTAACATGATACAATTTTATATCAATAAATTTCGGGGTCTTTGGCAGTGTAAGAAAACCAGAGAAAACCCATAAAGTTGGGCTGGTGACCTCACTCCTTGTCACTAGTATCGAAACCATGCCATGTATATGTTACATTTTAAGACACTTCTATTTTAGAAGATGAGTATAATGAAAAAATGACTTTAGTACATAAAAATAACAATATTATATGTATATACCAGTACACAAACATGATGAGAAGTTGTTTCGTAATGTAGATAAGATGTTTTAGATTATATAAAATTGCAATCATAATCTCAAGTATAACAATTTGTTAAAACTGCTGATTGTCACTGGAATTTTGTTATTTAGAGAATATCTAATTTTCACAGGTGATATTGCCTTGCTTTGACCGTATCCCTTTTATATCATCTGAATAAGATGCCGAATGTTGACAAATTATCAAGTCATCATATCTTTGTAGATACTGGAGGGAATTAAAACATTTTATGGATCTGATATTCCATTTAATCACAATATTGTAGTTTGTGAGTGATTGCAAAGAAATGAAATGAAATGGGGTTTAACGTCCTACTGTTCTGCTCCGACTGGGCTAATGAAGATGGAGATTTAGAAATAAATTTAACATCCCTCAAATGACGATCAGAGACATGAATAATTGGAAGATATAATTCAGAACAGTTCTAATGCATTGCTTCACAATAAAAACAGGTGTATCGTCACATTAATATACAGGTGTATCGTCACCATAATATACAGGTGTATCATCACCATAAAGTACAGGTGTATATTCATCATAATATACAGGTGTATCTTCACCATAAAATACAGGTGTATCTTCATTATAAAATACAGGTGTATCATCACCATAAAATACAGGTGTATCTTCAAATCTGATTCAGTCAGAACTTAATTTAAAGTTAGTAAACAAAAATAAATATGCAAGGTACATTATAGTGTAAAATCTATCTGTGAAAGCATGAAGACCTTGAACAAGTCAATTCAATATTCATGATGAATTATCAGAAATAAATATTGATAATGTAGATGGAAGAATTAAAGAGAACATAAGAATTCATTTTAAGAATATTTAACTATGAATAAACCAATCATGTGGTATACCAAACAGTGCGAATATCTAGCACTGTTCCTTTTCTTCATCCCTTCACATATTTGTTATTAAAGCATGAGTTATATCCTTCAAGAAGTACATTGTAGTATACAATATTTAACAAGTTTTTCTGCGTCAAATTTAACAAACCGTATAACCCATTCACATTTTGTTATTTGCCAATGCTATGCAATTCTTGAAAATTGCCCATATGTGGGTTAGTGTGAGGAATTTTACAATAAGGGCTGTACATGTATTGACTCGTATTAACAATCCCCTTCCCCTGTTAGGTACAAGATAAAAGGTGACATACATTAAAAAACGGTTGATCACAAAAAAAAAAAACCAAACAAAAAATAAATAGATAAGAAAATAAAAATACTTAATACTGGAATTGCCGATATATCGACAGTTATACCACAAAAAGCAGAAACAAAATTCACCTGCAGGTCGCAGAACATTCTCCAACTCAAGGGAGGATACTCTTTTTATAGTTTGTATAATTGTTGCAGAGAGCAACAATTCTTGGAGCGTGTGAAAAAAAAGAGTTAATATGTCTATTTACGCGTCAAAATTCCTGATGTAGGAATACGACAAAAGTTAATGTACCACTTGTTGTAAGTTCAAAGACTTTTGTCTTAAAAAGACATACCGACACAGAAACTTTACGTTTTGTCCATAAAGTTAATTTCTAATGGTCATTCAATGTCTTAAAATGTTTTGGGTTTGTTTCGTTAGCGTTCATGATTTAAACCCACAATAAACCATGGAGAGTTTGTACATTACCGTTATGCAGTTACGTTTGTGCTAAAAGAAAACAAAAAACTGAAAAACCAGAAATGTAACAAGATTTTCCGCTGCTCACGTCCAGCAGACAAATAGGAAGAAAAGTCTTAGCTAGGACACTGCTGCATACAGAACAAACCCCACCGACTGTTTCCATCGTTACCAAGGCAACCAACAGTTTATTTGGCGTCTGTTACCATCATGGCGGCCATTTTGACAAGTTGTAAAGTCTGATGTCCCTCGACAACAAAAGTGTGAAGAGTTTAATTTGTAGAGGTCGAGGGTCAATGTCTAATAATGTTACCAATGTTTTTAATATACACCTGTCAGGGGTGAATTTCCAAGCGCTAAGTTCGTTTTGCGTTTGCTTCAGTTTGTCTTTACAGTCATCCATCTCTTTCGTGATTCGTTGGAACACAAGGTTTACAGCAGGGTCCAATAACATCGTTCGCAACTGAGCCATACTTGTTGTCTGTCCAGCTTTCATTTCTTGTATTTGATTCTGAAATACAAACAGAAATTCAAAATATTAATTAGAGAAAGACGTCAACTTGACACAGGCTAGGTCATTTCGGGACTAACATATGGTTCAATTTATTCCAACAATGTGCTTGCATGTAGGGGTTCTTTTGCAGTGTGAGGAACTGGAGGAAACCCACAAGGTTGGACAAGACGACCCTACTCTTTGTCACATACAAGGTTGGATGGATGACCCTACTCTTTGTCACGTACAAGGTTGGACAAGACGACCCTACTCCTTGTCACGTACACGGTTGGACATGCGACCCGACTCCTTTTTACGTAAAAGATTAGGATCGAAACCACGCCACTTGGCTCGATGACAGACATTATGATCTAAAAGTGCATGTGTTAAGACAACTCGACCAAATTCCCACCACGCCCATACCACGTCCGATATCACAAGACACCTGTGACATCATTTGCACAAGTCACCATATATGTTTGATCAACTTGAATATTGGAAGCCCAGCTATGATGCACTGCTATGTGATCGAAGAATAAAACATACATTTTAAATTTTTGTTTCCCCAAATCCTTAAAGATCACCGGAAAAGTATAACATTAAGTATAACACGATCCCAAATGTTAATGTTACCTGCCACAGGTAAATTTCAACATTAGTGATTTCCGCCGTTCTCCATTCGTAGTCTTAACTTTCCGCCAATACACAAGCTGTGACATAATTTTAGTCCTGCTCATATAAATATAGACTGGAATATAAGCAGAATGACTACAATTTCGTCACAGCCTGTTTATTGGCGGAAAGTTACGACTACTCACGGAGAACGGCGGAAATCTACTCGTTGAAATTTACCTGTAGCAGGTAACATTGACATTCGGGATCGTGACATACTTATGGAAAGGATATGTTGACATAATTCCTTGAAGCGTTTCCAGTGACCTTTAAATTATTAATAAATCAGAAGTTGCTTACCATACAATCTTGTAACTCTTGTTCTTTATTAGTCAAGCGCATCACTAGAGTATTTTCTCTACGAGCAGCTTCGATACTCTGTTGTTTTAATTTATCGTCTGAGTCTTTACCTTCCTCCTCCGAACCTGAAAAACGAAAACAAAATCCTGAATAAAGCATCCAGAGAGAGGAACAAAGACTACCACACCCATATACCCCATTTCAACAGGGAGAGACAGAAACGGGGCTTAACGTCCAATCAACACAAACTAGGTCATTTCAGACAACTTGTCAGTACAAGCTGGGAATTGCAAACATGCTACTTGACTCAATGACAGACATTATCATCCAAAGCTCAAGTGTTAAGACCACCTAACTCCCATTTTAACAGATAAAATGGTGACAGGAAGTCTAAAATGTCAATATGAGATATCAAGTCATATAGTTGTAAAGACTTTCTGACCAACTTATGCACACGCTTCATAGGTAGACCAGCCACGGCAAAAGATCCCTTGACAGCTGGAATTCTATACAAGAGTAGGCCGTAGTGCCACTGTCTGGGCGTTTTATTATGGATGAAGTCATGAAAAATGAGATTTGTTCGCGAAATGCACACTGAACATCGGTGACTTTAAAAAGGCACTTGTTGAAGATTAATTCTGAAACTAATCGCCCCCAGTTTGTTAGTGTCTCTAACCAGAAATGTGCCTGAAACAGTGAAAGTGGTACAAGTACAAATAATTTTACCTTCATCTCGAGTTTTAGTCTTTTTAATCTCCATATGTTTTATATAGTCATTCTGTTCTTGTAATCTAAAATAATATACATAAACATATATACAAAATAAGCTTTGACTCTTCATCACTCAAACTGCACTAGCTAGGGCTCCTCAGACCTCCCCAAATCGCCATATCTCGGGAAGTTTGAGGTGGTCTAAGCAAAAGCAGTTTCGGTCTGTCAAATGTAATCGTGAAGTAGACTGGACTAAGTACAACCATAAAGTTGTGAAATGTCCTTAAAATGAAGTAGTGTGCAATAATGTGCACAATTAAAAATTGTCCTTAGAAATTCATCTGTGAGTGATTTATAGCATAATTCTTTATAAAAAAAAATTTCCCTTGGGCAGACTATCAGTGCTTGTAGAGAGTTAAATTGAGATATTGTCAAAAATGTGGAGTACCACACCTACAGAATCTAAATATACTATACTTACTTTAAGACCAGGTCTTCTTTCGACAAACTTGACAAATCATCCAGTTCAGTTTTTACCTGAAATATTCCGAGATCTCCTTTTTCATACTGATTAAGACTAAAATTCATGATTTATTTTGTACAATTTGGCTATATTTATATAAGCTTATTAAAAAAATGCCTGGCGAAAAATTACAATTTAAATTCATATGAATATCTCTACTTACCCTTTTCGGGGAAGGGGGCCCGTCAGTCATCTTTACAAATTTGCTATCAACCAGGGATGGCTGAAAAAAAGAAAAAAAAGTAAAAAAAAGTTAAATATTGTAATTTTCATTATCTAGATACAAAATAATGCAACATTTACCACTATTTGTAAATCAAAGACATTTAAATGTACACCAACCCCAGACTTATTTTAATTTTGTATGCCAGCACTAGCTACAACATTAATCTTTGAGAGACATTTAGTAACTGGATAGAGCAATAAACTATAACAAATACTTATGGAAAAACATAGCTTGATTACCTTGATAACGTTGAGAGAATACTCTTCGAAACGTCGCCAAAATAAATAAGTAGCTGTTTTTCCATAAGTATGTATAGCCACAATATTGTTGCAGTGATACTGTGTTCACGGCTACAATTGATTGTCTAAGAGGCTTCGTGCAAGTAAAGTTAGGTTCAAAAAGCACAATTCTCAACATATATGTATACAGTTTGTATTGAAATAAATAAATATTGTGGCAAATCATTCACAAGTAGCAAGCGAGCTACTAAAAGGTCATATGGACATGAAATTGATATCGAAAGTGACCTACATCAGTCATTGTTTTTTGAGGGGCTTGATTGCTCGCAAGCGCTTGTCACGCACCCAAATGTCGACCGAGGGGAGGTTTTTCTCCTTCGCCTTAAAATTGAAAATCACTCTACATATTTGTAAATCATGGACATGTATTTGTTTTTTTCTTCAAAAGAGTGTGAAAGACTCACATTCCAATCGCCGTCATTGTGAACATTTATTTGGTGTGTTCGATTAGTATAATGTGATCGCACATGGTAATAAAATTCTGATGAATATGTTGCTAAAAATAGATGATGCCTATGCACCATTGGTTAATTTAACTGAAATTAAAGGTAGAACTCTCGCGAGACGTGATAAATTACGAGAGATGGCACCTGAAAATTTCAAATAATTCCGGAAGAAATAGATTATATTTTGATGGAATTTTCAAGCATTTATTATATTTTGAATAGGGGTTATGTTTTTAAACAAAATTTATACAAACTATACATATTTAGAAATGTCAACAAGTCTTTCTATTGGAATATCGTATGTAGTTATAGACGACAGCAGTAGTTTGACTTGACCGTACTACTAGTAGCCTAGTGCTATTATTTAGCAGACGATGTTTATTATTATTTATGTAACCAGGAATGGCCCCCTACAAGCAGTTATTGATCTTCAGAACCATTTCCCATACAAACAACTAATCACTCTCCTTAATATCCGATCATTCTCCTTAATTTTTAAATCACTCTTCTTATCGAAACTGGGAGAGCTTTTTTTAGGGGAGCAATTTTTTCAATTTGTTCATTAGGGAGAGCTTTTTTTGGCTCTTCTCTAAAATACAAAAAACGACTGCTACATGTATGACCATGAGAGATAGAGTGCGAATGCTGTTTCTGGCTAGGCAGACATTTTAAGTTGGATAGGAGAGAAATTTCGTGTAGCAGTTGGGTTCTATCAAATCATATAATTATGCAGTAAGGCTTCACCTTTATTTCAGTGGGAAATTGTTTATTATATGTTAAGCTACAATGTATGTGCAGTACAGTTTGGGGTCAGTTTATGTGGAAATTAAGGGAGCTACAGGCCAGTAACTTTTTTGTACTCATTAGACTAAAAAACTTTCTCAAAGGAAACCCCTAGTCTTAGAACGACCCACTACTGTGGCTGGAGTAAGACGGAAGACATCAGTAGTGGAACCATTTCTATGCCAGCACCAACTGGTACTACATTTAGCATTAGGTTTTGGAAACTGAAGAATAAATCTAAATCTGGAAAGAGATAGCACCAAATTACTATAACTGATAAAGGGAGGGGTGGGTGGGTGTCTGTATGTGTGTGAAATAATACAGTTTTTAAAAGCTAGGATTTTATTCAAATAATTACATTGGCGTATCATTTTTTGGGTAGAGTCTTGTAGGCTTACTGGGTAAATTTTTTAATTAGTATTAATTGTTCAAGGGAGATAATTGCATAAAATTCTTTGCCATAACTAGCCTACATGATAGTACATGTATTATTATTATTGGTATATTATAATTGATTGGCTACAGTCTGTCAAGGGAGATAATTGCATGAAATTCTTTGCAAGTTTTCTTCGCCATAAATATTACTGGTTTAAAATTATAATCAATTGGGTACATTCTGTCAGTTTTGCATGTCTGTGTGTTTGGAGGAATTCCATCCATTTCCACTCTACTAGTAGTTACTACTACTGAGTAGGCCTATAACTAGCCAACACTAGACACATTTTAAATTTTATATTTTCAAGTTTGCTCAACAAACTCTTATTCTTATAAATTAGGTTACTGGTAAAAGCTTGTGTATGCCTACACAAATAGTTGGACTATAGTCCTCGGGGAAATGACCAGAGACCAGAGCTGGTCTAATGGCAATCACTGAAAACGAAGTCTCCTCGGCAAACAGTTTCATAGTTTGAAAATGAAACGGACAACTCCGAGTCCCTTCACGCTTCACTTTACTTTCACAATGTTCTTGATCTAGCGGCAGAAAAGAAAAACAACAACCCAGTTACCAATGTTCCTAAATATTGATAATTCAATTTCGCTGATACCTGTACAAATCTCTAAAATCCACAATGATATTCACAATTTAACAAGGAAATTCCGTGTTCGTAATTGACTAACACACATTGCAAATGGCGGACGGCGTCCGAATTTTTCACTTCCGCTAACTCAAATCATCAACTTGTGCTAAAAAAAATCAATAACCCGCTGCAACTATACAATAACATACCTGATTACCGAAGTCTGGACGAAGCACAGAATGGGAAAAACACAAAAAAGACGATTTCTATTATAATTCTTTTCAGTAATCAAAATATAACTACTATTTTGTGTCACTGTCCAGGCACGCCGCCATGTGCTAAAAATATGCAGATTTAGGTCGTAAAATGAACGGATGGACTACGCAGAATAGAACATGGCAAAAAGAAGAAGCATCAGTTTGATAATAAAATGAAGAGAGCGAGATAACAAACAAAAAATAAATTGACAATAACAAATAGTTATACTTTTGTTTTGTAATTAAATCGCCCTTTTTTTTTTACTGAAAAAGGTATAGGACTTAGGAATCAATTTCCTCAATATTTAATGAGCCTATATAGGTACAGAGCAGGCAGATGCCTTTTAAACTCTATAAACTTAACGTTCATCCTTCAGTAACGCCCGACATTGACGTCAACAAGTTACTTTTGAAAAGATGTATCGTTAATAGCTCACTAAGTTGTTAATAGAAATACAACAAAACAGAATTCCATTACATACAAGTTGCAAATTTATATAGGTACATATGGGCTCGATGAATGTTAGGAGGGCAGAACCTGAAGTGAAATGCTCAAAAGCATTTCGGGTCACAGGCGGCGGTGTCGGTCGTCTACGAAAGGTGAAGGGGCGGCGCTAAAAGTGTAGCCCCCCCCCCCTCCACCCCGCAAAGAAAATTTGCAAAATTTGAGCGTCGCAAACGCGTTTTCCCAGCGCGAATCGTGATAGTGGTAACCTGGCATTAAGACGGCCATTAACATCTATTTCTATCGTAACACCTCACTGGTTTGCACGAATAAAATAGTCAGACCTTTCATGCTCCTTAACGCCGTCACACGTGTAAAAATAAAATAGATATTTGAGTAACTTCCATTGTTAATAGTATGCCAATAGTAATATATAATATAAAGACGGTGTGTGAAATTGTATACGTATGCATAACATCAACGATAAATATGTGGTTGGTGTAAATTCATTATTCATACATTTGAATCATGGCGCGATTTTTAAATTTGTTAATAGCCAGAAGCCTTTTATGAAGGATGTTTCATGTTAAATCTAGAAATGTCAGATAAATTTATACATAAAATGGACCTGCGCATCCTAGGTATCCCCTTTTGGTCTCCACTGTAATGCATAGGCGTACGGGCTCGATGAATGTTCAGATGGGGTCGGATGGGGGCGGGGGAGGTGGGCAAACGCGTCTTCCTGCTATTCCAGCCTTTGAAAACAGCAACTTTAAAGTGGTCTAATATAGCCTAACGTAAGTGGCTGATTCTTCGAATTCCAATCAAAATATCAATCGTATATACAGTCCACGGAGATAGTCCCGTCGGGAGAGAATATTGAAAATTAAACTGCATCAAACGCGTTTTCATGCTATTCAGACCGTGAAAACAGCAACTTCTATGTGATCCAATATATTAGCCCACCTTAGGTGACTTACCTGAATCCCAAATCCTAAATAAGCAATCAATCGTCACGGGGTAATGGGACCTCGCGCTCCCTGGGAATATTTTGAAAAATTTAACCACCGCAAATGCGTTTTTCAGCTAATCCAGCCAGTGAATTAAGCAACATCAAAGTTTCCAATCGGTTTGCAACCGAAATCCCACTCTATGCCGACCTGAATTCCAAACATCCAATCCGACTGTTGAAACTGCATTCACAAATAATAATCGATTCCCGAAAAACGTCGCTCAAAAGTGGCTAAAGACAAAATGCTTTAATCTATAGTCAATTCAGGGCCCTGTTTCTCGAAATCTTAACTAAAGACAAAATCCAAATTTTAGTTGATACTTTAATTTTGATTGGCTAAGCACTAAAATCAAACTAATTATATCCAATCAAATTACTAAAATTGGATTTTTATCTTAGTTAAAATTTGGTGAAACAGCCCCCAGTACAAATTTGTGGTATTCATTTAAATGAAAAGTAAAATGAGTGTTTTATTATATTTCGGGCACTTTTATTTTTCCAACTAGATGAAATAATAATTTTTGTTTTCATTTTACACGTCTGCCCGAAAAGTCAGATTGCCCGAAAGTTAGGAATAGCCTATAGACTTGTAACATCAAACAATAAGGATAACGTGGACAGGACCATGGATCTTATAAAGGAATGTGGACACCGCACCTGGAAATTTTATCGTTTTTTATTATCAATTATTAAAAGTCCACCCTCTTCATCCCCATCAAATATAATAAATGGATAAAATTTCTTTATTTGAATTTAAAGAAAATAATTCTTGCCAACGTTCCTAATTCCTCATCTAATCCGTAAAAAAATATTTCTCTAACGGTAAACTCCCCCGTTTGTTTGTATATGAGAATTTCACAAAAAGTCACAAACATTAATTCACAGCTGTTCTGGAGACTAAAGTTTTGGCCTGCAACATCGATAAAGTCATTGCAATATTTGTTTTCATGCGAAGAAATTAGGAAAAACCGAACTACGTTTCTGCTGTGGTGACCTTGACCTTTTCAGTTTACAAGAAGAAATCGACATGTTGTCTGCTAGCTGCATCACCTTGGCAAGGTATAATTGCATAAGATAACACTTTCATGACTTTTATCGAAGTTTAAAATGTTTAAAGTTTTTAACTCCAACTTTGTGTTTAACTATCAGTTTTTATTTGAAGCTGTCTCTGCTATTGAAACTAATATTTTTGATAGGAATGGTTTCAATTATCACATGCATGCAGAATTGTTTCATTTGCAACCATGATGATATCAGTCTGACAATAAAATGACATTTAACATTATTCAGTTTTACCCGGAAGCAAGTGCTACATTATTTCTGATTTATTTTTGGCCCAGTAATTTGGTCTGTCGTTTTTGGCTTCATTGCATCATGATTTTTTGTGTGCCTTTAACTATAAGACAAGTAAACACAGAGAGTCTAAGATTAAGAAGACCCTGTTTACTGATATCCCGAGATATCCGCTACAGATCTCAAGTCCTGGCCACAGAGGTTGAAAAGGTGCTAATAGAAGCTAACTATTTAGGATTAGGGTTTAAAACTTTCTGTCCGAAACATCGGTGTTTATTCAAAACATCGTTGGCCTACACATTCTAACTTAATCATTTTAATTTTAGACATGTTTTTTTTTAAGACCAGGCATCTTAAGTTTTAGCATGTGTCTGCCTTGGTTCCAGTCAGGCATTTTTATCTTTTTATCTCTCTTTCAGATGTGTTCCCAAATCTGGATTAATGGGGACAATGGCTGCTCGTTTAACACACTCGCTTCCAGACCTGCCATACGATTACAATGCCCTTGAGCCATATATTTCGGCAGACATCATGAAATTACATCATGACAAACATCATAAAACGTACGTCACAAATCTAAACATAGCAGAAGAGAAATTATCTGAAGCTGTTGCCAAAAGTGAGTACGAAATGAACCAGACTGGCCTCCAGTCACAAGCTTGGAAATAAGACACCTGTCCGGTACAAATTCAGGGTTTTGATCGGCACAATTGCTCTAGTGTCTGACATTTTGTCTCTGCACCATGATTTGTTTTATTTCTGAGTTTTTATTATTATTATTAATAAATGTCTGTCACAAAGCTCAAAATGGCCGATGCTTGTAGTGCTTGACATGTCATGTACAATAATTATAACCGTTATTTCCAGGCCTGTAGTCAATGGAAATACTAGTTATCTCATGAACTGACTGTTCAACTAATCCTCTCCTTGTATGTCGTCTTTATTAACTTGGTGCAGAATAATACAAAATGAAATGAATTATGAAATGGGGTTTAACATTCTACTGTTCTGCTCCTACTGGGCTAATGAAGACAGGCATATGTCATAAAGTGTGCTATGAGGGAAATTTTGCCTGGGCAGTGGCACTATGGTCTACTCTTATATCGAATTCCAACTGCCAAGGAGATCTTTTACGTACATGCCAATGTATACAGTCCTTGGTTAGCGCGCGCTGTATCATCTTACGGTCTGTCATTGAGTCAACTGGCGGGGTTTCGATTCCCCAGTTGTACGTGACAAGGAGTAGGGTCGTCTGTCCAACCTCGTGGGTTTTCTCCGGGTCCTCCGGGTCCCACTGCTAAAGACCCCTACGCGCAAGCGAATTATTGAAATAAAATTGAACCATGTGTTAGTCCCGAAATGACCTAGTTTGTGTCAAGTGGACGTTAAACCCCATTTCTCTCTCTCTCACTTAGCCACCGTGGCTCTGCAGAATAATACAGTTGGACATTAATCCCCACTATACCTCCCATGCTACTACATAAGCCAGGTGCAGAAAGGTACAGTAGAACTAAAATCCACATGGTGCTAGCACCACAAGCAAATAGGAGTACTTGACAAGTCTGCAACAAGCTGATTAAAATAAAGATCTATATTTCATTTCATTTTTTTTTTTAACACTTTTGATGGCCTTCACTGCATAAAGATCTGACCAGTTGTAGTGGCAGTTCGCGTCAGGGGTCTTACAAGCAGCTTTAGACCGTTTGACGTTTGACGTCAGACATTTGATTGACCATTCAGCGTTGATGTTTCTAATAGGATACCCACACTTCCGTGCATTGCACGGCAAGAACTCGCTGCAATGAACCGTTTCATTGGCTAATCCCTCACATCACCCAGAATGCTGCTTCTATGACAAATTTTCTAGATCCTAGTGTAGTATTAAAGAAATGAAATGAAATGAAATGGGGTTTAACGTCCTATACTGTTCTGCTCCTAACCTGGGCTAATGAAGCCGGGCATACGCCATACAGTGTGCTATGCGGGAAATTTTGCCAGGGCAGCGGCGCTACAGCCTACTCTTATATCAAATTCCAACTGCCAAGGGATCTTTTACGTGCACACCAATGTGTACACGGGACCTCGTTTTTTCGTCCCATCCGAACGACTAGACAGCTGTCCTTGTCAGGCCCTCGATCCTGTATCACTGACAAGGGGAAACCACGCCGGAAAATCTGGATGAACTTTCTCGGCAAATGCAGGGATCGAACACCCGACCTCCAGGCTAGCGAGCCAGCGTCTTACCCACTTAGCCACCGTAATCTCCGTAGTATTAAAGACAAGTAAAACAAATTTTGAACTATATAAAAAACTAAACGAAATAGGATCTATGTTATAATCTGATTAATTCTGCAATAATTTATTTTCTATTGTACAGATGATGTGAATACATTCATTAGTCTTCAGCCAGCATTAAAATTCAACGGTGGAGGTCATATAAACCATTCGATCTTCTGGGAAGTTCTTAGTCCAAATGGTGGTGGAGAGCCATCAGGCGATTTAATGGATATAATTAAAAGGGATTTTGGATCTTTTGATGATATGAAGAAAGAGTTATCGGGGGCTGCTGTGGGAATTCAAGGATCAGGTTGGAGCTGGTTAGGATTTAATCCTGTTAGCGGAAGGTTACGTGTTTCGGTTTGTGCTAATCAAGATCCACTTGAAGCTACTACAGGTAAGGAAATTTTGAATTGTGCCGAATTTTGAAGATTTTTGAGCTGACTTAATCAGAGTGAGAGAGAGAAAGAGAGAAATGGGGTTTCCCCAGGTCCATGAGTTTCCTCCCACTGCTAAAGACCCCTACATGTAAGCAATTATTGAAATTAAACTGAACCATATGTTAGTCCCGAAATTACCAAATTTATGTCGAGTGGAAGTTAAACCCCATTTCTTTCTCTCTCTTGTTAATGCAGGGTGAGAATTTGGCCTGGAGATTATGTTTTACTGGATGCACAGTAATAATAAGGGTTAATATGGCACAGTTAAAAAAGTTCAGGGTTGCAATGGGCGAGTCGCCTGTCCAACCTCATGGGTTTTCTCCGGGTCTTCCGGTTTCCTCCCACTGCTAAAGACTCCTACGCGCAAGCGATTTATTGAAATAAAATTAAAAACCATATGTTAGTCCCGAAATGACCTAGTTTGTGTCGAGTGGACGTTAAACCCCATTTCTCTCTCTCTCTCTCTCTCTGCAATGGGTGAATGGCACAGATAAAAAACCTTTGCACAGGTAATTAATTATAAAAAAAATGCTAGGGTTGTGATGGTTAGGGTTATTATGGCTATTATTACCTGTGCTATTTGTTACATATGCCATAATTTCTGGTACCCAAATTTGTTTTACAGTATTGTCTACAGACATCTTACAATAATTTCTGTTGAATATTGTTCTCTTTTCAGGTTTAATTCCCTTATTTGGTATTGATGTTTGGGAGCATGCCTATTATCTACAGTATAAGAATGTCCGACCAGACTATGTTCAAGCTATTTTTAACATTGCTAATTGGAAGAATGTTGCAGACAGACTTGCAGAGGCAAAAATAGCCTCATGAGAGTTTTTTTTTAAAAATGGACAAGAGTAACATTTGGGTAATAAAAACCATCTAATTGGTTCATTAATAAATTTAATAAATAATTTCATTAGGTTGGCCTGAATTAAAACACATTAAATTTGCTCTATGGAGGATAAATTTTGTGAAAAAGTATATGGTGTGATTGCAATATATATTAAACCTTTGTGCAGATTGAGCTTTCCATACATTGTCATTAGGAATTTGTGTCCACTAATCCTAATTCATAAATAATATTTACATGGCAAGTTACCAAAGATATGTTGATTTTTTTGCCCAAATGATATATATGTTCCACTTCTAGTATAACAAGTGCTTAACAGAGTTTTGTAATCTAAACCATGTTTATTAAATAATGGAAAATATACAAATTATATAATGTCTCATATTTCATGATCTTGTTAATTACCTAGGTATTATATAAAAAAATTAATCTAATTTGATAAAGAATCTGATTTTTAGATTGATTGTTTAGGTTAGAAATACTTATTTAGGGTTTTGTTTTTGTTTTAGTATGTTTGATAATGCTTGTGTGAAGGTGTGGCTGGGGGTGGATTTAAAATAAAATACTGATTTGCAAACATAACTTGAAAAGATCTTTAATTTGGTGTTACAATAAAAAGTTATTATCTATATCACTGTTTAGTTGTAACAAGAAGAATGTGCACACACAACTTGAAAAGATCTTCGAGTTGATGAAATAATAAAATGTTATTATCTATATCACTGTTTAGCTGTAACAAGAAAAATGTGCAAACACAATTTGCAAAGATCTTCGAGTTATTGAAATATGGAAATTTATTTCTTTATATCTTTGAACTTAGTTTTAAATTGAAATTATGATGTCTTTAAAGATCACCGGAAAAGCTTCATAATTGTTTTAAATAATGCAAGTAATTATGTCAACATATCCTTTTATAAGTATAACACAAAACCGAATGTCAATATTACCTGCAACAGGTAAATTTCATGTTAGCAATTTCCGCTGTTCTGCGAAAGTAGTCATAAATTTCCGCCAATAAACAATCTGTGACGTCATTTTAGTCCTTCTGCTCATAGAAATATAGACTAGAATATGAGCAGGACTAAAATGACGTCATAGGTTGTTTATGGACGGAAAGTTACAACTACCCACAGAGAAAGTCAGAAATTACTAACGCTGTAATTTACCTGTTGTAGGTAATAGTGACATTCGGGTTTGTGTTATACTTATGGAAAGGATATGTTGACATAATTACTTGCATTATTTAAAAAAAAAAATGAAGCTTTTTCGGTGACCTTTTAAAGGAATTTAGTGAAGCATTATCTATATAATACAGACAACCAAGTTTATTAATTTCAATGTGTCAATGAGGGTACTATTCAAGCATTTATAAAATTATGATGTAATTGTGTACAAAACCAAAAAGTTATTATTATCATTATCCCTGTTGTAACAAAAATCTTGAAAGTTTTAGAATGAAGTTGGATGTCAGTATTGCCAGTAATTTTGGTGAAGAGGTACTTAGAGTAATTAATTCACTTGTTTTCTTTTTCTTGTTATTATGAAGAGTGAGGGTTAGATTGTCACATGGTCTGTGCTTTTGATCACAAGGTTTGTCATTGAGTCCTGTGGTTTTTCCCTGAATCATCTGGTTTCCTTACAGTGTTAAAGACCCCTACGAACAAGCCAATTATTGAAATAAAATTGTACCATATGTTGGTCCTGAAATGACCTAGTTTGTGTCAGTGGATGTTAAAACTCTCTCTTTCTCTCTCTAATAATAACAGAGGGAGAGGGTTTAACATCCACTCGACACAAACTAGGTCATTTCGGGACTAACAAATGGTTCAATTTTATTTCACAAATTGTCTTGCACATAGGGGTCTTTAGCAGTGGGAGGAAGCCGGAGGAAATCGGAGAAAACCCACGAGGTTGGATAGGTGACCGTACTCCTTGTCACATTCAAGCGGGGAATTGTTATTATGAAGATAGATTTACAGGCAATATGACAGGTTTATATAAATGGAATTAAGTTTTAATCCAGAAAAATAAAAACTTTGATAATTATTGTTGTTGTGTAGATTTGATCATATTACCAGAACTGGGGAACTCAAGTCCGACTTAAGTTACATCAATGACCCAACTTGCGGCTCGACCTGAAATATTTATTGCGACTCAATTCGGATTCAGCAGAAGAATCGAAAGACCCTAGGACTCGAATCATGATGAGCGGGCATAACTCTAACTCATCTCATTTCATTCGGTAAACCTCGACAGATTCTATGCATCTAATCTCGGCTGTATGACGAATTCCGCCATATTTGAACTATTTTAAAGTTCCCGGATGAAAAATGGCTGCGCCCATGGAGATTTCTGTGGAGAGTGTATTATATCAACAAACGTCAAGTTTGGCATTGGGTTTGGGGAATTACCAGGGAATTATATCAAACCAGCAGCCTTGAGACAATATCTCTGCTCGTTTAGTTATATACTCGACAAAAGACACCATTTTGGGACTTTTTTGTAAAAGCGGCACGTTTTCCTGTTAAAGTAAACTGGTAGCCGCATCGCTAATGTATGGGCGTAGGTACATATCAATTACTATCATACAGCCGAGGTTAAATGTAGGGTACTGGAATCTGCCGAGGTTTGCCGAGTGATCTCATTTGACATGAATTGCTGATTCAGTACTTAAACATGCATTATGCAAGAGCTAAATCTGCCTATTGCAGGTCTTTCTTTAGGACCGAGACTTAGCTTCGATCAACCAGTACGGTGGTTGAAATTATTGCACACGTCTGTCAAACTTTTAAAGGCTAATATCTTCGCTTGCAATAGAGTAATTTGAAGGAAATTTTCAAATTATTCATTTTACATTATCTACTTTCGAACTATTATAGCAAAAATGGCTAGTTCTTTATCTAAATCTTACATAATGTATCTTTAAGTCAGTGACTTTGAACTGACTCTGATTCGAGGTCCTGCGATTTTTTCCATTCTCTGCATATTCCTCCATTACTATACCTCCTGAGATGAGAGATTTATTTATTATTTCATTGGTCAAATGCAAATAATTGTCTAATGGGAAAGAGTATAAACAATATATTTCCTTATTTGGAAGCTGCGTCCAATTTATTTTTTGGGTTAATCACCGGGAATGGAATTTACTGTTCTACTCCGATTGGGCTAATGAAGACGGGCATATGCCATACAGTGTGCTATGAGGGAAATTTTGCCCAGGCAGCTGCACTATGGCCTTATATCGCATTCCAACTGCCAAGGGATCTTTCACATGCACACCCACGTATACACAGGACCTGTTTTTCGTCCAATCCAAACGACTCAACATCTTTTCTTGTCGGGCCCTACGCCTCCCACAAGGGGAAACCACGTCGGAAAATCCTGATGACAGTGGACATACTAGGCGCTAGTGTGTCCCCCGCTTTACGTTGCCACTGCGGCTTCCGGTTAACATGCGAATCAGACATATTATCATACAAAAGGTTGGAAACGACCGAATTCCTTGTCACATAGAAGCTTGAGATTGAAACCACCCCACTCAACTCATTGACAGACCTTATAACCTAAAGCGGGGGGATGGATGGCTGAATCATCAATGGTTAGCATGCGCTGTATCATAAAGTCTGTCATTGAGTCGACTGGCGTGGTTTCGAATCCCCGGTTGTACGTGAGAAGGAGTAGGGTCGCCTGTCCAACCTCGTGGGTTTTCTCCGGGTCCTCCGGTTTCCTCCCACAGCTAAAGACCCCTATGCGCAAGCGAATTATTGAAATAAAATTAAACCATGTTAGTCCCGAAATGACCTAGTTTTTGTTGAGTGGACGTTAAACCCCATTTCTCTCTCTCTCTCTATAACCTAAAGCAAACTGTTAGACCACTAGGATGGGGTACACAAGGACACGTTAATGATCAAATTTACTTTGAAAGTTCATAATTCTATACATTCTCTCAGTTTACAAACTTTATTATAACAGAAGAATCAATGTCTTGAGGATGGAAGATATTTATATATCACATATATAAAAACAAACAATTAACACCTCAACGAAATATTGAATTGTCCTTTTCAATATAAAGTATTGGTATTTCATTTTAAAAACCAGATATATAAAAACAAACAATTAACACCTCAACAAAATATTGAATTGTCATTTTCAATATAAAGTATTGGTATTTCATTTTGAAAACCAGATAAAGCTTGGACCGTATTCATGAAAACTCAAGGGGTATATATTATTCCACAATGTACCTTTTCTTCTCTCAATATTCATTCAGTTCTTCCTCACATCCCATACTAAACTTAGGGGATGTTAAACCCAATTTCTCTCTCTCTCTCTCTCATTGGCCAGAAGCTATAATTTGTAGTGAGATAAAAATCTTAGCCAATCCATATGCTACATCCTTTAGGGGTTTAGTCCACTCAAAACAAACTAGGTCATTTTGGGACTAACATGGTTCAATTTTATTTCATTAATTTGATTTCGCAGCGGACAGAGGACATGGAGAAAACCCATGAGGTTGGACAGGTGACCCTAATTATTACATACAAGCGGGCAATTGAAACCACGCCGACTTAATTACAGACCTTATGATGCAACCTGTATGCATTAACCAAATGGCCATCCAACCTCCCTGGGACAAAAAGAGAAATAAGGCCAGTATTCTAGAACAAACAGCAGAAAGATGTATATATATATATATAGAAGGAGAAATGGGGTTAATCATCCACTTGCCACAAACTAGGTCATTTTGGGACTTAACATATGGTTGGACAGTCCACCATACTCCTTGTGAGCTCAAAACGTGGTAATTTTGGGACTAACATATGGTTGGACAGGCCACCTTACTCCTTGTGAGCTCAAAACATGGCCACTTGACTCAATGACAGACTTTATGATCTCAAGTGCACATATTAAATCATTCAGTGGTCAGCCTCTTATCTGGTTTTCATATTTCAAGATAAAACAGAGGCCTGTTTCACAAAATTTTAACTAAAATAAAATTCAAATTTTAGTAATTTGATTGGATAATATTAGATTGATTTTTGTGATTAGCCAATCAAAATTGAAGTGTCTACTAAAATTTCGATTGTATCTTAGTTTAAGTTTTCGTGAAACAGGCTCCAGGACTATAGGATCAAACAACCTGATTTTAAATACACATTTAATGATTAAAATAGAACAAAAATGAAAATAATATCCACTTGTCAGTGAGACTAGATAAATATAAACCATGAATTGTAAAATAAAACTGAAAACACATCCTTTGCATAAAAAACAACATATTTTTAACAAGTCAACAAAATTTATACAGAGAGATTCACAAGTCATATCAATTGTTTGTTGTCAATATTTTTTGAATGCTGAAATTTGGATAAAACAGACAATTTCACTTGAGTATTCATGCTGACGAGTTCACATATAAGAACGGAACTAGTACTGTAGCAGTTTCATGAGGCAAATCTGGAACGGCTGTCTGCCATTTATCGATTTCTTATTTTATTATGACAAACTTTAGTCATTCAAACTAACAGGATTTCTACCAAGTTCAAAACAAACTATAGAGAATGTTCAGCCATTTGTTGATGGAAGTTCTTCAAATATTATTTTATTCCTTCGATGGCATTTGCAGTCATTGTTTTTTAAGGTGAGTGATAGCACTTGAGCACCTGCAGCACACTTGTATGTCAACTGAGGGGAGTTTTTTTTCCCTCTTCTTAAAAATGAAAATTGCTCTTCTTTACAAAGTCATAGGTGGTTTATTATCATTTATGAAACCAGGAATGACCCCATTACATGCAGTTATTGATCTTCAGAACAATTTCCCATCCACACAACTAATCACTCTCCTTAATATCAGATCACTCTCCTTCATTTCTAAATCACTCTCCTTTAATGTCTAAATCACTCTTCTTATCGAAACTGGGAGAGATTTTTTTGGCGTGCGATTTTTTCAATTTGTTGATTAAGGGGAGCTTTTTTTCAGTTCTCCTCTAAAATACAAACGACGACGACTGCATTTGGTAAAGCAACCTTGCACCTGAAGTTTTTAACTGCTTGGGCAGTAGAAATGGTAAATAAATGTTATATGGAATGAACATGAAACACCGTTGTTGTTGAAATGTCAGGCTATATGTGTAATAAACCAGGGATGGCATTCTATTTATAATCTGCTCTATCGCCAAATGCCAGTCAAATATTATAGCAAAAACAAAGAAATAAAACGACACTTGCACTGTAATGACAATAAATCGAGATGGAAGCACATATCGGTATTTCTTATTGTATTATATTTCTACATTAGTTCAAACTCTTTATCAACAATGGGTCAGAGTATATTAACCAGTTTAAGACATCTATTTTTACGTCCAAACACTCTTGGGAATAAATTTAGACGTCAATTATATTACTGAGTTTAAAAAATCTATGTTTTTAACCGAGTCACCGACACTCCAATAAATTATATTACTGAGTTCAAAACATCTATGTTTATAGCCGATACTCCAATGAAATATTTTATCGAGTTCAAGGCAATTATGTTTATAACCGACACTCCAATAAATTATATTACCGAGTTCAAAGCAACTATGTTTATAACCGACTCTCCAGTAAATTATATTACCAAGTTCAAAGCAACTATGTTTATAACCGACACTCCATTAAATTATATTATCGAGTTCAAGGCATCTATGTTTATAACCGACACTCCAATAAATTATATTACGGAGTTCAAGACATGTATGTTTATAACTGACACTCAATAAATTATATTACCAAGTTCAAGGCATCTATGTTTATAACCAGCATTCCAATAAATTATATTACCGAGTTCAAGGCATCTTTGTTTATAACTGACACTACAATGAATAATATTATCGAGTTCAAGGGATCTATGTTTATAACCCACACTTCAATATTACCAAGTTCAAAGCATCTATGTTTATAACCGTCACTCCAATATAACCGAGTTCAAAGCATCTATGCTTACAACCGACACTCCAATGAATTTAAACATCAATTATATTACTGAGTTTAAGGCATCTATGTTTATGTCCGACACTCCAGTGATATTTCTGACATGCCCTATCACAATATCTCGTTAGTTTGCAATTTCCACAATACCTGTATTGTCCATGTTTCACTAATTTACGACAGTGTGGTGATGAGCAGAAAAAATTATTGTCTGGCATTTCGTTGTATAATCGTATTCGAGCGCTATCCTCGATAAATCGGTTGAAATGATTACGAGCTTTTCCTTTGATATACTCATCGATCTCCATTAACTCTTCTACAATCATATCATCATCAATATAATCGTCATCTTTTTTAAGAATCATCAAAACTCGTGATTTTTTAACGGCACAACGTGCCTGTCGATTACCATACTCAACCATCAACCTTAAAATCTTGGCCATGTAAAGTGCCTCAACTTCATCGATGCCACAATAAGTCACTGTTGCTGCGTGTTCTAAATGTTTGTTCATTATGGTTAAAATTCCGAGCTTGAGATACAAATCGACGAGAAGCTTTGTTCCCACTAATAAAAGACGCAACAGAGTTTCGTATGTTTTTGAGACGAGACTTGTCGTATATGTTTGTTGCAGACATTTAAATAAATGAGGTATGATAGAATCGCGTCTGTATAACACTCGTTTGATAACTCCGGCACTAATCATAACCGCCACTAGAACGCCCATATAAATATTCAATTGACTGTACATATGATCATCACAATATTCCAGGAAGCTTAGTCGTATTACATAAAGAATCTCTTCAATACCAACTTCACCTGAAACAAATAAAATGAAATGGGGTTTACTGTTTTGCTCCTACTGGGCTAATTAAGATGGGCATATACCATGCAAGGTGCTACAAGGTATGTGGGAAATTTGCCCCATCCGAATGACTAGACAGCTGTTTTTCTTGTTAGGCCTTCCATCGTGCACCACTGACAAGGGGAAACCGCGTCGGAAAATCATGATGAACTGTAGTGCTATGGCCTTGTTTAATTTTAATTTCCAACTCTCAGGGGATCTTTAATGTGAAATGAAATGGGGTTAACAGAAACATGTTTATCATCCTACTTTTCTACACCAACTGAGCTAATGAAGACGGGCGTACACCATGCACTGTGATAGAAGGAAGACTTTTGCCCAGGCAGCGGCGCTACAGCCTATAAAAATTCAAACTGTCATGTTTTCTTTTTACGTGCACGACAATGTATACATTTGAGTATGGGACCCCAGTTTTCTGTCCCATTCGAAAGACTAGACAGCTGAATCTTTAATGTGTTGCCAATGGTAGACATGAGATTTCAGTTTTGAGCACTATCTTAACAACTATTCATTTTTGTCAGTTCAGCAGTCGTTTAGAACTAGGCAAATTGTGTAGCTGTATACTACACAAGACTAGCTCTATACATGCATACAACAGTCAATAATTTTATTTTTCTAGGTTAGTTAAAATTAAGTTTGGATTTGCTTTAGATGACCTAATTAACCTCAAGTGAACATATCTTTAAACCTTGAGGGATTCACTGAATAACTTGGGGTGAACTTATCTTTAAACATTGATGGATTCACTGAATAACCTTGAATGAACGTATTTTTAAACCTCACCTAAACATTGAATAACTTTTGAGTAATTCAATCTGTGTTTTTTTTCTGTATGAAACTTCATCTTGTTTAGCTTTTCAAAAATGTCTTCAATTTCGATCAAATCTTCAAATTCTATCTTGAGAACAATTTCAGATACATAATCTTCTATTGACTTCTGTTTAGAAAGGCCTAAAAATAAAAATTTAAATATGAATTTAAAAACAAATCTTATGGGTACTTTTAAGTATTGTGATGGCAATTCAGATATCGATTTGGCCGCCGGTGACATGTTGGCGTTGCCATATATCAAACAAATGCTTGGTGTTCTGAAATTGTAAATCAATCGCTATGCATTAGGCAGCAAGAAATCTCTCATGGAGCAACTTCCTGGTATGAGCAACACGTACCTGCACCAGCAAAAATATGATGTTATCAAAACATGGTAAAATATTATTTCAATAATTCGCTTGTGTGTATGGGGCTTTTGTTGTGAGTTGGGGGGGGGGGGGGTGCACAATTACAGACCTTATGATCTAAAGGGCATATGTTAGACCATTCGGCCACCCACCCTCATGAATAGGTAAGTAGTCATTGCAGAGTAGCCAACAAATTATTTGTAAGCGTACAAACATCGCTGTTATATATGACTTATTTACTGTATTATTTATATCTATGACTTATTAACTTTACCTGTATTGGATTTTTTATGGATACAGTCAGATGTACATTTTAATTTGGGTGGCATCTTTAAATCTAATTAATAGAAAAAAAAAATGGTCAAGTCAATGGATGCATTTATTTATATTAATCTGTCACATTCTGTGCTCAACTATACCAATTTGGACAAAAGGATGTATAAACTGATTTTACATTCAGATCGTTTCTGTTGTTACTGTAATTTCTAATCAATTATGTTTGGCGAAATACGCCAGAAGTCTCAATCGAATGTCAATCTCTAGTGTCTGGTTATTCCAGTCTACACCGATTGTATTTTATTGCGCTTGATCACAGGTAAGAATATGACGTCACTGTTTGACATGACTTGTGGAATGTGTCTAGCCTTGTTCTTCGAGTCCCTTGTTACAAATGGCGCTGAAACGCATTATGATGGTACACGAATAATGGTGCAATGGAAATATGTGTTTATTTTGTTTTAAATATTGGATATCAGAAGCCCATCTTTTCCCCGGTAAGATCACAACATCAATGTTGATTTAAAGATGGGTTCCCGCGTACAAACTAGGTGATTTAATGATATATATGGACTAAAAACATATTCAAACTAATTAATTTGTCAGAACTTTGTTTCAAATACTTCTCAAACATTGTGATTGCGAACGAAATGTCCTGCTATAAAAATTTGATCAAACCAGGTCATGTTTATGTCATGTGATTTACCTAGCTCTCTTGGAAGTCAAAAGGAGAATTCATTCAATACATAAGACGATGTTGTCTTTAATCGCTTACTATTTATTACAAATATCGAATCCTTATTAAATTCTCGGATTATCCACTACCCGCATCTTTTTCCGTCCTTTTTATCTCAGAATGTGTTGTACATCTAACTCTTCATAAAGTTTATCACCTTTTACATCAAGCGCTCAATGTTCGCATGTGACCTTTGACATAATGCTTAAATTTTATACGTACTCCGACTTTTATTTTTGAGACTCTGTTAAGTCTGTTGAAATCGGGATAGTCCCTTTATTGGCTTTAACTTTAATGAATTTTATTTGGTCTATTTAGGACAATAGAGGTTTCGGGCATATTTGTAAATATATGTATATTATGGGTCATATTGTTATAAATTTATGTACATGTTTATAATGTATGTTGTCCGATGTTTCGATATAATCTTATTATGGCTACATGGTGAAAATTCTAAGGGAAAAAACGAAAGTAGCAAAGGAGTCTCGACAAGACTATTAGAAAACTATAGACCTAAGTATAGTCTGACTTTCCTAACCTTTTTTATAAGGCCTGTTTTGAAAAATTACTTAAACTTTCAAACTGGGCTGGGTGCTTTTTCACTTACTCAACCAGTTTTATTGTAAAATTCTAAGTCATTTGATCAGAACTCAAGCCATCAAAATTTGGCGCGAAATAAGGCCACAGTTTAACGAAATTGCGGAATATTATAAATCGATCATAAACGACTCCCGCCTTTCAAAACGAATATTATCTATCATAATATTTACTTGTGTTCATGAATGCCCTTATCTTAAAGAATAACATATAGTAAATTTAAATACATTTATGGTAAAAGTCAAAAATGGTTCTGATCTTTTTTCCTATGTTCTTTACGTTCCAAATATTTGCAAGTACCAGTAACCTTTGACCCTCAAGTTTGTAAACACATGTGTGACCTTGATGTTATAAGTGCCTGAAGAGCGAGCTGAACTTAATAACTTGTTTACTTTGAACGACTAATTATATTAAGGGATCAACACTGTCACAGTACCCCCTCACAAATCTGAATTATAATCTCATTTCCATGGGATTAACTACAACTTCCGTGAAAATTGTTATGCAAGGGTTGTAACTGAGAGAAGGGAGACAACTCTATTTAAAAACACCACTGAATTTTACAAAACAAATATAGGATGCCTAAATATTATGAAGAAACTGATGTCACAGAAAAGAAACCTAAATTAGCCTGTTCTGGTCTTCGAGATGATCTCAAAGAATGTTTATTAAACAGTCCATGTGTTAAAAATCATGGGAAAACACCGCTTGAATGTTTGAAATTAAATGATGAAAGCATTCCTGATGAGTGTAAGAAGCTACGGGTTAGTTTCTTTGAGTGTAAAAGATCTCTGTTAGATATGAGACAGAGATTTAGAGGAAGGAAAGGATATTAGTGACAAACATTTTTATTTTTCGATCATTGTATAGTGCAGAAAGAGTGGGTATTAGAAATACTGAATTACAGAATTACAGGGTCAAAATATAATGGTTAACTTTCAGATAGTGATTGGATGGACCCGACCCGGGGAAGGGACCATGGTGATTGACATTTTATTATATAATGGACATCAATTATAAACAAATTCTAATCTTTGTGAAATTTCAAATGTGTGGAAATCGTAAGAAATGGTATGAGATGTTTCAAAATACCTCTTAATTGACCCAGATAAATAAAATAATTAAGGGCTCAACTTAATCAACAATTATTTACATAATTTAAATTTGAACAAAAAGAATTAACAGATATTTTTCTCTACTATGCCAAAATTCATGTTCAACACTAAGACCTGAGTGTAACAAGGCTAGGGTCTGCATAAGGCTGAACAGTTTTGATTAGTCCCTTGTGTACTATTGGCGACTTGATTAATACGGTGCTATACATGTATATGAGTTTTTGACGTCATTTTCGGTCATGTGTAGTACCTGGCCTTACCTACTAACAGAATCAATGTTTTTAAATGAGAATACCCTGGTACCAATAGCATGTGTTGCTTAAAATGGAACTGACAACTATTTTCTATAAGATAAAAGAAACATGAAGTAAGGCCTCCTTCCAGAGCTTAAAATAGACACAGGAAATACGTCACACGTAAAAGCTCCTATATCATGACCATCATGACCACCTACAAAGTTGTCCTATATATCATGTTCCGCTTAGAATACATCTAAAATCAGCCAATTTTATTTCTTACGAACTGTCTTTATGTAGTAACATATAAATGAATGGAAAAAAAAGGAATTTATTTAACTGATGTTATTTTTTTATTCAAAGGATAATACAATATTAATTCAAGATGCGGATTATGTAAGAGCTAAGTCTGTCTATTGCAGGTCTTTATTAATGCATAGTGAGGTTGGATGGCCGAATGGTTAGGGCGTGCATGTTGTATCACAAGGTCTGTCATTGAGTTAACTGGCATGGTTTTGATTTCCTGGTTGTACCGTGACAAGGAGTAGGGTCGCCTGTCCAACCTCGTGGGTTGTATCCTGGTCCTTGTGTTTCATCCCACTGCTAAAGACCCAAACACGCAAGCGAATTATTGAAATAAAATTGAACCATATGTTAGTCACGAAATGACCTAGTTTGTGTCGAGGGGACGTTAAACCCCATTTCTCTCTCTCTATTTCCTGTCCAATTATTAAATTAAACAATTGATAATATGAAACTTTCTTCTTTGAATTCCAACTGAATTCTAGATGATACTAGACCTTAAAAACTATGTCAAAGACAGACACACATTTTTGCAACTTGTACAGGCATTACCCCCTGACATTTGAAACTGAAATGGAGTTTAAAGGAGCTAAACCTCTATTCTTTGGCACCTGAATGGTTTATAAGCAAGATAAAGTCCTCGACATCGGTTCTGGAGAAAGAAAGACCGAAGGAAATAACCTGGGGAAAAAGGGTTTTTTCTGAAGTCTTTCTTCCCCAGCATAACCGAAGTTCGAGGACTTTATCTTGCTTATAAACAATCTGTTTACGTGTACGCAAGATGAGAATAATATCCCAGAATTCCTGCAAGAAAAACCTTATATCATGTTTTCTTATGGGAAAAAAAACCTACCCTGGAAATAACCTGTTTCAGGTTTAAAGAAAAACTTTCAGAAGAATAACCCCAAATTTCCCTGTATATATCCAAAAACCTCCCCCGACTTTCAGACCGCAAGTTATTCTGGGCATAGAATATACCCCAAAGATCAAAGAGATTTACCGTTACAGGTTTATAAGATATGGAAATCAGACTGTAAAATTCTGAAGAACTTTCTCTGCAAACACTTGACTCGAATTGATTAGTGAGCCAGCACCATGGCTCCCTAGTTTTATGCCTGTAGCCCCATGACAATTTGGGAACCATACAATAAAACTAAGAAACAGTATACATGTAAGAGTAACTAGAGAGCTTGGGATAGCTCTAGCTAGCTGGTCACCTCTGGCTTGCGGTTGTATTTTCTATACAGAGGGTGAGTGTATGTGGCTTGAAGATATGGGCACGTTCTTAAACTCGTGGGCTTGGGATGGCCTAGTGATCTGGAGTGCCGTACTTCGAACTCTAGCTTGCCGGTCGGATTTTCGATCCCTTGTGTGAGTGTATGTGGCTTGGATATAGGGCACATTCTCAACCTTGTGGGCTTGGGATGGCCTAGTGATCTGGAGTGCCGTGCTTCGAACTCTAGCTTGCCGGTCGAATTTTCGATTCCTAGTGTGAGCGTATGTGGCTTTAAGATGGGGGACCTTCTGAACCTTGTGGGTTTACTCCAGTTTCCTGCCAGGGGAAAAAAACCCTGCGTGTGTGCTAAATATGATAAAGTAAGACTCGTCAGCGATATCACCCTGGGTAGAAGTGGACGTTAAAACGCTAACAAGAAGATGAGATCAACTAGGATAATATTATATTCATATATCTTCTGTACAAAACATCAACATATAAAATTATAACCAAGACTACTCAAAAGTTTCACACAATATTAGTCGAGTTTATTAAAGATATAAAATACAGATGTGACATCACCTTTTGATCTTGGCATACCATTATTTCAAATAATATATGTGCATCTTGCATTATTTATACTATACAGGTCACAATTCTATGGAAATCAATTACTGCTTATTACTGAGCTTGATAATGACCAGAGAAGCCTAGTCGAAACGTCTCTCAGTAATAAGCAGTAATTGTATTCCATAGAATTGTCACCTGTATATTCCAGTTCAATTACTAAATGCCATTGAAACAGATTATTTATACTAGATGACGTTTTGGACTAATGTGGTAGTTTCATTGAAATGTACATGCAGCATAGTATCTGTATTTTAAGTTGTTTCATAGTCTTGAACAAGACATTTGCATAATATTTTAATACAGCACTAGGATGTTCTTAATATATTACCTAATGTCTCGCGCTCGACCATAAAATAAAACATATATTAGTATACACAAAAGAAGCTAGGGGACTAGAACCTTATATACCAGTAAGCACTTTTTAAAAAATTGTTTTAGACCATTCGACCCCCTCCCCATGAAGCTTATGACAAAAAACTTGATAAAATTGGTAGATTATCATGAGCTAACATGTTTCTGTGGCTACAAAATTGATAACAGATGGATTGGGAATATGTCATGCTCTAAAAATAGATTAACACGGGTCACACAAATAAATAACTAATGCTAGGTTCCCACTATTAGGGGTCGTTCTGCGAATGAAATCGTGGTTTTAATCGTGGAGTAATTGTGGTGATCCTATCAGGTCTTAAATATATTGAGTTCATTCGTAGCAATCATGTTGATAGTATCAAAATGTAAATGAACATGTCTGCACGTACCGGATCGTGGACTCAATAGGGACCATCCTATCGCAACACATCGTACGACATTGGTAAACTAGCATTACGAGAGACAAACTAAAAACATAATATCATTATGATAAACAATACATAGATCATAATATATTGAGATATATCCTTGTAAATATATATGTTATACATGTATCATGATATTTCTAATCTTTTCAATATATTATTCGATCACATTTAAATATGGGCAGGTAAGCGAAATGAGGTTTGCCATCCTACACCATGCCAAGAGAAATTTTGCCTAGACAGCGTTTTTTCCGTCTACTTTTCTTTGAATACCAACAGCCAACGGTTCTTTTAACGAAGGCAGGGGCAGATAAAATGAAAGAAATGATGAAGACTAGTAAAAAAAAAGTTCAAACGAACAAAAAGCAAACTTAAAAATAATAATATACATCATAAAGAATATTTTTTGATGATGCTCAAAGAATTATACAAATATAACTTAATAACAAGATATTTTCTTTTTTTTCAAAGATTACGAAAATTTCAATCGTTATCCCAATTTTAAAATATATTTTAATTTCAAACATAAAAACTTTAAAATTAACCTTGTTTAAAGGTTAAATTCTAATTTATGGCATGTTAATTGACTGACAGTAAAATTCACTAATCAATTAATTTCAGTGCCAGTAAAGTCCAGATTCTACTATATATGTATATTGTTTGGGAGATGTTAATTCTAGACCAAGTGGGGAGGTTCGTGAATTTCCGGAGTCAACAATGACCACTTTATATAAATGAGTATTTTGGGAATACTAACCCTAACCCTTTAAAGAGGGGTAAAAGATAAATTGGATCCAAGTTCAGTCTTCTAAAAAGGGTTATGTTTAGGGTTTGTATTCCCTCATTTATATAAAGCGGCCATTGTGGACTCCTGAAATTCCTGAAACTCCCCAACCGGCTTACAATTTTGTTTTCATGATGGTTACTGTGTCAGTAGAATAAGTGAAATTGACTTAAACAATAATTTGTGAATAATCCAACTTGATCTGCTATAATAAAATAACACATCACAATTAATTGATAACAATTATTGTACTGCATAGACTAACGTTTATTACAACTTTGCATACTTTCTTTTACAGAACAAATACATGTAAATAGTTTGATCACTTTTAATTCGGTTGTGCTAGCACAATACAGAGAGAGAGAGAAGACACAAACTAGGTCATTTCGGGACTAACTTTCGCATTAACCCCCCCCCCCACTCCGTAGCACTATACAAGGTCTAATCACCACTTGTGATCTTTTCTTGTGGACAGTTGGTGTGTGATTGGAATTGGTCGTTTATCACTGCAATATGACAAAGCTCGCTGGAAACTCTGGGGTCAAAATTTTTCCAATAAATTCAAATTCAATTTACTCAATAAATTTATATTCAGATAATAATCTTAAACACACAAAACTTAGTAGATTTAAAATTAAAAGATAATTCCATAACAAATATTAATCTTAATTTTTTTTTTCAGATCTTAATTCATATTTCTTCAAGTAAAGTTGAATTTTGTGACTTAATCATATCTTGAATTGTCACAATAATAAGAGCCTAGATATATAGGCCTATATATATATCATGCGCTATTATGAATGAAAATGTAATGGTCCCGTTTCATAAAGCATACATAACACTTAAGTTCACGTAAATCAAATATTTTTGTGTATGCTTTGTGAAATGGAATGCTGGTACTGTAATTTATCGAGCGGACATTACCAGACACATGAACGCAATATCTACAGACGCAAGCCAGTAAACAGAGCACCCGTCACAGAGACATAGTCAGACACAAATTCAGGCCGTGACAGCCCCCCCCTCCCGATGTCTGTTATTTTGTCCTGGTACAGATTTATCTATTTGTGTAAAGTTTAAAATGTCAGTAGCTATTTGAGTAACGTCAGACATTTCTAGGCCTGCAGACACACCACACATAAAAGATCAACAACTATATATATAGGTTCAACAAATCTATAAATAATCTAAAATATATTTTCTTCGCAGCAAACAACTTCATCAATGGGGATCAACAAAGTTTTTCCAACTTGAATTTAAACAAGATCCAACAACTCTGGCTTGGCATTAAAATGTATTTAATTCCTCATTTGCCCTGGACGGCAACTGTCCTGTCAGGAGTTATCTCGGCGGCAATTGTCGTGTCGTCAGACAGTTATCCTGTTGGCAACTGTCATGTCGTCAGAAGTTATCTCTCTGGGAACTGTAATACCAACAGTTATTATATATTTTTCTCTACTTTCATTTCATCTTCTTTTATAATGATTTGCCAACTATTTTTAGCCACATGATTGCTGAACTGTTGGCCTTGTCGAAATTCAAGATGTTTTAACTATTAAATATATAGGTTTAAAAGTAAATATACATCTTCTAATATGTCATGTCTATCAATATAAATCAGATAATAAACTTTAGTACAGACAGAAGTTAAAAATTATGGCTATTATTTGAGATTCTAAAACAAAGTACCGTGAAACGAGACAACAATCAACTCACATATACGACTGTATTTTAAAAGAATGTATCAATATCTATATCCTGTGATTCCAAGCCGTTATAAAGACTGGTTCACTATTAAGGTCAATTTATATATTTTTTTCATAAACAATATTTTTATTCAGATTTTTATCTGAATAGGGATTGGGGAACAGGCTTAGCCTATATTAAACCCCTCTCTCCCAATTTGTATCAGTCAACAGTTGGTATTAAATAGCATGAATTCATTATATTCATGTTTTGCCTATATAGCAGACAGTCTATTACATAAAGCCTGTATTTCTGTATTATCAAATTTCTATTCTTGGGATTTGTAACTCAGTATAAACACCGGTTCACTAGTATTAAAACTTAAACATACATTATGCAAGAGCTAAATCTGCCTATTGCAGGTCTTTCTTTAGGCCTGAAATGTTATCTAGATTATTAATTAGATATTAATTAACTTATCTAGACCTTAATCAACTCTCAATGTCATCGCTAGCCTGCGATATTTACTGGATTACAATCCGATTTGCTGCTCAACTTTCATTCATGATTTAATTATGAAATGGATAATTGAGACTGTTTTTTTATCCTACCCACTTTAGTAATGATGATCGAGGCTAAGCCGAAAATTCAATCGCTAAAATCTTGATTCAGGGTGGATCAATTTGACTGAAATTTTCAGCAACTTCCCTTTACATTATCTAGTTTTTAACTATTATAGTGAGAACTGCTAGCCCTTTAATCTCCCATAATGTATGTTTAATAGCAGGATTTCAGTGTAATCACCATGAAAATTTAGTTATTTCATATAAATTAGATCGGATATATTTATATATAATACATTCTTTGAGGCATAGGGTATCATATAATCACTAACAAACAAAATTCCTTCAAATTTTTACAACAGTTAATTTTTTATCGTAAAATTTCTACTTTGTTCAACTGGACTCCAACATCAAGCTGTATCGTATTTTTTCAGGGTATAAGTTTAAACTTTTTTCCACGGAAGTCCAGCCTTCGTCTTATACTTAGGTCCAAACAAACAGTAAAATCTGACGATTCAACTTATTGTCCACATCAACTTATACCCAGTAAAATACGGTACATAAATTTCTACTTTTCATCAATTGCAAGCTGTACAATTTTTTTTTTGTGTAATATTTCTACTTTGTTCAGAATCAAGTTGTACAATACTTTTTTTTTTTTAACATTAAATTTCTACTTTGTCCAACATCAAGTTGTACAATATTCCTGTATATTTTTCTAAACTGGCTAATCGTTTATTTATCTTGTTCAGGCCAGTCCCAAGTTTCAGGAACAAAATGTTCATACTCTGTGTCATAAACATGTGCGCGTATAAATGCAGCCTTATCTGTTGGTTCTGGATATGTCGTGGCTAGGCCTTCACGATAGACATCTTCAGATAACTTTGTCGCGATTGTAAGGGAAACCTCTCGAATCTGACTGAGTGGTGGGTAAACTCGGCCTTCATCTAGATTTTCTTGTGTAACCAGATCTGCTAAAGCCTAGAAAACAACAGAGACCAGATGAGTTAATCATTAGTTATGCCATATAGAAATAAAATGGGGTTTAGCGTTTTACTTTTCTAAAACAAACGGGTCAATGACCGCGTGCATAAGCCATATAGTGTGCTATGAGTGAAATCTATCTCAGACAGTGGCACTACAGCCAACTCTTATTTTAATTTCCGACTGTCAGGGGATATTTAAAGTGGTGTCACAAGTTCGTCTTTCAGTGTTTGTTTTTCAATGAAAAGATGTGAATGCCGCTAAATTTGTCATTTGCATATTTCGGACAATTTCTAATTTTACGCGGCTTCATCCACACTAAAATGTACTCCAAGAAAACCAAACCAAAATATCAACGATTTGATTTAATCGGAATAAAAAGACAACAGATGATACTGAATATGTCATATCTTTGTAAATATCAGACGGAACTGAACCATGTTTGGACCGATATTCCTTACAGAGAACCCACGTTCATAATACAGTGGACTCTTTTACTTCCGACATCTGAATACTACGGCATTCTGTAAAATCCGTCATCATTTTCATGTCCCGATTTATTTCTTTATTACTTCAAACAAAAAAGTTTTGAGTAGTTCGGATTCTTAATATTCCAAATTACGAGATCAATTAGCGGTCCCGTCAGACGTTCATAATATTGTAGTGTACAAGGGAATCAACACCCCTCTAAGAAATAAAATGGTGTTTAACGTTGTACTGTTCTGCTCCGACTGGGCTAATTAAGACGGATTCCCCCTCAAATGAAGATTAGAGACTTTAAAAGAGATAAATATTTTACCCTGGCAGCATGAAGGAATATCTTATCTGCAACATGTCGAACACCACAAGCTATGATACCTAGAGCTACTCCGGGGAATATATAGGCATTGTTACCCTGTCCGGGATGATATAATTTACCGTTATGCATTACAGATGGGAATGGACTGCCACTAGCAAAAACACATCGACCCTGAAATAAAGAATAAACATATACATATAACAGAAGACATGGAACACACATGATATAAGTATATACAATATGGGGGGGTTCGGTGGTCTAGTGGTTTAATGCATGCACGTGAAATCACAATGTTTGTCATTGAGTCAAATGGCTTGGTTCTATTCCCCGCTTGAATGTGACAAGGAAAAGCGATGCCTGTCCAACCTCATGGGTTTTCTCCGGGTCCTCCAGTTTCCTCCCACTCCCAAAAACCCATACGTGCAAGCGAATTATTGAAATGAAATTAAACCATATGTTAGTCCCAAAATGACCAAGTTTGTGTCAGTGGATATTACACCCTACCTCCCTCTCAAGACCCATTGAAGGTTGACTAACCTTGACTATTTTAATAGCGCTTTATTTGATATTATAACTTACGTCAGTCGCATGATAAGCCTGTTCTGCTGTACATTCTGACATACTTGTAGGATTACTTAAAGCGAATATAACAGGTCTGTCATTAAATTCTCCCATCATACGTAAAATATTTTCTGTAAATGCCGCTGGTACAGCTGCCGCACCTTAAAATACAACAAAAGAAAAACATGGCTGATAAACAGTTGACAAAGACTTGTGTTATTTTGATCAGAACAAGACAACTTGGTCATCAACATCCAACGTCCTTACAAAAAAAACCTATGTCTAATGTGTTTCTGTGAAATATCTACAATATCGAAACAAGCTAAAACTATCATTTTTGCTTTATTTGTCAAATCTAAACCTATAACTTTCATGTTATATACTATTCAAAAAAAGTAGGGGATATTTGATTTTTAAGTGTTATTAAAGTCACCTAATGAAACTGACGAAGAAACAAATGACAAAATGAAATGAAGTTCACATTCATCGATTTATTCCAAATGATCGTTAGACTAAGTAAGGCACAGACTGACCATTATAAGGGTAAAATGATACCCGGGGTCAAACAGCAAAGTTACCACAGCATCACAACCAAGTCAGTAACGGGTAAATCCTCCTCTGTTTGCCAAACAAGCATTGATCCGACGTGGCATACTCCTAATGAGACGTCTAAGGTCATTTTGGTCCAGATTGTCCCATTCCTGTTGCAACGCAGCAGCAAGTTCTTGGACATTGGCAGGACGTTGTTGACGTTGACGTAACCTCTGTCCAAGCATCAAGCATGTCCCAGACATGCTCGATGGGGGAGAGGTCGGGACTCAGTGCTGGCCAAGGTAATGTGGTGATGTTCTGTTGTTGGAGGTAACCCGTAACGATCCTGACCCTGTGACATCTTGCGTTGTCATCCTGGAAGATGAAACGGCGGCCATGACGTCGTGCGAACGGCACAACATGGACTGCCAAGATGTTGTCCCGGTAGTACTGGCCTGTAACACGCCCTGCAACAACATGTAAAGCCGTTCTTCCAGCAACAGTGATGCCTCCCCACACCATAACAGAACCACCCCCAAATCAATCATGTCTGATGACGTTAACGTCTTGGAAGCGCTCGTTTCGACGACGCCACACCCTCCTACGTCTGTCCAAAAAATCAACAGTGAACCTTGACTCATCTGAAAACATCACATTGCTCCAGCGTCGATTATCCCAGTGTTGACGATCCCTACACCAACGACGTCTTGCCTGAATGTGATGATCTCTCAAACAAGGGATCACGAGAGGACGTCGGGCGCGAAGGTGACCCCTATGCAGTCGATTCCGAATCGTCTGGCCACTCACTCTCACACCAGTGTCTGTTTGAAGACGAGCGCTGATCTGATTTGCTGTGATGACACGATTTCTCAAGGCCAAGGTACGAATAAATCGATCCTGGGCTTGAGTTGTCGCCCTTGGTCGACCTGAGCGTGGTCTGTCCTGTACAGATTGTGTATCACGGTATCTGGACCATAGCCTGCTTATGACAGACTGAGAAACATTCATCGTCCGCGCCACAACCGCCTGTGTTGTGCCGATCTGTAGCATGCCAAGGGCACGTAACCTTTCATTTTGGGTAAGCCGACGCATATCAAAATTTGTTTTCTGGTCACTAAAACAATTAAACTGTTGTTTCCACCCTGGAATTCAATGCCACAATGACTGTAACATTCAAAGTCAGAGTCGTGCAAATCTTGGGTTGGACCCCCATGATGATCCCAAGCATCACCTGCATTCCATGCGGTAGCTACATGTATTGGTGCGTTTGGGCGTCACATGTAACTGGAAATGTTTCTTCTGTTAGGTTCTATAGTGACTTTTTTCGTAGTCATTTGCATATTTTAGTATTATGCCCCCAAAATCAAATATCCCCTACTTTTTTTGAATAGTATATTATTAAAGAAGACCATTTCAACACTTTTTTGCATATCACAAAAACAATGCTGTGTGAACTCTTCACTCATTTTGTTAAATCTAAACCTTTAAAGATACATTATGGGAGATTAGATAAAGAGCTGGTAGTTCTCAATATAATAGTTAAAAACTAGATAATGTAAAGGGAATTTGCTGAAAATTTCAGTCAAATTGATCCACTATGAACCAAGATTTTAGCGATTGAATTTTCGGCCTAGCCTCGATCATCATTACTAAAGTCGGTAGGATAAAAAAAATAGTCTTGATGATCCATTTCATGATTTAATTATGAATGGAAGTCGAACAGCAAATCGGAACATAATCCAATAAACATCGCAAGCTAGCGATGCCATCGAGAGTCGATTATGGTCTGGATATGTTAATTAATCCCAAAAGAAGGTATTGTGACTTCCAACTCATTTGACTGTCATGTGTCAAGCTCTGACTTTTAGATCCTGGCCCTGGCCCCTGACAGAGATAGAGGCCCTGACAATGACAGCTGTCTAGTCGTTCGGATGGCACGAAAACTGAGGTCCTGTGTATACATTGGCGTGCACATAAAAGATCCCCGGGCACTTGGAATTTGAAATAAGAGTAGGCCATAGTACTGCTGCCCAAGCAAAATTTCCCTCATAGCACACTGTATGGTGTATGGCCGTCTTCATTAGCCCAGTCGGAGCAGAACAGTAGGATGTTAAACCCCATTTAATTTCATTTCCCTGACAAGAGATAATACTTACCTATGAGAACAGTAGGTTTTAAATTTCTAACAACATCTTCGAGTTTATCAACTGGTTCATGTTTCTTAGCAAAATCCACTTTATGTCCTGTTACACCACCTTTAGGTCGATCCTGTAAATTAACCAAATATTATCATTACAACTCTTTACAAAGATTCTAATGTGTGGTGCGACTCTCTTGCACTAACTAATTGTCAGGTGGACCAGTGTTGCGATTTCAAAATTTTTCTTGTCAGATGAAAATAAAGGGGCATAACTCTTATTATTTAAGTAGACGGTTTCAGACCACAACTAAAAATCATGTGTCAACAAAATATTCAAATTCGTATGTAATAAAAATAGGTGCACCTATTTTTCATATCTAATTCCCGTACGGTATTCAAATCTATGTCAGTAATATTCCTACAAAATTACGTGTTTCCGCAATATGACACAAAGAAAGGGTGACCACTAAAAAAATTTCAATCTGCTTCACTCAATTACAGTACAATTCTGTTAATTCCTGAAGTTCTAGACTAGGAGACCTCCCGAATCAACCAATAATAAGTTACTTTATGAGATTTTACTCTAATTATTACCTGAACTATGAGACCTTTAGAATCCACCAACCAGATTTTACTGTAAGCTTCTTCCTCACTAGCCCCTTCTTCCTGCATAGCTAACGCAATCAGTTGAGCAATACCGATAGATGCCTATACAAAATAACAGATTATAAGTTGATAAAGATATACAATCAAAGCTACCATTAATGTTGCCTAGCAACAAAAGATAAATCCACATCAGATAATTCTTTTGCAATGTTAATCTTTAGATAAATAAAGAGCAAAATCTTTTTATCAATAGAAGATAATCACCTCGCTTGCATTCAATTAGATTTGGATTATCAAATTGCCGATCAAAAGATTTTACCATCACTGGTGCTGGCTTGCTTATATTATCTGCACAGAGATGTGGTTTAACTAGACACAAACTAAGTCATTTTGGGACTAACATATTGCTTAATTTTATTTCATTAATTCGTTTGTGTGTGGGTGTATTTAGCAGTGGGACCCTACTCCTTGTCACGCGTTAGCAGGGAATCAAAACCACGCTTTAATTATAAGATCAAATTAACATAAATTCCCCTTTTAGTACCCCCCAAAAATTGCATTTTTACTAAAACCTACCTCTCCAGCGCCTTGAAAGACGAAGACATTATCTATTAATTTCTTTTTTGTTATACGTAATGCTGCAAAAACACCAGCTGCTGCCACAGATGCGGTACCTTTAGATAAATAAATTAATTATGATGAAAACAGTGGAAATGACATATAAAAATGAAATGAAATAGGGTTTGGTGTCCTACTTTTCTGGGCTAATGAAGACGTGTATATGCCATACTGTCTACTATCAGGAGAATTTTGCCCAGGCACCTTTGAAATGGGGTTTGGTGTCCTACTTTTCTACACCAACTGGGCCAATGAAGACGGGCATATGCCATACAGTGTTCTATCAGGAGACTTTTACCCGGGGAAGCATTTCCACCAAGAGGCGGATACAAGGGGCGCCCCCCCCCCACACTAATTTTCGACAGTACCCTTTTTTACTGCTGAAAGTGCCTTTTCCAACCCATTGCAGGGATCCCTAAAGACTAAAACAATCAACTCAAACACACCAGTCTGGTCTAATTAATGCTTCCACTTTCAAACGAATTCTTGTTGATTAGCTGACGGTGCCCTAATCCTATAGAGTGACTATAGACAAACATCAATGACAGCATCTTCTGGAATCGGCGGCGTATACACTCATGCCCATCACAGACGCGCATGAGTGCAACTTGATGTAGCTTTGTTTCATGTGTGGACAGTACACAGTACAAGTTACAAGGCTTAAATAGTGAAGTGGCTAGGGAATAGATTCGTCTTTTTTCCCATCATAATGCCTCGCTCGCCATGACAATTTTTGAGTCACATGTTCAATTGGCTTTTTTGCTCGATTTTAAGGCTTTTTTTCAATGATTTCCGAACGTTTACTTAGACGAAAATATCAGCCAAATAGCTCTTGGAATGGTTACGGATTCCCTAGGTCATTTCTGGACCAACATATGGTTAATTTTTTTTTCAATAATTTACTTGCGCGTAGGTGTCTTTAGCAGTGGGAGCAAACTGGAGGACCCGGAGAAAACCCATGAGGTTGGACAGGTGACTCTACTCCTTGTCACGTACAACCGGGGAATTGAAACCACATCAGTTGACTCAATGACAGACCTTATGATACAACGTGCACATGGTAACCATTCGGCCATCCAACCTTCCTACCTCAACATAAAATTCCATCAAATTGAAGAATACCTACCTTGAATATCGTCATTGAACATACAATATTTGTCTCGGTATTTATCCAAGAAACGGAACGCATTATGGTTACCAAAATCTTCAAATTGAATTAAACAATTCTGACCATATCTGAAATAAATACCAACAAATAAAAATGTTAAGTATTAAAAGGCTATAACTTTAAAATATTGTATTTAGGAAAAATCAAATTAAACATGCCAGCAGTGAGGCTGATGTCCCCTGCCAAAACCCTGAAATAAATAGATGACACATATTAATTAATTGCACGTTTATCTTTTTCAAAAGTATCAAGCAATCAAACTGATTATCAACTATACACTAAGTTTCATCACTCTCTATAAGAGAGAAACATCAATTTAAACATTCTACCTCGATCCAAAGTCTTGACCAATCAAATTGGTTATTGCTACTTAGCCTAAGCAGAAAATTCTCAAAGTTAGTAAAGGTAATGATATTAAGAATCTATATTCGGAGTTTCATAGCTCTCACCTAATCATAACCAAAGTTATCGTGCCCGAAAGCATCAACCAATCAAATTGCTTATCTCTGCTTACCGTATGCAGACTCAGACAATGTTCATCATCGAACTCCATCAAGGCATTGAAGGCATACTTCGAAAGGCGGGGGACGGCAAGCCAGCAGTGAGAGTGATTTTCTCTGCCGTAATCCCAAAATAAATAGATGACCCGCAATAATTACTTGCAAATTTTTCTTTTTCAAAACATAGAGCAATCAAAATGCTTACTACTCTGCTAAATCTGAGCAGAAAATGCACATTATCAAATTTAGTCAAGAGAAAGAGAGAGAGAAATGTGGTTAAACGTCTACTCGATGACACAAACTAGGTCATTTCGGGAATAATGGTTCAATTTTATTTTAATAATTCGCATGCACATAGGGGTCTTCAGCAGTGGGGGGAAACAGGAGGACCCAGAGAAAACCCACGAGGTTGGACAGGCAACCCTACTCCTTTTCATGTACAACCGGGGAATCGAAACCACGCCAGTTGACTCAATGACAGACCGTATGATACAACGCGCACGTGCTGACCATTCGGCTATCCACCACCCCCCCACCCCCGAATTTAGTCAAGGTATTGATGTAATGAAAATAATATACAACAAGTTTCTTTACTCTCAATTAGAAAATGAAATGAAATGGGGTTTAACGTCCTACTGTTTTGCTCCGAACTGGGCTAATGAAGACGGGCATACGCCATACAGTGTGCTATGGGGGTAATTTTGCCCGGACAGCGGCACTACGGCCTACTCTTATATCGAATTCCAATTGTCAAGGGATCTTTTACGTGCACGCCAATGTGTACACGGGACCTCGGTTTTTCGTCTCATCCGAATGACTAGACAGCTGTCCTTGTCAGGCCCTCCGTCCTGCATCACTGACAAGGGGGAACCACGCCGGAAAATCTGGATGAACTTTCTCGGCCAATGCAGGGATCGAACACCCGACCTCCAGGCAAGCGAGCTAGCGTCTTACCCACTTAGCCACCGTGATCCCTACTCTCAATTAGAATCAAAGTAACCAAACAGTAGTTATTGTGTTCCAAAAGTGTTATTGACAGCCGAACATATTTTCTCATAAAGGCAGTGGGACGAATATTATTTTGGCGAAGGGAGAAGATGACCCATCCGCTCTTCTCAAGATAGTATATTTTAATACCATGTTACACACAGATGGCATACTCTTATATCGAATTCCAACAGTCAGGGTTCTTTTACATGCATGCACACAAGACCTCGGTTTTTCATCCTATCCGACAACTAGACACTGCCCTTTCCAGGACTTCTGTCCTGCCCGACTGACAAGGGCAAACCCAGGAGCACACAAATTACCTTTGAACTGCTGCTTGCATAAATTCCTCAACGAAATCGTCATATTCTTGACCAGTAACCCTTGGACGGTTCAAACCAATATATAGAGGGTCATTACGTAATTTCTGAAAACAAATATATTTTATGATTATACTTAAAAAATAACCTATAATTAAATAAAATCTAAAGGGGTTTAACGTCCTACTGTCCTGCTCCTATACTGGACTAATCAAGATGGGCATACGCCATACAGTGTGCTATGATTGAAATTTTGCCCAGGCAGCGCCACTATGAGCTACAGTTATATTGAATTCTAACTGCCAAGGGATCTTTTACACGCATGCCAATGTACAAGGGGACCTCAGTTTTTCGTCCCATCCGAATGACTAGACAGCTGACCTTGTCAGGCCCTCCGTCCTGCACCACTGACAAGGCGAAATCACGTCGGAAAAATCTATAATTAACCGTGGATACTTATAAATAAAGGGGCATTATGGGAGATTAGACAAAGAGTTGACAGTTAAAAGTTAAAAATAGATAATGTAAATAGAATATGCTGAAAATTTCAGTCAAATTGCTTCACTCTGAACAAAGATATTAGTGACTAAATTTTAGGCCTAGCCTCGATCATCAATACTAAAGTCGGTACGATAAAAACCAAAGTCTCGGTTGACATTTAATTGTTTTTCAATAAATGTATTCCAATCCGCTAAATATTGCAGGCTAGCAATGTCTTCGAGTGTTGATTATGTCTGGATAATTTAATTTAATGTCAAATTAATAATTTAGGTAACATTTCAGGCCAAAAGAAAAGACCTGCAATAGGCAGATTTACCTCTTGCATAATATATGTTTAAAGGAGCTAAATCAGTATTATTTGGGACCTAGAAATTGACCAAAATGGGTCGCAACACATATAATAATGTAATATGAATGTATATAAACTGATTTACATTCAATCGTTTCTGTTTTAACTCTAATTTTAACTCAGTTATGTTCGGCGAAATATGCCAGAAGTTTCAATCAAATGACAATCTCTAGCATCTGGTTATTCTAGTCTACATAGTATTTATTGCGCATACTCTCCAGATATGAATATGCCGTCACCGTTTGACATGACTTGTGGAATATGTCTAGCCTCGTTTTTCAAGTCCCTTATTAAAAATGGACATGAAACGCATTATGGTACACAATTCGTGCACCAATGGTAAAATGTTTCTTTTGTCTTAAATATTGGATATTAGAAGCCCATCTTTTCCCGGTAAGATTATAACATCAATGTTGATTTAAATTGACAAATAATTCGTGTTTTCAATGTCGAAGACTTTGGATGACATTGAGTTAGAGACTTAGATTCTTTAAATTAGTTGATTCTGATCCATCTATTTTTGGACAATATATAATTTTGTACAGTGGGAGAGTCTGTCACAGGCTACTCTCCCACAAGATCATAGGTCAGGTGTCTCTGCAGACCCTTGTTAATAATCCTGATATTTAAAATTCATAATCTCACACTGACCTCATTATTGGTTCCGACATCTAATTGAATAGGTAGACATTGATCAGGTACAATACCACCGAGAGCTGTGTACAGAGCCAATTTACCTACTGGTATACCCATACCATACGAGCCTAGATCACCCAGTCCTAATATTCTTTCACCATCAGTAACAACAATAGCCTGAAAATATTGGAAATAATAATTAGGACATCATAGAAATGAGCTGAGATGATTTCTATACATGTGCAAGATTCTGTAACAGAGAAAGAGAGAAATGAATGGGGTTTAACATCCACTAGACACAAACTAGGTCATGTCGGGACTAACATATGGTTCATTTTTATTTGAATAATTTGCATGCGCGTAAGGGTCTTTAGCAGTGGGAGGAAACCGGAGGGCCCGGAGAAAACCCACAAGCGACCCTACTCCTTGTCACATACAACCGGGGAATCGAAACCACGCTAGCTGACTCAATGACAGACCTTCTGATCCAACCATTCGGCCATCCACCCTCCCCATTCTGTAACAGGCTACTGAATAGTAGCAAGTTTTACAGCATCTAAATTGACTAATGGGTCCCGACACATTTTAGTCAATTTTAAACTTGATTTTAATATTCGTTTCTCCATCTCTGTGTAATAGAAGAACACAATGTCGAGACTATGGATCAATTCTACTTCAATATTTCTCCTTCACAGTGTAGTGGTCCTTAGCAGAGGAAGGAAACCGGAAGACCTGGAGAAAACCCATGAGGTTAGACAGGCGACCCTACTCCTTGTCAAGTACAAACAGGGAATTGAAACTAGGCCACTTGACAGACCTTATGATCTAAAGTTTAATGCTTAAACAATTCGGACCCCCCCCCCCCCCTAAGAATAATGAGAAGATGCAGAGGAGAACGTGATTAGACCCTATATTGTTGCTTGCACCACAGACAGGCCTGGAAATAAAGATTTTAGATGTACCTGACAAAATGTCCGGGGCTAATGAAATAGTATCTGACATTTTCAAACTTAGTGCCGGACATGTATTAATAATATCAATGAAAAAGACAAATCAGTGCCGGACAAAATGACAGGTATCAGAGGTTTAGTGCCTGACAAAGCTTCAATCTGTGCCTGACATTGTCTGTGACAGGGGCCTAATTTCCAGGCTCGTGTCAATGATAATCAATATTTAGGTTTTTACCTTGACATCTTGTTCTGGCCAGTTACACATCATTTCATACAGATGACCTTTATCATTGATAGATAAAAATAAACCTCTGAAAAAAACATTCAAACTTTCATTATAAAACATGACAGGAAATTTTGTCTCTTTTTAAAATTTATTTCCAACTGTCAAAGGTACCTGTGTGTCCAAAATGAAATGGGGTTTAACGTCCTGCTGTTCTGCTCTGACTGAGCTAATGAAGATGGGCATACAGTGTACTATGAGGGAAATTTTGTCTGGACAGCGGCACTACGGCCTATTCTTATATCGAATTCCAACTGTCAAGGGTTTTTGTTACGTGCACATCAATCTGTACACGGGACCTCTATTTTCCGTACTCACAAGGGGGGGACCACGCTGGAAAATCTGGATAAGCTTTCTCGGCCAATGCAGGGATCGAACAACCGACCTCCAGGATAGCTAGGCAGCGTCTTGCCCACTTAGCCACGATGACCCCCCTTTCTTCTTTGGAGAAAATGGAAGATTATAGAAACAAATCGTAACCTTGGTTTTCTGAATGTAACACCATATTGTTGACAGGCCAGTCCTACAGTAGGTGTATAGACAATAGGCATCATCTCCTCAGTATGTTCACATAACACTCGATAAAACAGACGTTCATTTCTCTCCTGTAGCGCCATCAGGTAGATATATCTATCAAGGTCACTGCTACGTTTATAAAAGTTAGTCATCACACGGACCATTTGCTCGTCTTGACTTCTGATGGCAGCCGGCATCAGCCCCATAATACCCATAATCTGTCTCTCTTCTAAGGTAAAGGCTGTACCCTAAAATACAGAAATATAAAATCAGCCCATGAATACCCATAATTTCTCCATTTTCTAATGTAAAGGCTGTACCCTAAAATACAGAAATATAAAATCAGCCCATGAATACCCATAATTTCTCCATTTTCTAATGTAAAGGCTGTACCCTAAAATATAAAATCAGCCCTTGAATACCCACAATATCTCAGTTTTACATAAAGGCTGTACCCTAAAATATTAAATCAGCATCATAATACCTACAATCTGTCTCTCTTTTAACATAAAGACTGGACTCTAAAATACAGAAACATAAAATCAGCCCTTGAATACCCTTAAAATACAGATGTGACATCATCTTTGATGTTGGCATAGGCATACTATTATTTCAAATAATGGTACAGGCAATGTGCCAAGCATACATTATTTATACTAGTTGAAATATTGGACCCATATTTCATTGAAATGCATGTGCTGGATAGTGTCTGTATTTTAAGTTGTTTAATGGTCTTGTGCTTGACATTGCGTAATATATATAGATATAGCACTCATGCAATATCAATATATTACTTAATGTCTCGCACTCAACCTTTAAACTGCACATAATGTCTTTATCTAAGGTCAAGGCAATGCCCTACAATATAGAAACATAAAATCAGTCTCAGAATTACTGTAATTTAGGTCATACAAAAAAAATATATTCTCATTCTCAGACAATCCTTTAAACATACATTATGCAAGAGCTAAATCTGCCTATTGCAGGTCTTTCTTTAGGCCTGAAATGTTATCTAAATTATAAATTAGACATTAATTAACTTATCCAGACCATAATCAACTCTCGATGTCATTGCTAGCCTGCGATGTTTATTGGATTAGGTTCTGATTTGATGTTCGACTTCCATTCATGATTTAATCATGAAATGGATAATCAAGACTATGTTTTTTATCGGACCGACTATACTAATGATGATCACGGCTAGGCCAAAAATTCAATTGCTAAAATCTTGGTTCAGAGTAGATCAATTTGACTGAAATTTTCAGCAAATTCCCTTTACATTATCTAGTTTTTAACTATTATAGTGAGAACTGCCAACTCTTTCTCTAATCTCCCATAATGTATCTTTAATAAAATTATTAAAAACTGATGTGAGAAGGAGGTTTTCATTTTCGGGTTTTTATTTTGTAGGATCATATAACTTATTCACATTTCAAGATTCTACATTTATCTCATCATCTGTGAAATTTAATCATGAAATGTTATTTACATCAATACACATACATAATTACGAATTCTCAAGTTACAATATCTAAACTTTACTATTACTGTTCGCTAAGTTGGATACAAGATAAGCAAATTATTGTCTGGGTCTATGGACGAATGAACAGATTTTGTAGTTTTAATGCGATCTACGGGTGAATGCACAGATTTTGTCATTTTAATGTGAATGCTCTCCTTCCATCTCCCATCTGAGTATAATTTTATCATCTCCGAAAGAATGGATTTAAAAGATCTTTGAAAATCAAGCAGACGAATCAATGGTAAGAATGAGTCAACCTACAATCGTCCAGTGCTATCTATAATTGTTGATAATAATATCAGGGTTGTGTACTTGATAACTGAGCCTACTTTGCACTTCAAAACCAATGATGTTTCTAAATATTGATATGATTCTGCTTGTATATATTTATGGAGCCAAATCTCTAACTCAATAACATAAAGACGTGTAAAAATGATGAAAATTTTAAGATTAAACTGAAAACTCATATATATTGAGCACTGAAGAAACCATAATATTCAACGGATGACATACTTATTATTTTTTGTGTATATTTAACTTGCAACTGCATTCTATCTTATTTTGTGCGTAATTATAGTGTTCTTCCTATATTCTATTTGTATAATGTATATGTTTTATAGTTTAGGAGTGACTTGCCAAATTTCTCACTTTAAAATGTTATTGCCTTATAAATGATTTTGACTTATGGAAGATTAGGGTTTTTTTTTGCAAACTAAATAAGTTGCCTCGTTAAATAAAGTTATTATTATTATTATCATCATTATTATTATTATAGCATTTGAAATTAAAAACACGAAATAGAAGTCAATTTTGGTCCATTTCAATAAAAGTAAATCAATTGTTTCCGTTTTTACTCTAATTACAAATATGCCAGAAGTCTCAATCGAATGGCAATTTATAGCATCTGCTTATTCCAGTCTATACTGATAGTTTTTATTGCAAATGATTTCCAGATAAGAATATGACATGACTTGTGGAATATGTCTAGTCTAGTTCTTTAAGTCCCTTGTTACAAATAGCACTGAAACGTATCATGGTACACAATTCATGGTAAAATGTTTATTTTGTCGTAAATATTGGATATCAGAAGTCCATCTTTTCCCGGTAAGATCACAACATCAATGTTGATTTAAATTGACAAATAATTTGTGTTTTCAATGTCGAAGACCTTAGATGATATTGAGTTAGACACTTAGCTACTTTAAAATGTTAGAATTTCTAAATCAATATGAAAGATACATTATGTAAGATTTAGATCAAGAGCTAGCCATTCTTGCAATAATTTCAACCACCGTGCTGGTTGTTCAAAGCTAAGTCTCGCTCCTCCAGTTTTAGCTTAATTTAAATATGACTGAACTGTTCTAATCTATTTAATATCGGAGAAATCCTTTGACATCGAGTGTTAGTTATAGCCCGGATAAGTTAATTAATGTCTAATTAATAATTTAGATAACATTTCAGGCCTAAAGAAAGACCTGCAATAGGCAGATTTAACTCTTGCATAAAGTATGTTTAAAGGAGCTAAATCGCTATTATTTTTGACCTAAATTTGACACAAATGGGTAGCAACGCATATAATAAAGTAATATGAACATAATGAAGGTATATAAACTGATTTACATTCAATCGTTTCCGTTTTTACTCTAATTTCAACTCAGTTATGTTTGGCGAAATATGCCAGAAGTCTCAATCGAATGACAATCTCTAGCATCTGGTTATTCTAGTCTACATAGTATTTATTGCGCATACTCTCCAGATATGAATATGCTGTCACTGTTTGACATGACTTGTGGAATATGTCTAGCCTCATTCTTCAAGTCCCTTATTAAGCAGATTTAGCTCTTGCATAATGTATGTTTAAAGAGCTCTTATCAATATGAATATTCATCAATTAGTATGATTAAAGGCATTATTAAAGATGCATTATGTAAGAATTAAATCTGACGATCAGGTCTTTTTTTTAGTTTCAAATGTTATATAAACTATTGATGAGACATTGAGAAATATTTTCACATGAACCTATAACCAACTCTCTAGACCATGGTATGTATGAGATTTAGATGGATTAGAATACCTGTGAGATTTAAAAATTTAACGATAAAATGCAAAATCGAGATTAAGTCGCAATTGCCAAATACCATTGGATAATCGAGACTATGCTGTTTATCGTACTGACTTTAGTAATGATGATCAAGGCTAGGCGGAAATTTAATCGCTTTGTTTTCAGTTCATAGTGGATCAATTTGACTGAAATTTTCAGCAATTTGCCTTTACATTATCTAGTTTTTAACTATTATAGCGAGAACTGCCAACTCGTTATCGAATCTCCCATAATGTATCTTTAAGCCAATTAATAATGACAAACTATTCTGTCTTTATAAATCTATTTCTGCTTTTAACTCACAGACAAAACAAAATCCCTGTAGTATGTACGAGTCGTATACCCACCTTGTTTAGTTTAGGATTTCGTAAAACATCTATTCCTCGAACCCTTGAATGATTGATCAGATCTTTGTGTTTTTTCTTCTTTTCCTTCTCGCATGGTGTCGTGGTGTGTAACGAAGCAATGACAACTGGAGAATTGCTGAAATTATCAAATTAGAATTTGAACCAGCTGAAACTACTGCTCTCTGTCACAGCAAACCACCAGAATCGAGCGAATAGCAATTTATTTAAGAACAGAAAAAATTTAATATGAAATGAAATGGGGTTTAACATCCTACTGTTTTGCTCTGACTGAGCTAATGAAGGCAGTTATATGCCATGCAGTGTGCTATGAGGGAAATTTTGCCCGGACAGCGAAGTTACGGCCTACTCTTATATTGAAGTCTAACTGCCAAAAGATTTTTACCTGCACGCCAATGTGTACACTCGAGCTTGTTTTTTTCATCCCATCCTAATGACTAGACAAAGACCAATGACAAGGGGAAACCACTCCAAGATTGAATATGATTAAAATATATTCCATTGTTGACAGAAAGTATAATCCCATTGACCGTTCGAGTAGATGCTATATAGGCTGATAAGACTTACATCAGGATTTTTAACAATTGTGATATCTCAATCTTAACATGTAGACCTAAGCATCTATTTTTGGGGAGAATGGGGGGGGGGGCGGCAAATGGTCTTAGGTGTCCACATTAGATTATGAGGTTTGTCATTGACATTGAGTCAAGTGGAGTGGTTTTGAGTTCCCGCGTGCACGTGTCAAAGAGTAGGTCGCCTGACCAAGCTCGGGGGTTTCCCCCCCCCCCATGTTCACCCACAGCTAAAAAACCCTATGCGCAAATGAATTATTGACATAATATTGAACCAACGAATCATTAACATAATTTTGAACAATATGTTAGTCCCAAAATGTCCTAGTCTGTGTCGATTAGATGTTAATCCCCATTTCTCTATATTAAATTTTACGTTCATGCCATGGAGTCCTGATGGCTCACTAGCCAGAGAACGGCCTGGTTCCCCCTTGTTGGTAGTGCATGTGCATGACAGAGAGGCCCTGGCAAGGAACGGCACCCTGTCATTCGGATGGGATGAAAAACCCACTGTCCCACGTAAATGTTGGTTTGCATGGACAAACAAGACACTTGGCAGACAGATTTTAACAAGGAATACAGGTATGTAATACCGGTATGCCTGTCTTCATTGTGAGCAGAAAATTTTAGGACTTTAAACAGTCGTTGTTTGTGTAGAGAGCCCAAAAAAGCTCCCCTTAATTAACAAATTGAAAAAATCGCTCCCCTCAAAAAACTCTCCCAGTTTCGATAATAAGAGTGATTTTGAAATAGTAAGGAGAGTGATCTGATATTAAGGAGAGTAATTAGTTGTGTGGATGGGAAATTGTTCTGAAGATCAATAACTGCATGTTATAAGGGGTCATTATTGGATTCATAAATCATAATACCCCCCCCCCCCCCAATAACTTTGTAACGGAGATAGATTTTCAATTTTAACTTAAGGAGAGGGAGAAAGACCTCCCCTTGGTCGAAATTCAGGTGAGCGGCAGCCTGCCTTTAAAAAAAACAAACAATGACTGCTATTAAAGTACATTTCATTTTATTTAATATAATATAATATGCTGCATAATAAGTGCATTAGTCTTTTATAAAGTTTATCTTTCCTTAAAAATATAATTTATAAATCTCTTTTGAAGACTCTTGACATAATATTTAATTTTGGTGTCAGTACGTGCCATTACTGGTAAAATGTAAGCTAAGCAAATAATTGCTATGGTTTTTAAGCAAACAAGAATCGGTGGCAGTAGGTCAAATTTGCGCATCTTTGTAAATCTTCCCCATCAGCTGATATGGGGTCAAATGGGGTCATTCATAATGGAGAAAGAGACTATGCCCATCAATGGCAGTGCTCAGTAACAGAGAAATATCCATATCAAAAAAACAGTTACATTTTTTGACAGTCTAAGTAATCGCGGAATATTATCCATTCACACCGAAAATTAAATAAATTCATTACCTTTTCAACAGAAAGGGGGTTAAAACCCTCCGGGCTACCTGTGTGGTTACACTGAAAGCCATTTCGGGAGAAAGGCTGACTCAAATATCCGGCGAAATAATTAAATTTTTGTCCCTACGATCGCTACGCCCCCTTTAGGTGACCTCTCAATGTCGTGACCTCTGAAGGTGTATCCCATATTTGAATATCCAGACTTATATCAATGTGAAGAAGTCGATTATAAAAAGATGACAAGATTATCCAGACGCAAATAAACTTGATATTCATTCGGTGCTTTCCATTTATTAAGTGCAAAAAAGGGCATGACCAACATAAAAAAAAACGTTTAATAATATAATGAATAAAATAATTGTATTTGCAAAAAAATACCTTCTTATGTATAAATGTTGTTTCTGGTCCCATACAGCTTTGATCAGAGGTGAATTAAAAGAAAAGCATGACGTATATCTATTTTTTAAAAAAAAGAGAAAAAAAAAGAAAAAAGACTTCAGATATTTAAAAAAGAAAAAAATGTGCTGAATCAGAGTAAATTTGTGCAAAAAACCCCAAAAATGACAAACAAGTACATAGTATATTATGAAGAGAGAGAATTAACAAGGTTTAACATCCACATTTGATCAACACAAACTAGGTCATTTCGGGACTAGCTAACTTTATTTCAATTCGGGGGGTGGGGGGTATGGGGTCTTTAACAGGCATATAAAAATAACCGACACAGCTATTCAATTTCTGTAGTATCTGGTATTGCCTGACATTTTGCGACTTACAGGCAATGCAGTATGAAGTAGCCTATTTAAGAAACTTCTTATAACAGAAATATTTAAACATGCTTATAATAATATGTTAATTCATATTTAACGTATAAGTTATGCTGATGTGGCCTATTGTTATATTTTACTTGCATAAATGTCATATTGTACAACCAGCAGTGCTACTAAGCAGCTATACTAGCCGGAGTGTGTATGCTTTATAAAATGAAATGAAATGAAATGGGGTTTAACGTCCTACAGTTCTGCTCCGACTGGGATAATGAAGACGGGATATGCTTTACAAATGGGGTGCCCGAATGTTTTAACGCTAAGCGTCAGATCAGAACGTCTGTCATCAAAACAAGTGGCGTATTTTCCATTCTCTGCTTGTACGTGACCTTAAGAAGTAGGGTCGCTTGTCCAACCTCTGGGTGCTCCCACAGCTAAAGACACCTACACGCAAGCAAATGATTGAAATAAAATTTAACCATATGTTAGTTCCGAAATGACCTAGTTTAGCATCTCTCTCTCTCTCTCTGGGTTGGGTGGCCGAATGCGCATAGGATCACAAGGTCTGTCATTGAGTGGCGTGGTTTCGATTCCCCGCTTGTATGTGACAAGGAATAGGATGGCCTGTCCAACCCCGTGGGTTTTCTCCAGGTCCCTCCAGCTAAAGTGGAGGTTATACCCTCCCTCTCTCTCTCTCTCTCAAATATTAAATCATTATTCCATATGCTATGTAATAATAAATATAGTGTGTGGTATTGCCCTAGTTTGAAGTCAAGAGGTTACAGGTGATACACCTGGTATAAATGTACCTGGTACAGGTATTATAAATCTTTAACCTTTATTACCTGGGTGTAAGTACTGGATATTATAGTGTTATTTGTATGTCATGGTCAATAGTCTATTGTATAATAACAATATTACAATAATAGTCCTGTTCACATTGTTATTATTGAACTTGGTTGTATATATAGACACTTTCTATTGAAATATCTACAACTAGTCTGTATACTTAATAAAATGAGAGAGAGAAATGGGGTTTAACGTCCACTCAACACAAACTAGGTCATTTCGGGACTAACATATGGTTTTAATGTTATTTCAATAATTCGCATGCGCATAGGGGTCTTTAGCAGTGGGAGGAAACCAGAGGACCCGGAGAAAACCCACGAGGTTGGACAGGCGACCCCTACTCCTTGTCACGTACAACTGGGGATTCGAAACCATGCCAGTTGACTCAATGACAGGCTTTATGATAAAGCCCGAACGTGCTAACTATTCTGCCATCCATCCCCCCCTTAATAAAGTGAAATGAAATGAAATGGGATTTAACGTCCTATCGTTCTGCGCAGAACTTGGCTAATGAAGATGTGCATATGCCATACAGTGTGCTATGAGGAAAATTTTGCCCAGACAGTGGCACTACGGCCAAGTATTATATCGAGGGATATAAGGGATCTTTTATGTGCATGCCAATGTGTACACAGGACCTTGTTTTTTTCGTAACATCCGAATGACTAGACAGCTGTTCTTGACAGGCTGCATACTTGACAATGCAAATGAAATGGGGTTTAAAGTCCTACTATTCTGCTCTGACTGGGCTAATGAAGACAGGACTTACAATGCATTTTGGCCATTAATGTATAGTACTCAATTAAGGTGGGTGAACTTTAAATGGCTACACTATAGTGTAAGTCAGTGGTTGGGTAAACTAAAAGATGGATGTACTGTTGCATTTCAAGGGGAGGGTGTCTCGAATTAGGGTCCAAATTTATCAACGGTTGGGTGGCTGAATTCTAGGATTAGGTGGCTAAAATCTAGGAGTAGGTGATTGAATGACCCAATTCTAGGTGGGGTGGCTGAAATCTAGGATTAGGTGAGTGAATTCAACGAATTGATGACCCAATTCTAGGCGGGGTGGCTGAAATCTAGGATTAGGTGGTTAAATTCAACGAATTGATGACCCAATTCTAGGTGGGGTGGCTGAAATCTAGGATTAGGTGGTTGAATGATGACCCAACTCTAGGCGGGGTGGCTGAACTCTAGGATTAGGTGGATGAAGTCTAACAAGGAATATGTGGCTATGGGTGGCTGAACTCTAGGATTAGGTAGCTGATTTGAATAAGAATGGCTGAGTTGGTCCAACTCTAGGATTAGGTAGCATAACTCTAGGAATGGGCGGTTATGGGTGGCTGAACTCAGGCGATGGGCAGTCCGACTCTGGGATTAGGTGGCTGAATTTGAAGAATAAAAGGCTCAACTTTATGGTGGGGTGGTCCAACTCCTGGATTGTATGGCTGGTAACATGTCTTATGATATATGATCAACAGCCAACATTGAAACACTTGGCCACCCATTAGCTTTGCTAAAAATTTCTTATTAACATTTATATTATATTACAAAAGATAGGTTGCCAGGCAACGAAACATATGCCCAGAGCAGCTAAGTCGTTCAGGCAGTCGACAAGGGTTGTTGCATATTTTTTCTTTTGTCAGTAATGAGAACATTTACAACACATGAAAATCTGATTACAAGTAATAACCCATTAAGTAATTATCCGAAATCATTAGAATTTCTTTCGATTGTTTGTCTAATGTCCTTAAGCAATTTATATTAACTTTAGCCGCTAGAGCATCCACAAGATATTTCAAAGTGATCAAGGGCCATAACTCTGGCAGTAATTATCAGAAATCGTTGAAAATCAACAGACGTCTTCATCTCATTGCCTTAAACACTGTGTATAAATTTAAAGTCAATCGGTGAAATTCAATAGGCTTCTTCGTTTCATGACCTTAAACACTGTGTATAAATTTAAAGTCAATCAGATATTAACTTTAGCCTCTAGAATGTCCAAAGATTTTCAAGGTGGTCAAGGGCCATAACTCGGGTAGTAATTATGAGAAATCAGTGAAAATCAATAGGCTTTTTCGTCTCATGAAATTAAACACTATGTATAAATTGAAAGTCAATCTGATATTAACTTTAGTCTCTAGAGCGTCCACAAGATTTTTCAAAGTGATCAAGGGCCATAACTCTGGCAGTAATTATCAGAAATCGGTCCAGAGTGTCCACAAGCAATTGTGGACACCAGACAGACAGATGGGGCATGACGACAATTTACTACCACATTTAAATGTGGGCATATAAAAACTCATATCAGTAATATCACAGTTTTATTATCGTTAATATTCTAAGGAAAACATATTTATATACAAATAAGATAGGATAAAGGTGTTTATTATTGCATCAAAACTACAATATTGGAAAAGTTGAATCACTCAAGGAAATCAGACCATAAATGGCTCAGTTCTAATCAGTATTTAAAAGAACACGAAGAATTCAAAATCTCCCAACATTCAGCATCCCTTATGGTGAAATTTATGCCAAAAGTCCTACTGTTCTCTGATTGCATGTTGTTTTTTTTTAAAAATAAGACCTTTTTTCTGCAGTCGACTATCTTTTATTTTTGCATATCCATTTTGAAATCTTCCTTAACTTGCTTCAGTAAATCTGGGTTCATCATCACATCTAATGTTGTCATTGCCAGTGCCTTGGCAACCGATAAAGTGTAACCCTGAGCAACAGGAGACCCTGAATCAATATAAAAATACATTATCAATCATCCAACTGGCCAATCCCCAACATCAAAGTGGAATATTCCTTTTTTTCTACCAATGAAATCTCTTCTCTTAAAGATGCATTATGTAAGAGCTTACTCTGCCTTTTACAGATCATTCGTTTGGCCTCAAATGCTATATAAATCATTAATTAGACATATATTCACATACCAAGCCCATAACTCTCTACATGATGGGATGGTTGTGATTTCAATGGATTTAAATGAAATGAAATGAAATGGGGTTTAACGTCCTACTGTTCTGCTCCTATACTGGGCTAATGAAGATGGGCATACGCCATACAGTGTGCTATGAGGGAAATTTTGCCCGGGCAGCGGCACTATCGCCTACTCTTATATCGAATTCCAACTGCCAAGGGATCTTTTACGTGCATTCCAATGTATACACGGGACCTCGGTTTTTCGTCTGCATCACTGACAAGGGGAAACCATGTCGGAAAATCAATGGATTTAAATATCATCGTCAGTTAATAATTTAATTAAAAATTGGATTATCAAGACTTTGTTTTTTATTGTAACAATGGTAGCAAAAATCTTGGTTCCTTTCAATATTGGGATGTATCGGACCGTAACTTCATAGGCATATCTTTCATGGCAACAGCATGTTAACTATTATAGCGAGAAATATATCAAAGTCTTACATAATGCATCTGTAAATGCCATTTTAGTAATTGATAGTAAACACAACATATTTATATGGATTACAATTACTGATTTATTTTACTAGCGACAACCATTTCTAAGAGAGAGAGAGAGAGAGAGAGAGAGAGAGAGAGAGAGAGAGAGAGCGATATGGGGTTTAACGTCTACTTGTTACAAACCAGGTTCCATTTTATTTAAATAAAACCCATAAGGTAGGGCAGGCGACCCTACTCCTTATCACGTACAATAGGGGAATCGAAATCACGCCAGTTGACTCGATGACATGTAGCACCATGGGTCTTTTGTCTGACGTGGAGAGCGGATTAAGGGAACCGGTCGTCACATCCTACATATGACCCATGCATCTTTTCTTACTACATATTTCTGTAGCCTTGTGATCGCCTAGAATTTGTCTCTAGCTGTCTTTACTTCTGCTTCACGTTGTGTATTTACTTCTTAATGGTTTTCTTAAGACGTTTGTCTTACCAGGAATAACAATGCGACAGTTTGCTTCTATATTTTATATATATATAGCTGAATACAGGTATACAAGCATAATAGATAACAATATTAGCTAAAACCATTTCTCAACCCTATCCAGCCTCGCGGCTGTCTAGGAACTCAGATGTAAGCTCTCTGGAACCTAATAGAAGCCTGACTTACAGGGTTCCACGGTTTCTTTTAAAGGTATATGAATATCATGCACAATAAAGCGTGATCATGGACCTGAACTTGTGTAATTAACGATATGATTGGTTACTTTAAGTCAAATGATGCAATTAGAATAATTCCACTCACGTGTAATTCTGGTGGTAAAATATTGACACGTTTTGGTTAAAGAGCTCTTTTTTATATGTCAACTGTCAATTACAGACTAAGTTGATTTTGTACAATTCTACATATGTGGGAACCTACCAATTTGCCAAAGATATTAACTAGTGAAATATAAAGCCATCTTATTTCTCTATTCCTTGTCTATAAATTTAAAAGCAATGTCGCCACCACGATAGTGCTACAGACAGACCTTATGATAAGCGACATTTCTACCATGGTAATGTGTTGTGTTAATATGCAATCTTATTAAGACACACATCCTATTTTCTTGCGTTTTTATTGTTCAAAGTCTTGTTTAACTTGTCTTTACTACACTACAATCTGAAGTAAGGGATTGGCCAATCAAATGGTCTGTTTAAGTTGTCTGTCTAGCGGAACTGTGAGTAGACATTAGCAGCGATAGAAAACAAACCAAAGCAAAAGATGTATTTCTGAATAGCCACTAGAAACACTGACACTCATTGGGTAATCAAATGACTGACATCATAGGGTCAAAAATCGTTGGTATGACCCCTGACGTGACCTCCCACTACAACAGGTTATGAAGGTGAGGCCATCGACAGAATAACAAATGAAATGAAATGAAATGGGGTTTAACGTCCTACTGTTCTGCTCTAACTGGGCTAATGAAGACAGGCATACGACATACAGTGTGCTATGAGGGAAATTTTGCCTGGGCAGCGGCAAAATGGAATACTCTTATATCGAATTCCAACTGCCAAGAGATCTTTTATGTGCACGCTAATGTATACACAGGCCCTCGGGTTTTTCGTCCCATCTGAACGACTAGAAAGCTGTCCTTGTCAGGCCCTGCGATCTGCATCCCTGACAAGGGGAAAATATGCCGGAAAATCCTGATAAACTTTCTCGGCTACTGCAGGGAAGATCTTTATGTAGTGGAGGCCATCGACAGAATACCAAAAATGATACAAAATATAGATCTGTATTTTAAACAAATCGGTTAATATCTAATGTACCTGAAGCTGTTGTGAATTCTTGAGAATGGTTAACAGCTGTTGTACCAATATTGAATTTAGGATGTATACTTGGTACGACTTGTGATACATTCCCCATGTCCGTTGATCCTCCCTGTTTCCTTAAAATATCTGGATTTGTTTCAGTTTGTATTCCCACTTTATTCCCGTTCACCTCGTATAAAGAAGCAAGAGTATTATTAGAGACTAAAGCTGAATACGGTTTCTTACTATATTCACAATCAACCTGAAATAAAGTTAGAATTTTATTAATTTCTTTTTAATTTGGGTTGGATTTACATTTATGGGGAGAGAGAGAGAGAAAAAGAGAGAGAGAGAGATGGGGTTTAACGTCCACTAGACACAAACCAGGTCATTCTGGGAGTAACATATGGTTTAATTTTATTTCAATAATTCGCATGCGTGTAGGAGTCTTTAGCAGTGGGAGGAAACCGGAGAAAACCCATGAATTTGGAGAGGCAGGGAATCTAAACCAGGCCAGTTAATTCAATGACAGACATTATGATGCGCTAAGCATTCGGCCATCCAACCCCCTATTTACATCTTATCAAAGCTGAATTAAAGTTACATTATGTAAGATTTAGATAAAGAGCTGTCTGTTCTTGCTGCAATAGTTCAAAAATAGAGAATGCAAAATGAATATATTGAAAATTCCATTTAAATAACTTTATTCTTAGCCAAGTTATCACTGTTTGTAGTTTTGACAAAATGTTTGCATTGATTGTTTATTATCATAACCATGGTACTGGTATCTTAGCCATTATTAAATCAGATTATTAAATGGCCTAACCATTCTAATCTACTAAAAAATCAGAGCCGCCTGATGGCATCAAGAGTTGATTATGGTCTTGTCAAGTTAATTAATGTCTGATTAATAATTTAGATAACATTTCAGGCCTAAAGAAAGACCTGCAATAGGCAGATTTAGCTCTTGCATAATGTATGTTTAATATATAATTTAGAAAACAAGATCAAAATATCAACGGCAGAGAATCTCCTGATGTGAATTCAATGAGAGAGGTTGCTCTGGGTGGTGTTGACCATGACCTATATATCGGCTACAATGGATGCTGAATTCTCAATTCCTCATATTATCTTTATGAATACCAAAAAGAATTAAACCATAAAAATAATTTACACATAATAAGGTATTTTTCGCAAATAGTAATTTTCAATTATATATATGTTATTCTTTTTATGTTTGTCATTTTCTTTTTGCAAGGGGGGTTGGAAGGCCGAATGGTTAGCACGTGCGCGATGTATCACGAGACCGGTCATTGAGTCAACTGGCGTGGTTTCGAATCCCCAGATGTACGTGACAAGAGGGTTGCCTGTCCAACCTCATGGGTTTCCACCAAGTCCTCCGGTTTCCTCCCACTGCTAAAGACCCCTACGCGCAAGCGAATTATTGAAATAAAATTAAAACCATATGTTAGTCCCGAAATTACCTAGTCTGGGTCGAGTGGACGTTTAGCCCCATTTCTCTCTCTCTCTTTCCTTTTTGCACTTGGCCTGTAAATTGAAAAATTGAATGAATATCAAACTTTGTAAAGTATATATATACTCACAGTACATCCTGTTGCTGTAGCAGCTGCCTTGATACATGAATCAACTTTATTAATTAATACGTCTAGTTCTGGATTAGTTGGTGCACGGATATAATACAATAATTCTGTTAAATCTGGTATTATATTGGGTTTCTCACCTCCTTTAGTTATTACACCTGTAAAGAAAGCAAGATGGGGTTTAATAAAACGTCCACTCAACACAAACTAGGTCATTTGGGGACTAACATATGGTTCAATTTTATTTCAATAATTCGCTTGTGCATAGAGGTCTTAAGGAGTGGGAGGAAACCGGAGGGCCCGGAGAAAACCCTACTCCTTGTCATATACAACCAGGGAATCGAAACCACACCAATTGACTCAATGACAGACTTTATGATACAACGTGCACACCTTAACCATTCAGCCATGCAATCCCCCTATTACACCTGTAAAAATATACAATTAAACAAATGAAATGGGGTTTAACATCCTACTTTTATGCACCGACTCGGCTAATGTAGCCGGGCATACACCATGTATTAGTTGGTTTTCAGACTCTAACTGTGAACACTAAAGGGAGATAACTCGTGCAGCAATTTATTCACTAGGTATCCCGAAAATAGCTTAAAGGGGCATTATGTAAGATTTAGATAAAGAGCTCGTCATTCTCGCTATAATATTTCAAAAATAGATAATGCAAAATGAATATATTGAAAATTTCATTCAAATTTATAGGAGCGAAGTTATTAATAGTCGTAGTTTTGACAAGATGTGTGCATTGATTGTTTAAGCTTTAGTACAGATGTGTTTCATTAATAAATCTCAATAAAAATCCTGATATTTTCTTATATTTTTAGAGAACAGACAAATTCCTTAATCACACTTTATTGAAGTTCCATGTCTGTCTTCATTAGCCCAGTTGGTGCAGATAAGTAGGACGGTAATCCCATTTCATTTTTTTATTTTATTTTATTTCATTTTATTTTATTTATATTTCCTTTCATTTTCATTTTCATATGCTAGGGGTTAGTATTTTGGAGTCCAATTCATTCACATAGACCAGCTCAATCATTATTTATAATTCAGGCCTTCTCAAAAAGTGTGAATAACATACCATGAACTCGCCATGTTGGCTTCATCTGTTGTCGTAGACACGATATGTTCTGATAACACATGACAGCAGCGTCTAGAGCGTTTATACCTTCCCATGGAAACCCTGCAGCATGTGAAGCTCTGCCCTTGAACCGAATTACAACCCTGGAGTACAAAAAATAATGTAGATAACTTTATATATACTCTTCAAAAAAAGTAGGGGATATTCAGAATTTCTAAATCAGAAACAATACAAAACTGCGGAAATGCACTGCTGTTTTTATTAGATATAACCAGTGTATGTTAATAACAGGCCAATTGCCTACACATGAACATAAACAGTTCATTTGGTCGGCTTATTTGACGGCCCCATTTCACTCGCAAAGAGATACACTGTGAAAAGTGAAAATGGACATTTTTGATTTTTGTCTTAATAGTGTAAAAATTGAGGTGCTAAAGGGCAGTGGAACAGGAATTATATTTGGGGACATTTTTGGAGATTGCTGTATCCTAGAGTCAGTTTGTAGAATATCTGGGGGAATATATCAGATACCTACTACTGACGGCTGAAATACACATGGCTTCCCATGTACATATGGGGTATGGGAGGTGGATGGCCGAATGGTTAGCACATGCGCGCTGTATCATAAGATCTTTCATTGAGTCAACTGGCATGGTTTTGATTCCCAAGTTATACGTGACAAAGAGTAGGGTCACCTGTCCAAATTCGTGGATTTTTGAAGAATGCAAAAAGATTGCATGAAAATGTGGTTGGCAAGAAATATATTTTGCCGACCAACTGTAAAAACTGATAGCAGCACGCCAACCGGTTTCACACGCCACTGCTCTAGGTAGTAGTAGTTTCGGGCGTGGGTTTCCGGTGATAGAGAGTAATATATAAAATGGTACATACTGATTCATCGCGACATATATAGGTCTAGGTAACATGAACTGTGAAGGATGAGCCATCATAGCACAATCAATATCATCTAACACACCAGCATTAATCAGATCTATTTTACCTCCACCACCTTCTTCTGCTGGTGATCCAAGTACCGTCAACTAAAAACATAAATAATCCAATATCATACATAGTCGTCAAATGAAATGAAATAAAGTTTAACGTTCTACTTTTCTGAACCAGGGGCGGATCCAGAGGGGTTGCTCAGCCACATAAAATTTTTTGCAAAACAACCTTTTTTATGAGAAAAGTGCCATAATTGTGCTTTATCCTTTATCGTCAGATGGTGCGACAGGATGGGCACTCAAAGCGCGAGATAATGATATAGACATATGTGATATCACAATTAATGCTTTGCATCAATAAAATTGAATCACAATGTCATCGTATTAATTCATAATAAAAATTGATATCAAACAGGATGTTGGATTTCTCTGTTTAAAAAGCTCAATGTTTAAACGCCAAAATGACAATAGAGACCATGTATTTCTGTATTTCTCAAAATATTCAAGCCAAGGAGGGGGGGGGGATACATTTTCTCAGGAATCCGGCAAATCCCCTCCTGCAAAAATTCCTGGATCTGCCCCTGTGAACCCATCTGGCTAATGAACATGGGCGTGCACCATACAGTGTGTTATGAAAGTCATTTTGCTTGGACAGCAGTGCAATGGCTTACTCTTATTTCGAATTCCAACCGTCAACGTTTCTCGTTTCTTTTATAGGCACACCAGTGGCATTTCCATCTATTTTTCTTCAAATTCCAACTGCCATGGGTTCTTTTACATGCACGCAAATGTGGACCTCAAACAGTGGCGGCGCCAGCCGTCGGTGATTGGAGGCGCAAAGCTGAGGCAAAGTCCAAGGTTAAGGGGGCAAAGGCACGAGCTTTAACTAGGGGTAGGGGGCCTCCCCCAGAAAATTTTGAAAAACAGGTTGCCGGAAATGCAGCCTGGCAGTATTTCAGGCATTGATCGATGAGGTAAAGTGTCAAACGAACGGACTTGCGAATCACGACGAAGCCCACTCACGAGCGTCAAATTAAGGAGTCCTCCCCCAGAAAATTTTGAAAAATAGACTGCCGGAAATGCTGTCTTACAGTATTCTGTCAGGCACCGATCGTCGAGATAAATAGATATGCCCAGATACCGTTCGTCGCCTGATCACTAGTTTATCTGACTAGAGAACAAAATGTCAAACGAACGGACTTGCGAACCTCAACGAATTCCCATTGTGAGCGCCAAAGTAGCGAGTCCATTGGGGACCTCGCCAAGAACATTTTGAAAAATAGACTGTCGGAAATGCTCTACAACATGCAAGTTTATGACTGAGTAGGGATGTGGGATTTATTCACCGTAGAAGGTATTGATTACTGAAACGTATCGCAAATACTTTTTTTTATTTTCTAAAATTATTGGGGGGGCAAACAGAGGGCAGACCAGATTAATGGGGGGGGGGGATGTGGGATTTATTCACCGTAGAAGGTATTGATTACTGAAACGTATCGCAACTACTTTTTTTTATTTTCTAAAATTATTGGGGGGGCAAACAGAGGGCAGACCAGATTAATGGGGGGGGCAAATGCCCCCCCCTGGTGCCGCCACTGACCTCAATATGTCACATCCGAACGATGGCTCAATGAGTATGATGCTGGCTCGCTAACAAGGAAGTCTTGGGTTTGCTCCAAGTGTTGTCCAAGAAAGTTCCTGGGGGTTTTCCAGCACGTTTTTCCCCTTACCAGTGGAGTACAACTGCCTGGTAAAGGACGGTGTCTAGTTGTTCGGATGGGACTAACAACCAAAGTCCGGTGTACACATTGGCATGCACATAAACCATTGTTTGGAATTCAAAATAAGAATTGGTTGTAGCCCAGCTATCCTGGCTATCCGGGCAAATTTTCACTCAATCAAGATTCTGATGCTGGATGGTGCACAAGCTAAATCGAGTGCCTTAAAGTAGCTACGACTCCAACTCAATATCATCCAAGATATTAATGCTGGAAGGCGCATGAGCTAGATCGGATGCTTAAAGATACATTATGGGAGATTTGATAATGAGTTGGCAGTTCTCACTATAATAGTTAAAAACTAGATAATGTAAAGGCAATTTGTTGAAAATTTTATTCAAATTGATCCACTATGAACCGAGAACTAAGCAATTGAAATTTCCGCCTAGCCTCGATCATCATTACTAAAGTCAGTACGATAAACAGCATAGTCTCGATTATCCATTTAATCGTTAAATCGTGAAGGAAAGTTATGCAGTATATAGGCTCATAATCCACTAAAGATCGCAGGCTAGCGATGCCATCTAGAGTTGATTATGGTCTGGATAGGTTAATTAATGTCTAATTAATAATTTAGATAACATTTCAGGCCTAAAGAAAGACCTGCAATAGACAGATTTAGCTCTTGCATAATGTATGTTTAAAAGAGCAATGACTGAATCATGGATGTTACATTGGGTAGGCTATATGAGTGACAAGTTGTAAATATTACTCACGGTCCCCAATTCTTTATTCGATGCTTTCATACCAGCCATTATTCCAATAGAAGTAGCCACTCCTAGCTCAGCAATCAAATTATGACCACAGGCATGTCCGATACCTGGTAATGCATCATACTCACAGAAAACAGCAATATTAGGTCCGGCACCTCCTTTATAAACAGCTTTAAATGCTGTCTTGAGTTTGTGCTCCCTCTCGACACTAAAACCATGTTTTTCTAAATAATCTGTCAAAACTTTATGCGCGTGATGCTCCTCAAAACATAATTCAGGATGGTTCCAAATGTTTTGACTTAATTTGTTTAAATTGTCTGAATCTTCGTCGATGGCTCGGCACGCTTCCGTTTTGACCGGCTCCATGGTTACGTTGGATTTTGGTTTTGGTAGTCCAGAATAAAATCTGTTGTGTTTAGTTATAACTTCTACTGTTACTGATAATCTACTGTTAATACTAAGCACACTCCGAAACCTGCAAATAAATATTCATAGAGGTGTTAACATATAAGAGCTGTAATTATAGTACCAGTAAGGCCTACTGATAATAACTTTATTTAAAAAAACATAGAAAATTATAGGTCAAGGGCCTGTCTTACATCTTATGTTACACCCTTGTACACCTGGAAATTACAAATACCCCCACCCCACCAAAAGAATGCATTAAATAAATATACAATAGGGGACATAGAGAGAGAAATGGGGTTTAACGTCCACTTGACACAAACTAGGTCATTTATAGGGACCAACATATGGTTCAATTTGACTTCAATCTTTAGCAGTAGGAGGAAAACAGTGGATCCGAAGACAACCTGCGAGGTTGGATAGGTGACCCTACTCCTTGTCACGTACAACCAGGCAGGGAATCGAAACCACGTCAGTTGACTCAATAACCATTTGGTCACCCCCCCTCCCTCCGGGCCCTGTCTGTAGGCTACAATTACAATAGACAAGTCAATAGTCAATAGGCTAAGTCTGGTTACTGGTAGTATAATTTTAAAAAGTGTAACACAAAAGCACCCCCCAAACCCCACCCATCCCTTCGTCCCGCCCTACGTCCCGTCCTCCTTCCAAATCTATGCCTGTGACTGCACATTAATTCATGACAGATTGCATTCCACCTCTGAGCTGACGGTATCAGCAGTCAGCAGGACCAAAACGAAAGTAGACAATCCATATACTACGGTAGGCCTACCGTAGTAAACCATGAAAAACAGTCTCCAGAACAAGGTCATAATAAGTGCAAATTATATATGTAACTGGGGTATTAATGACAGCATAAAGTAACTTCTCAGACAATACGCATAACATTAATAAAGTATTTACCATAACCCTTTCAATAATGCCATATCAAGTCAAGGGGAGATAACAAAATGGAGTTATCTACCTTTAACCAAAAATACTATACAAAAAAAAAAAGGTATTATCAGGTCACAAAGATCCTTTTGGTTTCGATAAAAGTAGCCTACCGTCAATGAAATACATTTCATTACACCACTTCACAAAAATTTCATTAAGTCATCCCCACCAGTTCCTTAAACGTCTAGATAAGTAGAAATACCATGTAGCCCTGGTGGCAGCGTCAAAGGAAGTAGGTGTGAGGGCCTGATCAGCACCCCCCCCCCCAACCCCCATTATCGGACACACTTTAAATATTCAAAAATTAATGCATGCACTTTTTCATTTGAAGCAAGGGAGTCGCACTGGCTCATTGAGGAAGACACTACCTTGCTAGGCTTAAGGTCTTGGTTTCTTCCAAATGTCTGAGAAAGATCCTCTGGATTTTCCTGTGTGGTTCCCCCCTTGCCAGTGGTAGAGTACAGATGGCCTGACAAGAACAGTGTCTATTCGTTAGGATGGGAAGAAAAACAGAGGCCTGTGTACATATTGGCATGCATGTTAAAGAACCCTTTGCAACTGGAATTCGATATAAGAGTAGACTGTAACACCACTGTCTGGACAAAATTTCCCTCATAGAACACTGCATGACGTATACCTGTCTTCATCAGAATAATAATGACTAGAGAAGCCTAGTCGAAGCATCGCTCAGTAATAAGCAGTATTTGTATTCCATAGAATTGTGACAAGTATACTCCAGTTCAATTACTAAATGCCATTGAAACAATTCATCAGCCCAGGGCGATGGACTGGGCTCATTTCAATATCCTTCCCTTAACTGCGATTGGAATACAAAAAATAAACAAAAAACAAAATGTCACGAATTACGAGTATAAAATGTTAAAGTTATATTATTAAATCATAATATTTACAATACAATAAAAACAAACTCACAATATTTAATATTTTACACAAATAACCATAGACTACTATACAATATAACCATTACTTCCTTATCGTTTATCATTACAATATAACCATTACTTAACTAGTCCAGTTAATCATTACAATATAACCATTAATCTTTTAATCACAAGCATATAGGTGCTAAATAAAACAATATGATCATCATATTTAACTTTCATTCTACCAGAGATGCCAAGATAAACGACTACCCTAAACCTGTGACACAAGTTTCCTTATATTAAGACTGAGTCACGCTAGCGGATTGAATGTTAGTAAAAGTCTTATAAAGGATAAGTCATAGAGGTCATTCTTGGTTTTGGTCTGGTTGAGAACGATATGGGCTATTTGGAGAGAGTGAGAGGGAGAAACTAGGTCAGTTCGAGACTAACACATGGTTCAATTTTATTTCAAACATTTGCTTGCGTGTAGGGGTCTTTAGCAATGGGAGGAAACCAGAGGACCCGGAGAAAACCCATGAGGTTGGACAAAACGACCCTACTCCTTGTCACGTACAACTGGGGATTCGAAACCACGCCAGTTGATTCAAGCTATTTGGAGAAACACAAGTGATAATCAGTTAACAGTATAAATCCTACATGATTAGGACCTGTTCTGTACGCTAGATTTTATCTGTAGACCAATAAATAAATCTGTAACCTGTTTAGTAAAAATAAGGCCATCATTTTGATCGCCATTTCCCTTGTTATCTACATCCCTCCATAGGTATCTTTATCGATTGTTTATACTCTTTCGGTTTACAACATCGGATGAAAGTCAGAATCAAATTAATAGGAACAGCAGATAAGCAGGATAATATATTTCAGAATGTTGACAACAACAAAAGGATTAATTTATGAATTCAGTGTTTCAATAATAAGAATAGGCTGAAGTGACAATAAAATACAATATTCTATCTATGATACATGAGGATAATGGGATGAAAGATTAAATCATACACAGCCGGCCTGGAAATAACGGTTTTAGATGTACCTGACAAAATGTCAGGCACTAATTAAATAGTATGTGACATTTTCAACTTAGTACTGGACATGTATTAATAATATCAATAAAAAGACAAATCAGTGCCGGACAAAATGACAGGTACCAGAGGTTTTGTGTCTGACAAAGCCTGAATCTGTTTCTGACATTGTCTGTGACAGGTGCCTTATTTCCAGGCTTGCATAAAGTAAAGGTTTTCACACTTTATTACAGTAACAATAACAACACACCAAATGAATTTTCTGTTTTTCGGGAAAACCTTTTAAAATTTAGCTTCTTATTTCTACAGGAAAATGACTAATTTAAAACAAAAAGTACTTCATTGCACTGTTTAAAAGCTTTTAGTTTTAAATTTTTATATTTTGAAATTATAAACAAACTTTTAGTTCTCAATTTTGAAGTTTTGAAATTTTTAAAATTATAAAGTTTTGAAATTTTGAAATTTTAAAGTTTTGAAGTTTTGAAAAGTTTTGAAATTTTGAAATTTTGAAATTTTAAAATTTTAAATTAAACATCTTTCATGTGATTCAAGTGGCTATTTATTTATCAAGCCTCCTGAAGAACTGAAAATTACATTGGTTTGGCCTTAAACTAGAAATGAAAACAAATATATCGACACAAATAAAATCGACTAAAAAAAAGTGAAGAAGGAAGCAATTCAATAATAAAAAATTTGTTTTTGTTAATCGACAAAAATAAAATCATTACAAAAAAAAAGAAGGAAGAAATTCAATAATAAAACAGATATTTTTGCTAATATTGACAATCTTGATATAAAATCTGACTCAAAAAGAATGTCTATCTACAGAAAAAGAAGTCAATTCTATGCACAATAATGTCTAAGAATCCATCATTGATTTTTATTGGATCTGTTGATTTTAAAGTAAAAGAATATTTTTGTCTGTAGTTTTATTTTTGGTCACTGGATATTTTATCAAAAATGGCGTGGAACACTTCTTCAAACATTGTGCATAAATATTCCAAGAGCATGTTTCCCATAGTTTTATATGTAGTAGTTGAATATTTATGAAAGACAACTACATAGGGAATAAAAATTCTAAATTAATTCTCATACAAGTGTGTCTTGTGTTTGAAGTCTGTAGTGGTTAATATTCACATACATAGGTATATTATATTATATATCTACCAAGGCATTGTTGTATGTCAACTGTACCTTCATTGAGCTACAATTTACTGTACAAAATAACAAATCTTTTGTTCGGCACAGAATTATAAAATGAAGAGATGAGAAATATTTTCACTAAAAAATTTCAGAAAAATGAACACACACTGAGAAATATGACATGTAATTATCTGGCCATGATTTCACAAAGCATTCTCAGACTTAAGAATTTACTCAACTTTCAATCACTGTTTATGAGAAATATCTTCGATCCAGAAACACAAAACTCATTGATGTATTTGATAAATTAACTAAAGTATAGCCCATTATAAAGCTTTTGTTGTTTTAAAATAAGGCAAACAATTTTGAGTAAATTCTTAACTTGAGTCTGAGAATGCTTTGTGAACTCGGGGCCATGTTTCAGTTTGCTTTTGATTTCCGATGCACTCTTTTATCATAAATACTTAAACAAGGACTACCACTTCAAAACTTTAACAGCCAGCTTATTATTGACATTTGAAGTATTTTGTTTACTTCAGATTAACAAGACACATTTTTTTCCAACGGAACATTACAGTTTTTTTAAATTTGTCGTAATTTTTCTTGTATATTTTTAAGTGTTTTTACACCGAAAATCTGTTTTTTTGAGGTCAAATTCTGTGAAATTTTAATTTCATGGCATGTATAAATTGACCTACGGTTAAGTTCTATAATCGGTCAAATTCACAGGCAATCAGTCCAGGCAGGTAAATATGGCTGAAATGTGAGCCCTGATTTAAAGTATAGCGATAGTTTCTGGATTCAGACTACCAATAGTCTGATAATTTTTTAATTCTGTACATCATGTATAATCTGTTCCATAGATTGTGTTTATTTACATCTGACGTAGTTTGGCTAACCTCTGTGATAATTCATCCTGAAAAGAACACAGAAAGATATATGTTTTGATTTGAAAGAAAGGACAAACAGATCTTAACATTAATAATCACACTATCTTACTAGGTTGTGTCCATCCGGTGGCTAAGCGGGTAAGATGCCGGCACGCTAGTCTGGAGGTCGCGTGTTCAATCCCGGCATTAGCCGAGAAAGTTCATCGGGATTTTCTGACGTGGTTTCCCCTTGTCAGTCGTGCCGGACGAAGAGTTAGACAAGAACAGCTGTCTAGTCATTTGGATGGGATAAAAAAACTGAGGTCCCATGTATACATTGGCATGCACGTAAAAGATCCCTTAGCAGTTGGAATTCGATATAAGAGTAGACCATAATGCCGCTGCCTGTGCGAAATTTTCCTCATGGAGATGAATTTATATAAGCTTTGGCTTGTTTTCAGATCCACTATATCAGTTTTGTAAATAATCATGATATAATAGAAATAAAATATTGTTTACACCAAATTTTCCTCATAGCACACTGTATGGCATATGCCCGTCTTCATTGAGCAGAACAGTAGGATGTTAAACAACATTTCATTGACATTAGCCTTTTTAGTGGTTAGTGCAGAAAAGCAGGCGATTTACTCCCATTTCATTCCATAAAGCATACAGCAACTGGTTGGCAATAGTGTGTGGATGTGCCGATTTCAACATGACAGTTACAATCTGGAGTGACCCATTCTACACAAAAACTCATATGTCATACAATATCCACATTTCTTGGCACATTTTCAGCATAAATTGACATTTGACAGATTTAAAAACTTTTCATTGGATTGAAAATGGAATTAAACAGACTTTGTCATACAATACAATAGATACAGGTGCCTTATGGGAAGGCTTGCAGACAACGTATGAAAATAACCCACCTGTTCTGTTGAAGCTTGTGTAGATGATGCTGTTCCTATTGTTGATCCCTGGGCTTGTGGTAAATCCATATTTAACTCTAGCCTGTGGAGAGAGAAAAAATATAAAAATTGAACACAGTATGAAGAAAATGAGAGGATATGTAGCAAGACAACGAAACACAACATGTTAATTCTAAAGCAACTCGTAATTGTTTCTGGAAAACTTGATCGTATATGCAGGATAAAATTATAATAATATAACTTATATTTTAATCATAATCTTTAATTCTTGTTGTTTGATTCCATTTGATAAAAAATATCAACACAGACACCATTCAGTATTATAGGTTTTTCTATCGTTTCTAAGCAGTCATTCTACTAGTAGGAGTCGCTACACTATTCACGTTTTATACAGTTTCCAGGACAGACATTCTACTAGTCGGACCTGCTACACTATTCTAGATTTCATACCGTTTCTAGGGAGTCATTCTACAAGTCGGAGTTGCTACACTATTCTACGTTTTATACAGTTTCCAGGACAGACACTCTACTAGTCAGACTTGCTACACTATTCTAGGCTTCATACCGTTTCTAGGAGTAACTATGCTAGCTGGTTGTGCTGCCCGACATATATAATATTTAAACATTTTGATAAAGGAATTAAATAGTTAAATGAACCTACCCTGCCTCATCTGCTACTTCTTGCATCAAACTATCAACTTGGTTCTGTGGTGTTGTTAATGTAGATGTATTGCACATTGTACTCTCCATTACTTGGGACTGGACATCTAAATTCTCAAACTGTTGTTCAAATCTATCCATTAACTGAGACACCTAGAATATACAACAAAACATTGGTAAAAATATAGGATGGATGAGAAAGAGAGAGAGAGAGAGAGAGAGAGTTTAATGTCCACTCGACTAGGTCATTTCGGAACTAAAATATATGGTTCAATTTTATTTCAATAATTTGCATGCACGTAGGGGTCTTTAGCAGTGTTGCATGCACGTAGGGGTCTTTAGCAGTGGGAGGAAACCGGAGGACCTGGAGAAAACTCTACTCCTTGTCACGCACGTACAACTAGGGAATCGTAACCACGCCAGTTGACTCAATGACAGACCTTATGATACAGCACGCACATGCTCTCCATTCGGCCATCCAACCCTCCAACTTCTGCTTAATCTTTTCCGCAATAAAAAATAAAAGTTGATGATATAAGAAAAGAGAGAAAGTTCCATACATTAGAGAAAATATAGCAGCAATACCTAGTCATAGGATATGAGTTTGTAGCTTAATTGTTTTAAAATAATTCCTCAACTGATCTAAGCTAATTTATCGAGGACGATAAAATACAATGTGTCATTGCTAAAATTTAAATTTTCTCGTGCCTTAATCCATGCTTATATGTAGGCCCACTCAGGTTGATTATTTAATATTTAATTAAGAAAACATAATCAAAATACCAAAGCTAGATAATGTCCTAGCTAAGATTCAACAGATTTAAATTAGGCTCATCAGGTTTCTCCATTACCATTAAAAGAAGGTGGTGTCTTGTTATGCTCAAGCTGTATAGGTCGATAAAATTTCAGTTTATCAGAACTTGTTAAATACTGACTGGAACTGAACCATTTTGGAACTGATATTCATATTAGAGATTCATATTTCACAATATTGTAATTTACAAGGGATTCCTGTTGATTAAAATGATGCAACATTAGTAGTTAGTATACACAGTACCTTTTCCAAATTCATAGATTTCATAGCTGATTCCATAGATTTTACTACTCCTGCCATAGAACTTGTCACTTGTTTTGTGGTTAGAGCTGTTTGTACACGTTGAGCTACGGCATCAATTCTAGCTCCCATTCTGCGATAATTTAAAGCCTGATTCTTTTGACGAATGGCGTTCTCAGCATGAATCTTTGCACCTTCCATATTACCTTTGGCTATAGACTGAAAAATATCCAAAACATTTTATAAAACTTGGGAAGGACATTTATTTAATAGAGGTACTGGTACCTGTCTTTTTGGAATGTGTAAGTAATGTATCTCTTAACCTATATATGTCCTTAAACAACTGAGGAATCAACTTAGAGAATGATTCATTCAGCTAGAACTTTGACGTAATTACAGACTTTAATTCAAGGCAAGATATACACGGTATATGGCTGATTTACGACTTCCCCTTGTCAGTGGTGCAGGACAGAGAGTTTGGCAAGGAAAAAACATCTAGTTGTTCGGAAGAGACTCAACTGAGGTCTGCACATGTACGCATTGGTGTGAACTAAAACAACCCTTGAAAGTTGAAACTATGGTTTCCATGGCGGTCAGGACTACTGAAAATGACTGAAACTAGAACTGGCCCATCGATCAATTTGCACATCGGAAAAATAGCATATTTTTCAAAACCCAATTTTCAAACATGGCCCTACGATCTACCTCTGCTATGTAACTATAAAATTCTACAGCCTGTACATATTAATGTACACGTATAGGAGCCACTCCATGAATAGTAGGCAGAAACGATGCTAAAGTGGCAATATTACCTTCATGCAAGTAGCACACTGTATGGTGTATGATTTCTTCATTAGTCTGGTTGGTGCGAAGAAGTACACAAGTAGGATACTAAATATTTATAATTTACAACAATACAGGTAGGCTACTTACTTTCTTTAATTTATTTTTTTCATCTCTTTCTGATTTTTCTGACTTCTTGGCATTTCTCTCTAAATCTTTAGCAGCAAATCTCAGGTTAAAAAGATGTTCTAGTTTGGGTTAAGTAAATAAAATCTTTATATTAATAAGATTTGACAACATGAGAGAGAGAGAGAGATTCGACACAAACTAGGTCATTTCGGGACTAACACATGGTTCAATTTTATTTCAATAATCCACTTGCGCGTAGGCGTCTTTAACAGTGGGAAGAAACAGCTAGAGGGACCCGGAGAAAACCCATGGGGTTGGACAGGCAACCCTACCCCTTGTCAGGTACAACAGGGGAATTGAAACCACGGCAGCTGACTCATTGACAGACCTTATGATACAACGCGCATGTGGTAACCATTCGACCATCCAACTTCCCCAACATGAAAGAACATATTGTTCTTGATGAAGGAAAGCACTGACATTGTCAGGCACAAATTCAGGCTTTTTCAGGTACCGGTACAATTCCTCTGCCATTTTGTTAGATTTAACCTCACACAAACTAGGTCATTTTGGGACTAACATATGGTTCAATCTTATTCGAATAATTCGCAAACGTGTAGGGGTCTTTAGCAGTGGGAGGTAACCAGAGGACATGAAGAAAACGCACAAAGTTAGACAGGCGACCTTACTCCTTGTCAAGTACAACCGGTGAATTGAAATCACACCACTTGACTCAATGCACAAACCTTATGATACAGCGGACAAACGCTAACCATTCGGCCATATAGTCATAAAAAATTACCCAGCAAAATTTCAACAAAGAGAACTCCCTGAACATACTGTACATGTAAAGTGTAACTAGGAGACACCTACATTCAGAGCTGAACCTATGGTCGAGCTACGATCGGAAGACTTGGTCTGTCAAATTGCTGTTAAGCAACACGAGATAACACCAAGGTAAGCGGTTATTGTTTATTTTAAGTTTCGGAGTAAATTGAAATCTAGATTCAAAGTAGGCCTATAATGAATTACTCGCTCAGACAGACTCAGAGTCAGAGACTGTTAATTAACTTTAAGTGTCAAGTTGCCAAGTGGTTGATCATATCTGAGATAGATTCAAAATTAATAATTATTATCTTATTAAATATAACACAGTAACAGTTTGTATTCATTATTAATACCCAAATGTTCAGATTGCACAATTTCCTCTTTTTTATATTTTGGCAAGTTTATTTTCTTCTGTCTCTGACACCTTCCTCCATTTTCAAACCTGAATTCCAATCTTTGATCTAAAAATTCTTGGTGTATTTTAGATATAAAAGGATACTGTCCATTTTCTGTGTTTCTGTACTCTTTTCTTGGCAACTAAATTCACAAACTTCGAAAATATCTCGATAAGTTTAACTTTGTTTTGGGTTTTGTTGAATATGACTGATCTTCTTGTGATGAATGTTTGTGTATGACGTATCTTCGGCTAAAAATAGAGTGACTATGTCATCAAAACGTGTGTACTAATTATAGGACTAGACATTCGCGTCTACTACTTTTACTTATCTAGTTCATCGAGTCTATTCATAACCGGAAGCACGTGTTGAATGAAAACATTGAAATAGAAAACATGTCTGTAGTTCATAGGAAAAGAAAAAAGCCTAAAGATGACGCCGATGAGGGTTCAGTCATCAAGAAAACCAGAGAAGTCGAATCCTTCAACCAGTTGAAGTTCAAGTCTATGCTGAAAAACATTGACACAACATTTTTAGGTGCGAAAATCATAATTTATTTAATGATTAGATCATGCACCTTATAAGTTATAGATCTATAATTATAAATTAAAAATAAAGGCCTATTCCAATTTTTTAATTTGAGTTTTTAAAACTCAAAGAATAGGGATGTGGTCATGACGGCCTTAAGCCATATAACAGCCAAAATCCATTTTAGTCAAAATGGCCAAACAGTTCGATCGTAACAGCCCCAAAAATTGGTCGTAACGTAAGGGTCAACAAATTGGTCTTAACGGCCCAAAGATTTGGTCAATATGGCCAAACAATGTTAAATTAATGGAAAACAAAGCATTACATACTATTGTCAAAGATATATACTTATCCGAGAAAGTTCGTCGGGATTTTCCGATCTGATTTCCCCTTGTCAATGGTGTAGAATGGGGGGCCTGACAAGGACAGCTGTAGTCGTTCAGATGTGATGAAAAACCGAGGTCCCATGTATACATTGACCTGCACGCAAAAGATCCCTTGGCAAAATTTCCCTCATATGCCCATCTTCATTAACCCAGTCGGAGCAGAACTGTAGGATGTTAAATCCCATTTCATTTCATTTTACTTATCTTTGTTAAAAATAACAACTGACAAAAATAAACACAAAACATGATAATGGTATTGTACTCTCCCATTGGCATTGCTTAAAATCCTTTGCACAATTCAGCACCTGACACCTAAACTTGAATAAAGGAAATATAGAATTTAAAATATCTCTATATCACGATAAAATCTAGCTACAGGAATTGTCATTGATGCTTAACCTATTTTAATTGCATTCAAGCATGTTGGAATTGATTACAGTTAAAAATGATAAGAGTTCTGGTCTTCCATTAATTTATAGTAAGAAATATCCCCCCCCCCAATAATTTTACTGTGAAAGCACTAATAAAGAGAATGTTGTGTGTTCATTACTAAAGCAAACCATATTGTCTGTAAAGACAAATGCAACAATACTTATTTAAATTCTATTTTTACATTTTTTTTTTATTAGCTTTAGAAGAATTTGCTGATGCAGCAAATGGATTTCCAGATTTTACAGAATATGACATTGTTAAAGATTATATCCAGAATTCTCCCGACTGTGCTGAAGTATTTCAACTACTGGATGGTAAAACACCCAAGTCAACTGAGGTAAGATTTTATAGCTACAGGAATACTGTTGATGTTCTGAGTCTTTTTTGATCAGGTTTCTACTACCTTTCTCAGAGAAATAGAGAGAGAGAGAGAAATGGGATTTAATGCCCACTCGACACGGACTAGGTCATTTCGGGACTAACACATGATTAAATTTTATTTCAATAATTCGCTTGCGCGTAGGGTCTTTAGCTGTGGGAGGTAACTGGAGAAAACCCACGAGGTTGGAAAGGCAACCCTACTCCTTGTTACGTACAACCACGGAATCGAAACCACGCCAGTTGACTCAATGACAGACCTTATGATACAGCGTGTACATGCTAACCATTTGGCCATCCAACCCTCCCTCAGAGAAATAAAATGGCAGCATGAAATCAACATAGGTAATACCATTTGAGTTTTCACCCCCCATATTATAGTATAGTAACTAATGTTGCACATTTTAAAATGGTAAAAAAATCTAATTTTAAAAATCTAAATGTCAACTTTTAAAGCAGATTGAAAAGAAATATGCCTATACATGATTTTTAAATATCAAATATAACCTAGCCTCAATAATCACTATTTTTATTTCGATTGATGATTAACAGTATTACGAATATTTAAAAGTGTTCTTTACATAGTAATCTATTAAAACATGAATTAGACATCATCTTGGGCTTGATATTTCTGGATAGAAATGAATTATTATTCAGATGTCTGATAACGATTTTAGAGAAATAATAATGGTGTTCTGAAATCAACAGGACTTCAGATGGCCAAACCTTCTATTGGGATTTTTGGAAATGAAATGGGGTTTAACATCCTACTTTTTTGTACCAACCAGCACTAATGAAGACAGAGGATTTTTGGACCCACCAGCTTTTGTATATGGTCCCGAAGAGTTTATTTAACTTAACCTTGAAATATTGCATGTTTGAATTCTAAATAAATCAGATTTTACAAGTAATAAATTCAGTTATTTTTAAATAACTGAATTTATTACTTGTAAAATCTGATTTAAAATTATTTTATTTCAGATTGCTAAGATATTTCGTGTATTAGAATGTATTTTAATACGAACAGGGGATGATCTGGCCGAGAAATATGGTAAAGTTGGAGAAAGTATCGTTAGTCATTTGACCAAAACAAATTTTAAACAGATCTATTTGTCGTTGAATATCTCAAACAAATCTAACCAATTAAAGAACAGCTTGAAGTTACTAGCTGCCATGGTAATACAGGGGGACAACTCTGCAGTGTCGGTTTTATCATTATTTGATGAGAAAAACCAAGGAACTCTTCTGCCTCTTTATAAAAGAAAAAATATTAGTGTAAGTTTTCAATATGTATTTTATGGCATGGTGGTTACCCATGATTATTTTTGTTACATAATTTGTATGATAAAATAAAAGAGATTAGCCTGTCTATGGTGGAGGAGTAGTGTTACGTAGCAGAGTGATTTTAATGGCTAAATGTATTTGTTAAGGCCAGCTCAATTTTTGTCAAGATCGCTGAGATGTAAATAAGGTTAGGGCACATGATTGTTGAAGAGATTGTAGGTTAGGGTTAGGGTAAGCATTGGGGCTAGGTCCAGGGTTAGGGTTGGGATTAGCAATAGCCCTGTTTACATCTTGTGACCTATGACAAAAAATTGAGCTGGCCTTATCATTTAGCACTAACCGATTTTAATGGGTGCAGTGCAGATCATTAGGTCTGTTATCCATTCAGGTGTCATTGTTTCAGTCCTACACTAATACAACAAATGGATTAGTGTCACCTGCTTAGAGAGCCACAGTGGCTCAGTGAGTAATATCTTTGCTAGCTAACCAGGAGGTCCTGTTTTCGATCCCTGTGGTGACTGAGAAAATTCATCATGATTTTCCAACCTGTTTCTCCCTTGTCAGTGGTGCAGGACGGAGGGCAATGTATAGTCGTTCTGATGGGATGAAAAACCGAGGTCCTGTGTAATCAATGGCGTGTACGTAAAAGAACCCTTGACAGTTGGAATTCGATATAAGAGTAGGCCGTAGTCCTACTGCCTGAGCAAAATTTCTCTCATAGCACACTGTATGGCGTATGCCACTGTCTTATAAGGGTAGGCTGTAGTGCTGCAGTCTGAGCAAAATTTCTTTCATAGCACACTGTATGGTGTATGCCACGACTTAATTTATATATTTTTAAAAACAGGATCACCAGGATGTAAGAACGTGTGTCGTCCATTTTATAATAGCGTTATTATTAACGGGTAGTAACAGTATTATACGACAACTCTTAAAGAAAACTGGTGAGTCAAGATTACCCAACTCTATATTTTATATGGAAGAACCATAACACTCGGGTGATACTAGATTGAAGGTTCTAGAATTGAACTCTCTCAATCTCAATAATAGTGACAGTCAGTTACAAAGGGGGAATTCAATCTACAACGCATGTACCGACTGAAGAAGAAAGTACTCCAACTAACCACAACAGCTGAAACATGTTCATGTGTTTAATAAATTCTTGTTTTTACTCGCAATATCTCCGTTGTCGGGACTGACACAGCTGTTACGGGACTGAATTTCGTGCCACTCGGTTGCAATTCCATCAATTCAGAATGTTCTGGGCTAACAATTGAGTGCCCCTCAGGGCTTTACTATAATAATGATGTTCATGTCTACAGATTACAGTCAGGTTATATTAAAACACTTTCATGTTATACATAATTAATCTTCAGTCTGCTAAGAGTCATATTGATGTATTCCCTTATACTTGCACCCACTTACCAAATTCAGCTGGATACTGAAACGTACCCTATACCTAACTTATTCTGAAACCCACCTCTGTACCTGCCTTATGCTGAAACCCACCTGTACCTGCCTTATACTGAAACCCACTTTATGCTAAAACTAATGTTTTACTGAAACCCGCCGTATACTGAAATCCAGCTTATACTGAAACCCACCTTATGCTAAAACTAATCTTTTACTGAAACCCACCGTATACTTAAATCCAGCTTATACTGAAACCTACCTTATATTGCAACCCCCTTATACTGAAACCCATACCAAAACCCACCTTAAATTGCAACCCCCTTATACCAAAACCCACCTTATATTGCAATCCCCTTATACCAAAACCAATCTTATATTGCAACCAGCTTATGCTGAAACCCACCTTATATTGCAACCAGCTTATACTGAAACACACCTTACATTGCAATCCCCTTATACCAAAACCTATCTTATGTTGCAACCAGATTATAATGAAACCCATCTTATATTGCAACCAGCTTATGCTGAAACCCACCTTATATTGCAACCAGCTTATACTGAAACACACCTTACATTGCAATCCCCTTATACCAAAACCCATCTTATATTGCAGCCAGATTATAATGAAACCCATCTTATATTGCAACCCCCTTATACTGAAACCAATCTATGCCCTGATACTTAATTTACAGCTGTTGCTAATAAGAGCAGATGCTATGAAATATATGTCAAAATAATCACTGTGGCTACATTATCCAAGCAATTAAATAACATCCACATATGGTTGTAAACTTGAAGATACATCTGAATGTAATGATACATGTATAATTTAAAGTTTTTGTTTTATACAGCTTTGTTACATAATATATTTTATGGAATATCGGAAGATAAATTTGAACTGATTGAAGTTGTTCTTCCAATATTTCAAGAAAAGGTAAGGTGATTCAATCCATGGATGCTGTTTTTATTTATCAGTGTTTTAGTTAAAAGTTTCAAATGACTGGAGTTTCATGTTTCAAATGTTTGGTGTGTAATGTTTCTAATGGTTGGTGTGTTATGTTTCTAATGTTTGGTGTGTTATGTTTCTAATGTTTGGTGTGTAATGGGTATGTTTCTAATGTTTGGTGTGTAATGTTCATGTTTGGTGAAGCGACTTACTGAAATAAAATTGAACCAAATGTTAGTCCCGAAATGACCTAGTTTGTGTCAAGTGGACTAATGTTTGTTGTGTAATGTTTCAAATGTTTGTTGTGTAATGTTTCTAATGTTTGGTGTGTAATGTGTGGTGTGTAATATTTGTAATGTGTGGTGTGCAATGTGTGTAATATTTCTAATTTTTGGTTGTTTCAGGTTGTTGAGAATGGAGGTATCAGTAAATCACTGAAAGTTGCTGTTTTCAACCCTAATATACTTAATCATTTAACACAGCTATATTACTGGTCGGGGCCACAGAAATGGAAAGAAAATAAAAAAGATGATATACAGGTGCTGTAGGGAAATAATTAATTAACAAATCCACTCACTGAATTGGCAAATCCACCCACTGGAACTAACAAATTCTCTCACTGAATTGGCAAACCCACCCACTGGAACTAGCAAATCCACCCACTGAAACTAGCAAATCCACCCACTGGTACTAGCAAATCCACCCACTAAATTGGCAAAGCCCCCCACTGAAACTAGCAAATCCACCCACTGGTACTAGCAAATCCATCAACTGAAACTAGCAAATCCACCCACTGGAACTGGCAAATCCACCCACTGAAACTGGCAAATCCACCCACTGAAACTGGCAAATCCAACCACTGGAACTAGCAAATCCAGCCACTGGAACTTGCAAATGAACCCACTGAAACTAGCAAATCCACCCACTGAAACTAGCAAATGAACCCACTGGAACTAGCAAATCCACCCACTGAATTAGTAAATCCAACCACTGAATTAGCAAATCAACCCACTGGAACAAGCAAATCAACACTTAATTCTTGTCCTAAAAATATTACAATTTTCTTTTTATCACTGCAGGATACAGCATCAGCAGAAGACAAAGTGTTAGTTATAGAAATGGTTCATAAATTCCTAGTCAAATTATGCTGTTCTTTTAAATATGGCATCGCCTACTATGATAAATCTACTGGTACAGGAAAAATGTAAGTTTAATTATAACTGTTTATAACTGTTCCTTGCCAGGTCGTTTCTCATCAAACATCTTTAAAATATATATTCTTCCACCAACTGGGCTAATGAAGTTTTATTATGTGCTTCTAACATATTCACAGAAAATTATGAATGAAATGACGGTAACAATAATTTATTCATTTATATAGTGCATCAAGATCGAGAAGGGGGGTAGTTGTTTAACGCATGCGCGTGAAATGACAAGGTCTGTCATTGAGTCAACTGGCATGGTTTTGATTCACTGCCTGTACGTGACAAGGAGTAGGGTTACCTCCCACTGCTAAAGACCCCAACACGCAAGCGATTATTAATGAAATAAAATTGAACCATATGTTAGTCCCGAAATGACCTAGTTTCAGTCGAGTGGACAAAACCCCATTTCTCTCTCTCTCCCTCTATTTTGAATGACTTCTTTTGAAACAGTTTTTTTTTCTCTCCACAGAAATAATAATATAACATTGAATAAAATGTTATTGTCTATACAACACCCATATCATCATCGACATTTAAATGAGCTTGTTGTTCAAGTCTTAGAAACATGCCCAGATTTGCTACAGCATTATCTCCCATGTTACCAGCACTCTCTGTCACCCAGACTCTCTGTAGAATGGATACGATGTATGGATTTTTTCCTAGAGGTAAGACTATTACTTCCGTATCCGTTAGTTACCATATCTCTTGTTTCAGCCCACGTTTGTGTGCACATAAAAGAACTCTTGACAGTTGGAATTCGAAATAAGAGGAGGTTAAACCCCATCTCTCTCTTACTGCCAGTCAGTCATGACAGGTAAAATAACTGAAATGAGAAGCTTGCTCAGAACCAAAAGCTTCATGAATATGATGGTAACCCCAATTTTTTTTGAGGCATTTAGTAACTGGATAGAGCTATAAACTATAACACATACTTATGGAAGAACAATTACTGATTTATTTAGGCGACTTTTCGAAGAGTATTCGCTCATCCTTTCAAGCAAGAACTGTAACAAATGTGTAGGGCAATTATATATAGCTAAGCAATAACAACAAGGATTAGTTTAATTCAATTCATAATTGCTCTTGGTCTGATTTTTAAATTTAAATTTTCTTTTTTCTAGATTTATGAGAAGCAGCCATCTGTACCATCAAGAGTTGTCTGGGAGAATATGCCAGTTACTAAACTTGTTACTATGACTACAGCTTTCATTTTACCACCAGACCTTTTGATGAAACCATTAGCCTCTGCTCTTAAGGTCAGTATCATTTTCTATATTATTTAATTAATAATGTGCAGAGTTCTTCAACAGTGGAATGAAACTGGAGAACCCACTGAAAACAAGGGTGTTTGGCATGACTCATGTAATTAAATAAAATTGGGTTTAACATCTTACTGTTTTGCTCCGACTGGGCTAATAAAGATATGCTTATGCCATACACAGTGTGCTATGAGGAAAATTTGGCTGGACAGCGACGCTATGGCCTACTTTTATATCGAATTCCAACTACCAAAGGATCTTTTACATGCATGCCAATGTGTACATGGGACCTCGGTTTTTCGTCCCATCCGAATGACTCTACAATGTCCATTGCCATAATAATATGTTTTACTTTTCAGAATGAGTCCATGTTAGTTCGTCATAAAATAATGGAGTTGTATCGTCTGATCATGGGGCGATGTTTATCTTACATAGAATATATAGAGAATCAGAAACAAACAAATACTCACGTACCATGGCAAGAAATCATTGATAGACTCAAGGAGCTTGTATTAAAGGTAAGTGTCCGTCAGACACAGTTCTGTGTCAACTTGGGGGTTGGATGGCCGAATGGTTAGCATGTGCGCGCGCTGTATCATACGGTCTGTCATTGATTCAACTGTCGGGGTTTCATTTCCCCGGTTTTACTTGACAAGGAATAGGGTCGCCTGTCCAGCCTCGTGGTTTTCTCCGGGTCCTCTGGTTCCCTACCAATGCTAAAGACCCCTACGCGCAAGCAAATTATTGAAATAAAATTGAACCATGTGTTAGTCCCGAAATGACCTGGTTTGTGTCGAGTGGACATTAAACCCATCTCTCTCTCTCTCATTCATGATCACCACCAATCAAATGTTTACCTTCAAGATGGGTGCTCTCCAAAAGTTGATCATTGATCTGTGTTTGTTAGATATTTGTATGATTTTGTATTTTCAGAGTGTTCCGAGTATTAATGTTATTATCAACTGTTGGAACTTGACCTTGAAACCCAAATCATCAGACAATCAATCAGATAAACAAGATTCAGGTGATTCATACTTTTATTTCTGCATTTAAAAACACATTCTGGACTTTCGGAGCCTTCAGTTATCAGGCATTAAACCCCATTGCATTTGGATGGCCGAATGGTTAGCACTTGCACGCTGTATCATGAGGTCTGTCATTGAGTCAACTGACGTTGTTTCGATTCCCTGCTTGTACGTGACAAGGAGTAGGGTTGCCTGTCCAACCTCTTGGGTTTTCTCCGGGTTTTGTCCAACCATGGTAACAGGTAGTGTACTTGTCTTCGAATTCCAACTGCCGAGGGGGATCACGGTGGCAAAGTGGGTAAGATGCTGACTCACTAGCCTGAAGGTCGGGTGTTCGATCACTGCATTGGCTGAGAAAGTACATCCAGATTTTCCCGCGTGGTTCTCCATTGTCAGTGATGCAGGACGGAGGGCCTGGCACGGACAGCTGTCTAGTCGTTCGGATGGGATGAAAAACTGAGGTCCTTTGTACACATTGGCGTGCACGTACAAGATCCTTTGGCGGTTGGAATTCGATATAAGAGTAGGCCATAGTGCTGCTGTCCGGGCAAAATTTCCCTCATTGCACACTGAATGGCGTATGCCTGTCTTTATTAGTCCAGTTGGAGCAGAACAGTAGGACGTTAAACTCCATTTTATTTCATTTCCAACTGCTAAGGGTTGTTTTACCACCATATACATGGACTTTTTTTTTTGGCGGTTGGCGGCCAAATGGTTAACATGTACACATTTGATCATAAGGTCTGTCATTTAGCCAAATTGAGTGGTTTCGATACCCGCCGCTTGTACATGACAAGGAGTAGGATCGCCTGTCTAACACTGTGGTTGGGTGGGTCCACAGTTATTGCGAGTCCCCTATATATTAAATTGAAGGCCCCTATATATATTAGACTGAACAGCTTCTCTATAACACTGTTGTTGGGTGAGTCCCGTATGACACTGTTTCTATGTAGTAGATTGAAGAAGTTTGTTTTTATGTTGTTGGCCACCATGTTGACCCCTGTTTTACTTTGAAACCAGCCTTATAGTGACATCCCAGTTTATTCAGATCTACAAGACAATGTCGACCTACTGCGCAGCCCAAATGACAGAATGAATAAATCTTATAGAGCACTTTTGGACACTCTTTATACAATATACAATATAATTGATTTATATTTTACAGTTTATCCGGTTGTCACGACAGCAGAACATCTGAGTTTATTGGAACAATTTCTATGTTTAAACCAGCAGCTGGTTCCTGGAATTCTACTTGATCACCCGGCTCTACTTACTGCACTACTTGATGGTGTTGCCAAGGTAACAGGCGCCTCAGCAGACATAGACGAAGAGGAAGAGAATATTTCACACTTGCAGTTTTATTTGTTGAAAATATTTTCTGAAGCAGACGCTAGATTGTTACCATGGAAGAAGGAGGTAAGTAATATTTTATGCACCGACATGTTGTCCTGTATGGTTTCATGAATTGTTGTTATAGTTTTCTGTATATATACTATTCAAAAAAAGTAGGGGATATTTGATTTTTAAGTGTTATTAAAGTCACCTAATGAAACTGACGAAGAAACAAATGACAAAATGAAATGAAGTTCACATTCATCGATTTATTCCAAATGATCGTTAGACTAAGTAAGGCACAGACTGACCATTATAAGGGTAAAATGATACCCGGGGTCAAACAGCAAAGTTACCACAGCATCACAACCAAGTCAGTAACGGGTAAATCCTCCTCTGTTTGCCAAACAAGCATTGATCCGACGTGGCATACTCCTATTTGCCTCTCAATTTTGTATTACTGTATTAGCTTGATAAGATTGAGAGAATACTCTTCAAAATGTCTCCCAAATAAATAAGTAGCTGTTTTTCCATAAGTATGTGTTATAGTTTATTGCTCTATCCAGTTACTAAATGTCTCAAAAAGATCACATTTACTTGTAACCTTCAGACTTACGGACTTTTGGTTTGGCGTTTCCTTCGACAGCTACTAAACCCCACTGGGGTGCCATTAGATAAAACCTGCCGCCCTTGCTGCGATTGCCGCACCTCATCTCTTGCTGGCACCATACTCGCCACTGTAGTCATCAATTGTAGCCTCAGTGTTTTATTATTATCCATGTTCGATGTTGAATTGATCTCCTTTTTTGTTTTCAGAGTAAAGATGGAGTCAGCTTAATGCATCAGTTGCTAGGCATGTTGACCAGACCGTCGAGACTTCTACCTATAACTCGACAGTTGATCTGTAAGGTAAGATTATCCAGTCTATATCGATGATGGGTTACCTAGGCTTTATTGTTTTTCAGGCTTTGTCTTTTACCTTTGTTCTTTGTCAGATATCCAGTGACGATGATTGTTGTAAATCTTGAACTTATCTGCATAAGAAAAGAATGAAATGTTTATTTGTCCTTTGTTTTTGCACTAACCATGCTAACAGTTAGTGTACTTTATTTTTTCATCACGTCCAGACAACTAGAAGCCGTTTTTTGCCAGGTTTCATGTCATGCAATAGAAAGAATGTTCCGATCTCGATAACGCATAACTGTTAACTCTGTACGATGATATGTATTTCATCTCTATTTTAGCTACTAAAGAGAACTGGTTTGTTTGAAGATGACAGTAACGAACTTACAATATGGCTGAAACATCTTGTCCCTAGCAACCAAACAGTATCATCAGAGTTACCTTTCCTTGCTAGAATATTAAACCTGTATATTAGTAACCCGTATCATTATATAAATAAACTAACAGAGATTATATCTACTGACCTGCCATCTAGTGGTGATTTAGAGACAGCAAGTATTGGATCAACAGATAGTGTAATTGATGGTGAGTATAAAAGAAATAGAATGGGGTTTACTTTCATAATTTTCTTTACTAACCAGGCTACAGAAGACGGTCATATGCCATGCAGTGTGCTATAAGACAAAATATATCCTGTTGTACACCTTGGGATGTTATTTCCTTTGATCTCCATGCATGTTATGAAACATATTACCTTGTTGTTACATCATCATCATCAGAGAGTGATGTCTGATATCGGCCCTAGTGAATTGGATGTCAGGCTTTTCACAATGCCCTAGTTGTAGTGCTACAATATAGTGAACTGTTTCAATGGCATTTAGTAATTGAACTAGAGTATACAGGTCACAATTCTATGGAATACAATTACTGCTTTTTACTGAGCGACGTTTCGACTAGGCTTCTCTAGTCATTATCAAGCTATGATAAAAAATGAAAATATGACAGGACAATATATACATGTACACCACAATGCTAAGTTAATGATGACAAACCAGGGATGTAACTTAATTACGTGTACCTAATGGTAATCTGATTTAATTGTACGCTAATAAGTAATAATACCAATTAACCTAAAAAATTGACTAATTGATTAATGGATAAGTTGTTGTGGAGTATACACAATGATTAGTGGGTTTTAATAATACAAACGTTGCAAGAAAATGAAAATTGATGAAATGTTATCAACAACCCCTTTCACTGAAATAAATACAAAAGGTAAAAGGATAGATTGTTGTGGAGTATTTACAACGATTTGATGAGGTTTTGATAATGACAACATCCCACGAAGATGAGATTTGATTTGTGTTATGACCAAAATAATTGATATGTGGATGTTGATGCGAGTGATTACACTGATATACGAAAAACCCTTAGAACAATGACTGCACAAATGATCAATAGTCCCCTGAAGGCTGACAATTTAAAATATTGAGCGGTACTTCACTGGATCTTATGGTGATGTAGAAAAGCAGGGTTAGAAATATTGAGTGCATTAAATTACAATAACCGCAGGCCTGAAAAGCAGAAATGCCTGAAAAGCAAAAATAGTTGGGAATTATTAGTTGTCATTTTTGCATATTATGATGGTTATTACAAACTTAAAGTTGTTACTGGAATATTGATAAGTATTAAATATGATAAAAAAGAAAAAAGTAGAATTATGCTTAGCCTTGATTATGTGATAAGAATATCATACGCCCTGGGAAGGAACAATCCTTGATCTCTGTTCATCGTTGGTTTGTGTCGTCGTATATGAATGGCTTCATGTAATCGGCGCGCTCTCTTGTTGCTTATATTCTTGCATAGTGGTTTTACGTTGGACCATTGGACTCTGTGGCGAGGGTTGGAGTTCAAATGTTCAGCTACAGCTGAGTTGTTGGTTGCTGCTTTCGACTTGTGGTCATCTATCCTTTTATTTAATGGTCGCTTTGTCTCCCCGATGTATGCAATCCCACAATTGCATACTATTTGATAAACACATCCCTTTGGTTGTGGTGGTTGTGTAGGATTTTGTTTACCATTGGCTCTTAATATATCTTTAGTGCTGTAGCTTTTTGTGAAAGTTACATCTATTTCTGGTTGTTGCATTAGTAGCCGTTTGATTTGGTAGGAGACTTTGCCGTTGAAAGGAAGGAAGATTCTGACTGGGGCAGTCGGGGTTTTTGGTTTAGCTGCACTCGCCGACAGGGTCTTGTTGATGGCATTTGTCACAAACTTCCCTGGATAGCCGTTGAAATTTGTGAAGACATGTTTGAGATGATCAATTTCCTTGGAGAGGCTCTCAGGATCACATATCTTTTTCGCACGGTTCACCAGAGTTGAAATTGTGGCCGATTTGACGCTATTCGGGTGATTAGATTTGAAGTGAATGTATTGGTCGGTGTGAGTTGGTTTCCTATAGACACTGGTGCGGATCGAGTTGTTGGTTTTAGATACACAAACATCGAGGAAAGGTAGTTGGTTATCATTTTCGGTTTCCATTGTGAATTTTATACGTGGGTGTTGCCTGTTGAGGTGTTGTAACAGTGTTTCTGGATCATCTTGTTGATTGATAATAACAAAGGTATCATCCACTTGCCTAAAGAAGCATGTTGGGGTTACGGTGGATGTTTGAAGCGCCTTCTCTTCTAAATCAGTTAAAAATATTTCTGAAATTAAAGGGGAGAGGGGGCTTCCCATGGGTAATCCATTGGTCTGTTCGTAAAAATCGTCACCCCAGGAGAAATATGTTGAATTGATGCATTGTTTCAACAAGAGTATGATGTTGTCTGTTGATAGGGAAGTCTCTAGTGGGTTTTCTAAACTTTCTATGCGCTTGCGTAGAATCTTCAGGGCCTCTTCCCTTGGTACATTTGTAAACAAATCTACAACATCATATGAGACCATCCTCCCGGGGTTTTGAATATTCTGCAGTTTCTCACAGAATTCACCTGAATCTTTGATGAAGGACGATGCAGTTGTGCCAAGTGAGGAAAGTAGTTTTGATAAATATTGGGCTGTGTTGTAGAAGACTGAATCTCGAGAACACACCAGCAGACGGGCTTTCATGGGGTTTTTGTGGATTTTTATAGTAGCCCTGGCATAAGGTGGTCGAGGGTGGTTTGGTCTGAGCTTGTAATAGAGAGCTTCAGAGATCTGTTTGTCTTCTTTTAGTTTTTTAAGCAAGTTTTCATGGCTGTCCTTGTGCGCGTTTGTTGGGTCTTTGCGGATTCTTCTATATGTTGCTGGATCTTGGAGTAAACCGTTGACCGTTGTGAGGTACTCGTGAGTGTTCATGATGACTGTTGCTTTTCCCTTGTCGGCGGAAACAATTGTGATAGATCTGTCGTCTTTTAGGTCATTGAGGGCTTTCCTTTCTTGGCGGGACACATTGGTCGTCTGCTGCTTGTATTTATTTCAGTGAAAGGGGTTGTTGATAACATTTCATCAATTTTCATTTTCTTGCACTAATCATTGTGTATACTCCACAACAACTTATCCATTAATCAATTAGTCAATTTTTTAGGTTAATTGGTATTATTACTTATTAGCGTACAATTAAATCAGATTACCATTAGGTACACGTAATTAAGTTACATCCCTGGTTTGTCATCATTAACTTAGCATTGTGGTGTACATGTATATATTGTCCTGTCATATTTTCATTTTTTATCATAGCTTGATAATGACTAGAGAAGCCTAGTCGAAACGTCGCTCAGTAAAAAGCAGTAATTGTATTCCATAGAATTGTGACCTGTATACAATATAGTGAAAGTTAAATCTAAAAGAAATACAAGTCCAAAATGGTTGTATGACGAATTGAAAATTGTGTTGACAGTCGGATTGAATGGTGATAAAGTGAAATTCTAATTTACGGACATTCATGCAGCTGCTACCTTGTCGTATGACTTAAACAACAGTATGAACTAGAAAACAGTTTCTATCTTCATGCTCCGACATGGTTTCCCCTTGTTAGTGGTTCAGAATGGAGGGCCTGACAAGGATAGTTGTCTAGTCGTTCAGACGGGACGAAAAACAAGGGTCCCGTGTATACATTGGCATGCACATAAAAAAGATCCCTTGGCAGTTGGATTTCGATATAAGAGTAGGCAATAGTGCTGCAGCCTGGACAAAATTTCCCCCATAGCACACTGTATGGTGTATGCCCGTCTTCATTAGCCCAGTCGGAGTAGGACAGTAGGACGTTAAACCCCATTTCATTTCTTTTCATTTACTATATTCATGGCTCTATTAATTTAGTCTGGCCAGTTTATTTGAACTAGAACATATATCCTTTCTTCATGACTATTAATTTGATTATTTTAGCTATATTAGAACTAGATGATGATGGTTTATCTTCACTGGAGAAAACTGAGGAAGAAATTAATTTAGACAATGACTCCAACAACAGGTAGGTCATCTTCTAGTCACTTTTAGGATTGTCACTATTGAATCCACGATCTGATCCGTGCAGATATGTTTGGATACGTTTCGACAGGATCACCACGATTGCTACGACTGACTTCAATATATGATAAGACCTGATAGGATCACCACAATTACTCCATGATTAAAATTATGATTTCCATCACGTCGCGAATTGTGATAGTGGGAAGCTAGTATAGGATCACCACGATTACTGCGCGATTAAAACCATGATTTCCATCATGGTAGTGGAAATCTAGTATTAGGTTATAAAGACTAAGGTCATCAGAATATTCAAAAATCATTATAGGTCAAAAAGTGGCATGAATTTAATATTAAAGTCAGTAGGTCCAAACTAGAATCTGTACCTTGTCAGGTTCTTTCGTCCTGCGCTACTGAAAAGGTTAAACCAAGCTGAATAATCCCGAGAAACTGTCTCGGCCAAGTCTGGGAGTGAACCCAGTGACCCCTTATTGCTGGTGAGCTAGTACCTCACTCACTAAGCAACCATGGTTCCCAGATAAATATATTCCCTATACAAAAAGCAAGTTTAGTATAAATGAAATTCATACAATCTTATGTTTATTTTAACTAGGTGAGGGTTGGGAGGCCGAATGGTTAACGTTTGTGTTTGCATCATAAGGTCTGTCATTGAGTCAATTGGTGTGGTTTCAATTCCCCACCTGTACGTGACAAGGAGTAGGATCTCCTGTCCAACCGCGTGGGTTTTCTGCGGGTTCCTCAGTTTCCTCCCACTGCTAAAGATCCCTACGCGCAAGCGAATTAATAATATTAGATTGACCCATATGTTAGTCCCAAAATGACCTAGTTTGTGTCAAGTGGATGTTAAACCCCATTTCTCTCTCTCTTATTTTAACTTTATTTTATAAAGGTTGCCATTTAGTCCAATGATTATTGTTGCCATGGAGATAATAAAGACAAAAGAATCTAATTTTGAAGTTAAGGGTGAGTACTGTAAAATAATAGTTGAAAAGAAAAATTATATTAGACTGCTTGCTGGCCCTTTAGTTTATCCCTTGGTCTATACTTTTATTTTTTGGGGTTTATAAGAAAGTAATCCATCACCAATGGTCTAATGCAATACTCTTATTTTGTTTAGTTGCTTTGTATTTTGTAGACCAATGTTTCTGCAACTTAGGTTATCTTGTGCTACGAGGAACTAACCTGGATGTCCCATGTTCGATCCCTGTACATCAGGATTTTTGGGTGTGGTTCCCCCTTATCATTGATGCAGGATCGAGGTCCTGTGTACACATTGGCGTGTATGTAAAAGAACCCTTGGCAGTTGGAATTCGATATAAGAATATGCAGTTGCATAGCTGTCCGGGCACAATTTCCCTCATAGCACACTGTATGCCCGTCTTCATTAGCCCAGTTGGAGCACAATAGTAGGACATTAAACCCTATTTCATTTTGCTAAGAGGAGCTAGGGTTTGGGTTAACAACCTCAGTGGCTGCAACTTTCCTTCTAATTTAAATGCATTGATGTGTTTTAAAGGCTTAATAACTAGTAATAATTTTTGTAATACAGGAATTAAAGAATTTGTTAGTCGAGTTCTGGTGGATATTTTTCACATACAAGTGGAAGTTGATTCGCTGCGTATGGTGATAGATTATTATGGAGAGCATTTAAAGGAAGACAACTCTGTGAACTACATCAAAACATTTACTGTTGCTCATCAGGTTAGTGGAATACATGGTCTAGTCACAAGCAAACACATTGTTAGAGTTACCTTTCTTTCTTCAACCATTCAGGTGGGGGGTTGGGTACAAATACAAATTAGATGATTTTTGGTGATTTTAAACAATTTTTGAAATTTTTAAACAAGGATTTGATATTGAATGAATGTGAAAGAAATTAGTGCTAAATACACAAGATTAAATGATACCCTGATTACAGTGTTACCTTATATAAATATGTATTTTTGTACATGCGGAGTGTTCAGGGCGGGAAGAGAACATGGCATCGGCCTCTCTGAATTATTAGTTAATAAAACAGTTTACTAATCTGTGATTTAAGTGTCACTATTCAGTTCAAACATTTTACTGATACAGAGTAAAATGAAAAAAAAAAAAAAATTAATCGAAGAACATATTTTTCAGGGAAAATCAGATAGTAATTCTGTATCTAGTATGTTGATGTCACTTCCCGTATCGAAGGATGTGTTAACAGAGTCGTATGAAGAGAGAATAAAAGAAGGATTGGTTTCTATGGAAACTGAAGATGTTGTGTTGCTATGTCAACAGATATTGTTGTATATCCGGGAAGCTGTTGATCAGTTTAACAATGTAAGTAGTGATAATAAACAATATTATAATCTCTAAATGACAAGATGGTGGAAACCTGTTCCATTCCTCTTGTGAAATAAACACTGCTTAATTAGTTATTCCCTGAGACCTAAATTTTTAGTCCCATCCGAATGACTATAGGTACTTTTCTTTGCAAGGTCATCGGTCTTGTACTACTGAAAATGGGAAATGAAAGTGGGAAATCTCAAGGAACTTTCTCAACCAATTCCAGAATCAGATATGGCACCAACTGGCACCTCATCAGTCCAGTCGGTGAACAAAAGTAGGGTATTAGACCCGATTTTATTTCATTTCGTGTTAGTCAGCCAGCACCATATTTATCAAGCCACCATGGCGGCCCCCCAGAGTTTTCAAGGAATTATTAGTGAGCAGAAATTTGCCCTTGTATCTGTTATCACTCGTCACTTCAGTCTGTTATATAGTATAACTCGTGTTTTCCTTTTGCATTCGTCACTTCCCTTTCTTGAAAGCTTCATAACGCATCTATCGTAGCCATGAGCTCTGTGTTAAAATTATATTTGGAACGTGTTTAATTAGTTCTGTCTCATATGTGATAATGACTGACACCAATATTGTCCTTTTAATGTTCTAAAAGACTCTAACATGGCACTGATTTAATGACTAAAATATCATTTTATTTTCAGAATAAGAAAGACAATGAGAAAAGGTTGAAATTTTATTTCAGAGTATTACAAAGCATTATTTCGCAAGTAGATAGCAAAATGGCTGAAGATGAGAAAACAGAAAATATTGACAAGGAACATGTTCTGTTGCTAGGCAGTAGTCACTACAGTAAGATGGACCAGAAAAAACAAATTTTGAAATCTATTTTGAAGAACACAACACTTCAGAAACTTTTCCTGTATACAAAGGATTCAGGATTATTTGGTGGTGTGGATGAATCTGCACGTGTGTTGAGTGCTTATATTACTACGCCACTATTAGAGATTATTAAAACAAATGCCCAAATGTTTGATACAGCAGAAATGAAAAGTTTGCTGTTTATCTACGCTGACAGTATACTGGAGAAAATTAGTTCTGTGGGGGGACAATTGGACAAGAGTTTGATTATCCAGTGTTTAAAATCATTGGTACCATATTTGGATGAAGAGTACCAGAAACGTTTCTTGACAGTTGTTCTGAATTTATCAGATTCCGTCATAGTTAACAAGAAGATGAGAGAAATAACGGAAACAGGAAATTTAGTTATTCGACTCTTGTCGGACATGTTGGAAAAATCACAGTCATTATTTAAAAAACTTTCGCTTGAAAAAGCATCCAAGTTATTCAATTGTTTGGCTCATTGCGATGACGACAATTTAATTGGTTTGTGTACAGTCATACTAGATGCAAATCCTAGTTTCTCATTGGCTTGTTCTGAGTCTTTGTGGCGACACCTGTTGGAGAATTCTAGTGATAAGATGGAGGGAGTAATGTTACGATTATTCAACAATAACTGCGTCTGTCGACAACTGTTTGAAGAGTGGTTGGTTAATGCGGATGGAACAACACAGACAAAATGTAAGTAGAAAATAGATGTTGTGGATTGTGTTTGATTTATCTTTTTCAAGGGGGCTGGATGGCTGAATGGTTAGCGTGTGCGCGCTGTATCATAAGGTCTGTCATTGAGTCAACTGGCGTGGTTTCAATTCTCCAGTTGTATGTGACAAGGAGTAGGGTCACCTGTCCAACCTCGTGGGTTTTCTCCAGGTCCTCTGGTTTCCTCCCACTACTAAAGACCCCTAGACGCAAGCGAATTATTGAAATAAAATTTGACCATATGGTAGTCCCAAAATGACCTAGTTTGTGTCGAGTGGATGTTAAACCCCATCTCTCTCTCTCTCTCTCTCTCTATATATATATATATATATGATTTTTGTTTTTGTTTCAGGGTCAAGTAAGATAAAGAATAGTATAGAAGTTATATCAACCGTTTACGGAACAAATCTACCTAAAATAACCAATATCCACGATAGCAAGGAACTAGAAATAATACAACAATTGGTCCTTAAGAACAGATATAGTATGTTGTTTGTTTTATATTTATAATCTTAGTTTATTATCCTGCGCCGAATATCATATGCTAATTAGAAATTTTCACGAATTTAATGATTTTTGTGTTACCACTGAAACAAATTGGAATTAGTGTTTAGTATTCATAACATGAGATGTGGATGAAATCATAAAAAATGTACAAAGCAAGACTCTAGTAGTACCTTATTCATTTGATCCTTGCATTGGTCGAGAAAGTTCATCAGGATTTTCTGATGTGGTTTCCTCTTGTCAGTGGTGCAGGACGGAGGGCCTGACAAGGACAGCTGTCTAGTCATTTGGAAGTCACGGAAAACCGAGGTCCTGTGTAGACATTGGTGTGCACGTAAAAGACCCCTTGGGAGTTGGAATTTGATATAAGAGTAGGCCATTGTGCCGTTGCACAGGCAAAATTTCCCTCATAGCACTCTGTATGGCGTATGCCCGTCTTCATTAGCCCAGTTGGAGCAGAACAGTAGGACGTTAAACCCCATTTAATTCATGTAAATATAATCAGTTAAATTTTGAGTTTTTGTGTATAAAAACACTTTAAAAGTGTGATTATGCTAAAATTTGACTTAAAGAATATCTTTGTAAACTGAGGTGAACAAAATATGTAAAACAGTTGACCAGTTCAGTTAAGGCCTGCTGTTTTTTTCATTGGCTGAGAGCAAAGTATACTTGATTTCACTGAAAAGGCCCATTTTCTAAAATACTTTTTAAGGTAAAAAAGAAATGGTAAAAATGTGGAAGTCCGTGACGTCTGCTGTTGAAGATTCACTTCTGCTAAAATCGGATCATACAAAACTTCTCCAAGCATTATATACACAGTTAGTTACCATAGAAACATCCTACAGGGAGAAATTAGTTATACTCTGTATGCAGATGCTGGTTAATCATGTATCAAAGAAGTCAAGTGATGAAAACATGAAATACTCCCTACTGAACATGATCACAGATAATTTGAAGGTGATTATTTATACTGATTTTATTTTTAGTTATTAGTCAATGTTTAAATTGTGGCTCAGTGAGTAAGGGGCTGGCTAGCTAAACTCTGGATTTTCCAGTAGGGTTCTCCCTTGTCAGTGATTCATGATAAAGGGCCTGACAAGGACAGTGCCTAGTTGATTGGATGGGGAAAAAAATGAGCTCCTGCATACACAGCCCCTAGACATTTGGGATGGACGAAACCGAGGTCCTGTGTACACATTGACTTGCACGTAAAAGAAATCTTGACAATTGGAATTCGAAAGAGTAGACTGTAGTGCGACCGTCCAGGCTATATTCCCACATAGCAGCATACAGACTTTATTGGACCAGTCAGTGAAGAAAAGTATGACGTTAAACACCATTTCATTTCATCAAGTTTAAATTAGGGTTATTAACTGTCCTGATTTCTTTATGAGTTCCCTGATATTGTTTCCTCACTGATCTCTGGATAGGGAATGAAATATTGTTCTATTGGAATTTCATAATGTTTTATGTTTTAATAAAAAAAAGTTGTCTGATATTTTATTTGTGTAATCATTTAAATCTAAGTCAGTTTCTTTGCAGTATTATATAAACCCCCCGACAACACAACATAAATAAAATTACATGCTCCTGAAAATTTTTTTAAAAATCAATACAAGTGTATTGTCAACCTTGAACAACCCACATAAACCTAAAACTGTGATAAAGATTTTCAAAATGTCCAAAGTTGAATACCTAGATTATGATATATCTGTTAGATTTCTAATTATCTGAAAATGGAATTATTAAAAATGGTAGAAAATCAAGAAGATTTCATTCATTCCTGTTACAAATGGATCCGTACTAATTCTGTTGTGAAAGATTTAAAATGTTGTATTTATTTTTTATGTTATAGTTTTGTAAATCAGAAGAATTGTCAACAACTTTATCTGAAATGTGGCTAAAATTCATCAAAACCTGTTTAAAGTAAGATTTGAATATAACCCCATTTGACTGCCTATCTTTAACATTGGATTTACTAATATTTGGGAACATATCAAATATGAAACAAAGTACGTCAATAATTACGACAACTAGGCAACAACTAGGGATACTGTTGTTCAAGTGTTCTTATCATTTGTCAGTTACTTTATTATTGTTATTTGAACCTTTTGTGGGTTTTCTTTTTCATGGTAGAAGTGTAAAAATCAAATTACTGAACAGTGTGGGAGTAAATTGCCACAAGTAAATAAAACGAAAAAAAAGTTGAAACTCCATACTTGTAGGCTAAATTGATGTTTTCAATAATATATTTCAGGTCCATGTATTTAGAGCCTAAACTACTAAACATTATATTTGGCTGTTTACCTTTTGTATATGGTGAATCATGTGACCATTCTCTGCCAATCAAATCACTGTATGAGATGGTGATGAGCCATTCTAAATTTCTATTGGTTATGTTTGGTGAATACTCTACAGATATTAAAGGTACCGGTATTGATTACGTTTGGTGGGTTTTTTTTCGATTTACTTGAGTATATCAATCAGAGCTCTCGCTTCAATTATATTACCCTGGGGGGGGGGGGGGGGGGTGAATGGCCGAATGGTTAGCATGTGCGCGCTGTATCATAAAGCCTGTCATTGAGTCAACTGGCGTGGTTTCAAATCCCCGGTTGTACGTGACAAGGAGTAGGGTTGCCTGTCCATGCGCAAGCGAATTATTGAAATAAAATTAAACCATAAGTTAGTCCCGAAATGACCTAGTTTGTGTCGAGTGGACGTTAAATCCCATTTCTCTCTCCCTCTCTCTATATTACCCTGACTTGATTGACCAGCAGTTGGGGGTTGGTTGGCCGAATGATTAGCGTATGGGTTGTATCATCAGGTCTGCCACTGAGTCAACTGCCATGGTTTCGATTCACTGTTTGTATGCGGCAATTAGTAGGGTCGCCTGTCCAACCTCCTGGGTTTTCTCCAGGTCCTCCGGTTTCCTCCCATTGCTAAAGACCCCTACGTACAAGCTAATTATTGAAATAGAATTGAACCATATGTTAGTCCCGAAATCAAGAAACACAAAACTTTGCATGTGCTTTCTTATATTTGATACATTAAAACAACAAAAGTTTTATAAAGGGCTATATTTTTGTTAAGATAAGATCAAACCATTTTGAGTAAATTCTTAACTGAAGTCTGAGAATGTTCTGTGAATTTGGGGCCTGATATTTTAAAAGGGATGTATATTCAATGTATTGTATTTTTTTTGAAAACAACCTGTGAAATCTTGATGAGAGGTTGTAATGTAATAAACATAGCGATTCTGTCTTTACATATTGTTTATTTTGTGTGTTTTCTCTTGTTTCAGAAACTTTGATTAATCTGTTGCTGGATATAGCCCAACGATCACATGACTGTCAAGATTCTGCCCATATAAGGATATTCTTGGGAGCCTATGGCGCCTCTCTTTCCATTTCAGGTAAAATACATAGAGTTATATAAATTGTAAAACGAGAAATTAAAGCAAAAATATGTGAGTAGCCATTGGATAAAACCACCCTAACACCACGATCACAGGAGGCTTTTGGAAAGGGCCCATAAAAAAAAAATGATCTGATTACTAAAATCCTCATTTTTCCCTTTGTGACACAAATTGATAACTAATATTTGTTATGGAACAACAGGAATGTGAGTGGGAGAATCTTGTCCAGACTGCTCTTCTTCGAATTCCAAATGGCAAGGGTACAGTTACGTGCATGCCAATATGTACACAAGTAGAGACCCATCACGAGCAAAATAATTTCATTGTATTTAGGGTGAGGTTGGGGGTTGGTATAATTGTATAAGGTCTGTCATTAAGTCAAGCGGCATGGTTTCGATTGTACGTGACAAGGAGTAGGGCTGCCTGTCCAACCGTGTGTTTTCTCCAGGTCCTCCGTTTCCTCTCACAGTTAAAGACCCCTAGACACAAGCTAATTATCGAAATAAAATTGACATAGTTTGTGTTGTATGGGTGTAAAACACAATTTCTCACTTTTTTGATAATATTTGATAATATTTAATTGATATTTCAGATCAGATGTTATTAAAGTTGATATATTTATATGAATCAAGATCTGCTGATGTCATTCAATATAAGTAAGTTTCTCGGATACTAATAACAAAAATCGACATCCATCTTCAAGCTAACAGTGGCTCAGTGCAAACTCACAGTGGCTCAGTGCAAACTCACAGTGACTCGATGCAAAATCACAGTGGCTCGGTGCAAAATCACAGTGGCTCTGTGCAAAGTTACAGTGGCTCGGTGCAAAGTCACAGTGGCTCGGTGAAAAGTCACAGTGGCTTGGTGAGTTTGGCGCTGGCTCACTAACCAGGAGATCCAGGGTTTGATCAATATTTTCCAGTCTTGATTGTGGTTCAGAAAACACTGTAACTCGGGTATCATTTAATCTTGTGTAATTAGCATTAATTCTATATCAAATCATTGTTTGAAAATTCATAAAAATCATTTAAAATCACCAAAAATTGTGTCCAGTTTGAAGCTGACCATTCAGTTTTGATAATGAGTTTCCCAGTTTAATTTCTCAATCACTGGTAAAAAAATAAACAACCCAATTGATTATTGATGTATAATTAGTTTTTAAACGGTGGTCAGGAAATTAAGCACTTGTAACTTGGACACTCATTATCAAAATTAATTGGTCAGCTTTGATGATTTGAAATGATTTTTTACAAATTTTCAAACAAAGATTTGATATTGAATGAATATGAAAGAAATTAATGCAAATTCAAAAAATTAAATGATACCCGAGTTACAGTGAAATGTCCCTTAGTAAATCGGATGGTAAGAAAAAATTAAGGCCTTGTGTGTACCATGTTAAAAATCCCACTGATTTAAAATATTTTGTGTTTCCATGGAAACAAATTTGACTTATTTCTTGCTATACATGTGTGGGGGACGGTGATGAGTGAATCTTCTTGTTTATTTTCAGACCATTTCTTTGGGGTCAAAAAGCTCTTGATTTTTATTCTTCATCGAAATATCAGACGCCTTCAGTTCTCAGGGAAACCAAGATGGCTGACATGCTGGAATGTTTGGACGAATCCCGTCTGCACAGAACTGTTGTTAATTTTCCCATTCATAGAAAACTGAACGTAAGTAGTAACATGATATTATTCCATGCAGGACAATAGTGAGAAAATTTTTAGAGGTCATGTTAAGGTAATATGAGAGGATGTAGCATTTTGAACATACATTTTCCTGTAAATCGTTATTGGACAAAAGGATGATTAAAATACAGATCTATATTACGTTTCATATTTTTTATACTTTCGAAGGCCTCTACTACATGAAGGTCAGACCAGTGTTTTGTTAAATAAATTTATTTATATTATTATAGCCAGTAGAAGTGAAGCGGGCTGTAGAATATAAATCTGATGAAGAATGTTATGATCCATGTTTTTTATTACCTGTCTTTAACCAGTTACTACAATCAGGTGAGCTGTCATGATATCAAATTCTTACATATATTAGCAGCATACGGGGGGTGGGGGGGTGTGGTGGGGGTGAATAACCGAATGGTTAACGCGTGGGCTTTGTATCATAAGGTCTGTCATTGAATCAACTGGCATGGTTTCAATTCCCAGATTGTATGTGACAAGGATTAGGGTCGCTTGTCCAACCTCGTGGGTTTTCTCTGGGTCCTCAGGTTTCCTACCACTGCTAAAGACCCCTATGCGCAAGTAAAGTATTGAAATAAAATTGACCCATGTTAGTACTGAAATAACCTAGATTGTGTCGAGTGGATGTTAAACCCCATTTTTATATGCAGAATACCATTCAGTGAACAACTAAAAACAGGGTCATGCCATTTGTAAGTCCTCAACCTCTTTCCTTAAGGTGATGTAAATATCTCAGATGTGTAAGAATGAATGTAGATATATTTTTAAAATGGGCGCCTCTTTATGAATCAACATTTGGTGGCAGACTAGGCTGCACCCTGATGACAATGTTAATCTTACTGTCAGGGGATAAAGATGTATGGTCACGTATTCTGTAAGGAGATTGAAAACTTTCAAATTTTAACAGGAAACAGTTCTCGATAATTTACAACAGGATATTGATTTTGTAATATGAGTCTTAGTTTTAATATCGGTGAATCATTAGTGGCAGTATTTACAGTCTTATAAGGCATTTGTAATACGGGACTTTCTAAGATTTTTTACTGTGTGTTTTAATTGCCATTTGCACTCTGCTTTACTCTGTTCTCCATCTAGTCTCTCCTCTCCTCTCTTCCCTTTTTCCTCTCCTCTCCTCCCATTCATCTCTCTTCTCTTCTCCCTTTCGTCTATCCACCCTGTTGTTCTAGATATAACTGTCAACTGTAAAGAGTTCATTACCTCTAACTGTGAATTTTTTTTAGACTGTTTTCTTAATTTTTCAGATATAGTTGTCAATAGTAAACAGTTTATTACCTCCAACTGTTTGTCCCTTGTGTTTGCTGGCTTGAGTAGTTACGCTACCAACATACGAAAGGTGGCTTATCTTATCTTGAAGAAATTCTACGATGTTTTGAAAAAGGCCCAGTTTGCGGAGGCAGAAGAGCTGTTATATGTTTTTGATTTGTTAAGTCGAAGTATCGAAACATCGAATATGAAGTTATGTACGGTTATAACTAGTTATTTGTCCAGAATAACCAAGTTACTTGTTACTCCAGGTAAATATTACATTGATTCGCATCAGATACTTTCGGTATGGCTTCCCCTTGTCAGTGATGCATTTCGTGAAAATCGGCACAAAACTGACAGACAAAATGGCCGCTCCTCGTTCTCAAATTGCGTAAAAATATGGTATATCAAGGTTGTGCACCCTATAGAGGTCACAATTTTTATCCGATTTTGTTGAAACTTGAAATGTAAGTTTATAACTCAAAGATCTTGGTTCCTGTCGATATTTGCGCATATCAATTTGTAATTTCCTGAATTATGGCCCTTGATTGTAGGAAAAATCACTTTCGTTTTAGCTTGTTTTCTATCCATCTCTCGAAAATGTGGGCGTATCCTGCCTGGCAGCCGCTGGGGTTTTTTTTACATTGTCACGAATGTATTCTGTTTCTTAGAACAATAAATAAATAAATAAATGTAAGAAAAAATATTTTCCTGTGATACTGCAGCCATTTAAATACATTATCACTTTGACCAGTTCGATTAGGAACCAATCAAAAAAATATTAGAATTATTAAACTAATGTTAACTGAAAAAGAAATTTATTTGTTTTCGCTACGTTAGTAATTTAAAAAATATTTGTCTTCTTTCAGAGAACCACATGTATCGTAAGCTGACAACATTTTTGTTAACGAAGCCTACAATAGAATTTGATCGTGTTCCTGGTTTTTATCGTTTCTTCAACAGTACTGAATTAGATGTATGTATATATTATACTTATAGAATAGGGGGCTAATGAGTACGCGTTGGCTCAAAATGTCTGTCATTGAGTCATTTGGCGCGGTTTTGATCCCTTGCTTGTACGTGGCAAGAAGTAGGATCGCTTGTCCAACCTTGTCGTTTTTCTCCGGGACCTCCCACTGCTAAAGACCCTATGTGCAAGCAAATTATTTAAGGAAAATATAGCCAAATGTTAGTCCCGGAATGACCTAGTTTGTGTTGAGTGGACATCAAACCCCATTTCTCTCTTTCACTTATAGAAGGATTTCCTATCAAACAGCTGTATACTTCTAAACTATGGGTAATATCAGAGGGTGGCTTGGGATATACGGCTGCAGGCCCTATTCTGCTTCTGGCAGAGTTGCTGACGGGTATTTATTACCTGTGCACAATGAAATCGCTTCTTTTTCTTGTGCCCAGGGCTAATTAGTGTAATTTGTCCTATTTAGATCATCAAGTCAGTTATTGAGTCAAGTGGCATGGTTTTGATCCCAAGCCACCTGACAAGGACTAGTGTCACCTGCATAAACTCGTGAGTTTTCTCATGGGCATTCACTTATGTCCCATTGCTAATGCAAATTAAGCAAATTATTGAAATTTTAGGAGGTAATTCTTTGAATCTTTAAAGCACTACAAGCAAGGTACCAGTGATTCTGGACACGTTATGATAACCTGTTTACAATATAATTGATTTATATTTTCCCAGCATCATCAAGAGCGAATCTGGATTTTATCATTAATGGCTGATGGATTGAGAACAAATGAAGATTATATGATTTATGGTCATCTGTATTGTTTTAAATTATTAGAAAGTTATTTTACAAGTTCTGTTAGTGATGCACATAGTCAGGTTAGTGTCATTTCTTACATTACAGACTTCTTCTTCTGGGTACTATTAAAATGGGTTCATCTGTCTTTAATGAAGGTTAATTTCTTTGTTACACAGACTGTTTTGTCACACGCCTTTCAGAGAAAGCAGGGTGCTATCAAAATAAATTCATCTTTCCGTCTGGCCATCGTACCTTTTGGAACACAATAACTTTGATTGAGGTCGAAATGTTCAAATGTGGTGTAGATATACCTGAGGTGAATATCTGACTTAGTTCAAATTCAACTATCTGAGCAAAAATTGTCTCTTAGCACACTGCATGGTGGGTGCTCATTTTCATTATCCTGTTTGGTGCAAAAAAGTAGGATTTTAAAACGTAGAACCCTGGGGCCGAGTTCACAAAACATTCTCAGACTTAGGAATTTACTCAACTTTCAATCACTGATTATGAGAAATTTCTTTGATCAAGAAACACAAAACTTTTTACATTGATACATTAAAACAACAAAAATTTTGTAAAGAGCTATATATTAGTTAAAATAAGGCGAACAATTTTGAGTAAATTCTTAACTTAAGTCTGTTTTGTGAACTCGGGGCTTTGATATTACTCAAATGCTCAAAATCAAAATTTAGTCAGATTTGAGCTTTGGTGTTAATCTTTTGTCTGGAAGTTTTTAGGCCATTGATAATTATGTATATTTTCAGAGTTTAATATTAGGTATTATAAAAGCAGCTAGTTTAGGCCATTGATAATTATGTATATTTTCAGAGTTTAATATTAGGTATTATAAAAGCAGCTAGTTTAGGCCATTGATAATTATGTATATTTTCAGAGTTTGATATTAGGTATTATAAAGGCAGCTAGTTTAGATGTAGAGAATGTTGTTATGATGTATGAAAGAAACAGTGTATTAACCTGGATTCTAACAGTTATAAAAAATATGTAAGTTTACAAAATGTCGTAAGATGATAAATAGAAAATGTAAAATGTTGATTTAGATAAAGAGCTGACCATTCTTACTATAATAGTTCAAAAATATATAATGCAAAATAAACGTATTGAAAATTTCATTCAAATTACTTCATTCTGAGTTATTAGAAGAACAGTGTAGTCTCGGTTTTCATCTCTACCGTTGTTACAAGTCTTGATTATCCATTTTATAATTAAATCATTAACTAGCAACCAGGTTTAAATTTGTTGATAAACAAAAGCATCAGATGGTCTTGAGCATTCATTATAGGCTTGACATGTGAATAAATGTCTAATTGATGATTTATATAACATTTGAGGCCAAACGAAAGATTTGCATTAGGTATCTTAGCTCTTACATAATGCACATTCTCTAGATAATATGATGCTTTTATATAAAGATGAAATGGGTTTAACGTCCTACTGTTCTGCTCCTAACCTGGGCTAATGAACACGGACATACGCCCTACAATGTGCTATGAGGGAAATTTTGCCCGGGCAGCGGCGCTACAGCCTACTCTAATATCGAATTCCAACTGCCAAGGGATCTTTTACGTGCACGCCAATTTGTACATGGGACCTAGGTTTTTCGTCCCATCCGAACGACTAAAAACCTGTCCTTGTCAGGCCCTCCATCTGCTTCACTGACAAGAGGAAACCACGCTGGAAAATCTTAATGAACTTTCTCGACCAATGTAGGGATCGAATTATATAAAGATAGAATCAAATTTAATAAATACAAATATGTTTTTGATTTCAGGAAAGTGAGTTCCATCCATCTTGAATCTATCTGTGATATTTTATTCAACATGTGGTTTTCTGTGTTCAATGATTTACCTACTGATGTTAAAGAACCAAATTATTTCCCCTTGGAGTTTATACATCAGATTATCCAGTGTCTTAAATTATTATTAACAAAATTTGGGTAAGTTTACTGTTATTCTGAACTGACACTGTTCAATATTAATGAAATTGTCATTAACAAAGTCTAATGCAGGGGTGTCAAAACTTTAAATGAGTAGGCAGAAACGCCATTGCCCGCGCAAAATTTCCCGCGCAAAATTTCCCTCATAGTACTCATAGCACACTGCATGGCAAATGCCGGTCTTTTAATATCCTGGTTGCAGAAGATGTTAAACTCAATTTCATTTCATTTATGCAGTTTATAAACATTTCTTTTATGTTCATATTTTTCAGGCCAGATGACTCACCAGCTTTTAACAAAATTCTCAGAATATTTTCATCATCATTGCACCAACTGTCCTTAGCAATAAATACCCTGAGCAACCAAGGTCAAAAGATTACCATAGAAACTTTTACTCTTAGAGACACAAGTCTTGTTTTAATGCTGATTGGAAAATATCAAAATAATGCCAAATTATCCAGACAGGCAGAACAAATTCTAAATGAACTTGGTTTGGATACAAAATCACAGTTATCCAGTCACCAGAAAACAACTTATAAATCTGAGAGGCAGAAACTGAAGGAAAGTGGTGATTATGATAGAAAGGATAATCAAATTGACCAGACCAACCAGACTGTTGTCAAGGAAACAGGTGACAGACTTGACAACAACCTTGACCTTAGTGCTAAATCTCCAAAATTTGTCCATAACCAGATTGATGTGGTTGAAATTTTATTATCTTGGAATCCTGCATCGGATTCTTCAACACTTGATGCTACAGCCACTGGTTTTCTTAGTGCTTTGACATATTGCCTTGATGTCTGCTCAGGGGTCAAGGACATCCTATTAAAGGTTAAGGTTATGAAGTGGGCAAGCTATGTTATTCTTTCTGGAAGCGATTTAGCCAGGAAATGTGCTGAAATAATTATTAAAGAAAATGACTTTAACACGAAAATAGTAGGTCAGTGTTTAAATATGTATTCTAATGGATTTACGGCTGAACATCTGGAAGAGAAAATGGAGGATAGTGATAGAGTTGCTGAGATCCGAGACAATACTCCTGCTGTCTTAATAAGAGAGTTAAACAGTGTTCTCTTAGTGTTAATTGACCAATCAGTTAAAAGCACAGATAGAAAATCAGAATGGAGAAAAGGTTTGAAGATTATAAAGACATTGAACAATACAGGTGAATGAATACTTAAAATTTACTAGAATCATTTGATTGGGATTCAATGACAAAGCCTCTATTTAGCACAAGGATCCCCCAAATTTGTCAATAATATGCGATTTGGTGTATGTTCTGGAGAACACATCAATAGAAAAATTGCATCTTTGAATCAATTAAAATGGGGGAAAATTAGCTCATGCCCTGGGAGCAGTTCACAAAGCATTCTCAGACTTAAGTTAAGAATTTATACTCAATTTTCAATCTCTGTTTATGAGAAATATCTTGTTCCAGAAACACAAAACTTTGCACATAATTTCCTATTGATGTAAAAGAGAGAGATATGGGGTTTAACATCCACTTGATATAAACTAGGTCAGTTCAGGACTAACATATGGTTCAATTTTATTTCAATAATTTGCTTGCGCATAGGGTATGGTCTTTAGCAGTGTGAGGAAACCAGAGGACCCGTTTGACCTAGTTTGTGTCAAGTAGACCTTAAACCGCATTTCTCTCTCTCTCTTTATCTCTCTCTCTTTCTCTCTCTCTCTCTTTCTCTCTCTCTCATTTCCATGTAAATGATTTTTTTATGTGCATCTACATGTATTGTGTAAACATGTGGACCTCAGTTTCTCATCCTTAACAATGCACAATATGTTAAATGTAATAATTTTGTCTTCTTTTCTTCAGATGAAATGGAGCAGATGAAATCTGTTTATATTCAGGAATATTTCTTGGATTCAAAGACATCTGAAATATTCAATAAACTGTACATGGGTAAAAAAGGTGTGTCAACGACTTCACCAGGTGTTGATGATGTTACCATGGAAACAGATGTGGACAGTGATGAAGACTCTAGTAACACCCATAAAATGAATTCTTGTAAACTTAAAACACCAAATTCAAGTAAAATGCCAAAAGTAACTCCAAAATCAAGTGATGCCAAATCTAGTAAGGCTACAGAAACACCCAATTCTAGTAAAACACCTAAATCTACACCCAAGTCAAGTATTTCTAGTAAAACACCTAAATCTACAACCAAGACAAGTAGTACTAGCAAAACACCTAAATCTACACCCAAGACAAGCAGTACTAATAAAACCCCTAAATCGACACCCAAGTCAAGCAGTACTAATAAAACCCCTAAATCGACACCCAAGACAAGCAGTACTAATAAAACCCCTAAATCGACACCCAAGACAAGCAGTACTAATAAAACCCCTAAATCGACACCCAAGTCAAGCAGTACTAATAAAACCCCTAAATCGACACCCAAGACAAGCAGTACTAATAAAACCCCTAAATCGACACCCAAGTCAAGCAGTGCTAATAAAACCCCTAAATCGACACCCAACACAAGCAGTACTCATAAAACCCCCAAGTCATCTGTTATGAAAATGAAACAATCCTGATAATAAATGCATTATTACTTGTCATGTTTTTGATGTACATTTTTTTAAAGGATGAAAGATAAATATGTCAGAGAAATTAGAAAAAAAAAAAAAATCATGTATTAAAAAGATATGACTTGGTGTTGTTTTTTTGTCATCAGAGCTTTTCACTAGGAAAAAATGGAGAACCAAGTAGTTTATCACTGAGGTAATAAAGGGCATGACTTGGGTAAAATACAGGGTATCACTGGGGTCAAATACAGGACAATACTGGGGTCAAATACAGGACATCACTGGGGTAAAATACAGGACACCACTAGAGTAAATACAGAGCATCACTAGGGTAAAATACAGGACAACACTGGGGTAAAATACAGGACATCACTAGGGTAAATTACAGGACAACACTGGGGTAAAATACAGGACATCACTAGGGTAAATTACAGGGCATCACTAGGGTAAAATACAGAGCATCACTAGGGTAAAATACAGGACAACACTGGGGTAAAATACAGGACATCACTAGGGTAAATTACAGGGCATCACTAGGGTAAAATACAGGACAACACTGGGGTAAAATACAGGACATCACTGGGATAAAATACAGGACACCAACTAGGGTAAAATACAGGGCATCACTGGGATAAAATACAGGACAACACTAGGGTAAAATACAGGACATCACTAAATACAGAACATCACTAGGGTAAAATACAGGGCATCACTGGGGTCAAATATAATCAAAGCTGAATGAATATTATTATTCTTCTATATGATATATGTATAGATTAATAAACCTTTGGATGAAGTTATGGCAGGATAAACCCTTTTGAAAATACTACTCCCTATCTCGAACGGGCTCTGTACTTGATTTGGTATCATTCCTATAGCTCAGGATTCATTTTTCTTAGTACCGAAAACATGGGGCCATGCACTGAAGTCAGGGACCTTTTTCTTGAAGGGAGGGGACGGGTGACCCAACCTCGTGAATTTCCTCCTGTCCTCCGGTTTCCGCCCACTGCTAAAGATCCAACGCACAAGCGAAATATTGAAATAAAAATTGAAACATGTTAGTCCCGGAATGACGTAGTTTGTGTCGAGTGGAATTTAAACCCCATCCCTCTCTCTTTTTTTCTTTGACTCTGGGGGTCCTTTTCACCACCTCGGGGAACCAATTCCCTATATTACGAATTTCATTTTTAAATTTAAATAGTAGATAATGTTCTTTTGTTTTTATTTAGTTTTCAAAAACATGGTCATATGATAACAGATGGCCATTCTTTGACCTAAAGAATTAATTTACAACCAATGGAATACAATTTAAAGAATATTTTTAAAAACACGGTATTCATTATTGCTACGCGCAAAACACCCAGAACTACAGGATTTATTTCTACGGTGATATTAATTCCGTTTCTGAAGTAGCACTGGCTTCAACTTATTTCTTCTTTTTGCTGGTGGTGGAACGTTTAGCCACATCACCCTGTGTTGAGTCTTTATTATCTCTCCCGGCTCTCTCTTTTTTACCTGATCTTGGTTCCGTTCCCGCTAAAAAGATATTCACATAGATGTATTAATAATAAGTTTATGGAGAGAGAGAAATGGGGTTTAACGGCCACTCGACACAGACTAGGTTATTTCGGGACTAACATGGTTTAATTTTATTTCAATATTTCGATTGCGCGTAGGGGCCTTTAGCAGTGGAATGAAAGCGGGGGATCCCACCCCGTAAGTAAAGTTTACATTATTTTATTTATATACCACCTACCTGTATTTACAGAGCCACGGTAAGGTGCCTAAGTGAGTAATACGCTGGCTTGCTAGCCTGGAGGTGTCGGGTTCTCTCCCGTTGTTGGCCGAGTTCATGTCCGTCTTGATTAGCCCAGTCGGAGGAGAACTGTAGGACGTTAAGCCCCATTTTATTTCATTTATTTACGATTTCGACAATGGAAAGATATGAAATGAAATAGATTCCTACTTTTCTGCACCATTCCTAATCAAGACGGGAATACCGCTTTGACTTTGAGTTAAATTTTGCCCGGAGATCGGGGCTACGGCTTAAACTACATGTAATTTCGAATTCCAGCTGTCATGGGTTGTTATACGCGCACACCAACGTGTACAGGACGTTGGCGAGGCGAAATAATCGATTTCCCGTTCTGATGTCACAATCAGTATAACGTAATCGGTTCTATTTATTTAACCTGGATGTTTACCTTGCCATGACCCCTCAGCCCCCCCCCCCCCATTTGAGGGCCCTGTCAGTATAACGTAATTGGTTCTATTTATACTGGACGCTTACCTTTTTCTCCCGCCATCTGGTTCTTCAACTTTTCTACAAATAGATTGAACATTATTATATTGGTATGATGATAATGTTAATAAAACTCTTTACACGCACCAGAGAGGAGACGATGTTCAAAATGGTGCTATTGGTGACAAGATCCTAATATCTAAAATATTGGGGATGGGGTGGTTAACGCGTGCGCGCTACATCATAAGGTCTGCTACTAAGTCAATTTTTTCTTCAAAACAAAGATTGATTATTGTTAATTATTACATTTCTGCCACATCCAATTACAATAAAAGCATAGAAGACACCAACAGGTCTGGTTGTCGACCTGTCACGTACACGCAGGGAATCGACACAATGCTACTTGACTCAAGGACAAACCCTATGAACTAACGTACACGCGTTAACCCCCCCCCCCCCCACTAAAAAAAACAAGAAGAAGATTACCATGTGTATAGGGACCAGTCCCTGCTTTAAAGGTTAAAGGACGCATGGCTCTATTTTTTGGAACCTTGAAATAAACAAAAATGGTTCTAAAAGCACATATTAATTTAATATGAATGTATATAAAGTGTTTTGTATTCAATTTTTGAAAGAAAAAAAAACAAACTGAAATTTCTAATCAATATGTTCAGTGAAATACGGCAGTCGTTTACGCCTGCTTAGTGCATTGTACACGTTTTTATATTGTAGTTTGTGAATCGGCCTTTACTAATTACTTCCACATTGTGTTGTAGGACATTTTTTTTATTTGTTCATTACAAAATGACCCCAAAACCGTAGGGTACACGTCTCGTGTACTTGTTATAAAATGTTAATTGTGTCGGGGGATCACGTGGCTAAGTGGGTAAGGCGCTGGCTCGCTAGCCTGGAGGTCGGGTGTTCGATCCCTGCATTGGCCGAGAAAGTTCATCTCGATTTTCCGGCGTGGTTTCCCCTTGTCAGTGATGCAGAACGGAGGGCCTGACAAGGACAGTTGCCTAGTTGTTCGGATGGGACAAAAAAAACCGAGGTCCCGTGTACACATTGGCGTGCACGTAAAAGATCCCTTGGCAGTTGGAATTCGATATAAGAGTAGGCCGTAGCGCCGCTGCCCGGGCAAAATTTCCCTCATAGCACACTGTATGGCGTATGCCCGTCTTCAATTAGCCCAGGTTAGGTGCAGAAGAGTAGGACGTTAAACCCCATTTCATTTCATTTCATTTCATGTTAATTGTGTCTTAAATATTGGATGACAACATCAATATTGATTGAAACTGATCAATATTCAATTCTTGTTTCTAATTTCGAATATTATGGAAAATATTGAGTTAGAGACTTAGCTCCTTTAAAACAACAACATCGATAGTTTAAATTGATATGGCGTTTTATTAAAACAGTACCAATTAACCTACTTTCTAATGCTGGATATCTTCTTTGCCATTCATGTAGAACGGGTACCAGGGTCTTAACCGATGTGTCATCTTCACCTGAAAATTAAACTTTATAATTGGATTTGCCTGAATGACGTTCACATTTTTGTATTTTGTGCTCCGAATGTTCGTTTTTATTCATGATTGTTATGGTTACAATGAAATGGTGTTTAATAGCACGTCAGCACATTTATGCCAGAGCTATGGTTAACCTATGGTCGGTGACACACGAAATGAAATGAAATGGAATGGGGTTTAACGTACTACTGTTCTGCCCCGACTGGGCTAAAGAAGGCGGGCCACTGACACACGTACCGGACACGTGTATTCCTCGTGGAATTTTGGCTAGACACTGGGTCAATTCAAGTACGCTTGTGTTAAGGTTGAGTTGTAGTGGTATATAACTGGTGTTCTTTTTAGTACCTTAACCTGAGTTTAAACTAGTTTAATACCAGTGCTAAGACTGGTGGAAAAAATAAAACACTACAACACTAGTGTTATTTTTGACTGTTTTCCCTTTTGTATCCTGCCCTAATTCATTCATTTCGTGTTGCAGATGCAAACAAATTGGAAGATTGACAAGATTATTAATTGCATACAGACCCTAACCAGTAAGGTTGATGCATATAAGTTAGCCACTAAGAAGTTCTCTATAAGCTGGGGGGGGGGGGGGGCGAATGGTTAGCACATGCGCTCTGTATCATAAGGCCTGTCATTGAGTCAACTGACATGGTTTCGAATCCTCGGTTGTACGTGACAAGGAGTAGGGTCGCCTGTCCAACCATCGTGCGTTTTCTATGTCTCCTCCGTTTTCCTCCGACAGCTAAAGACCCCTACGCGCAAGAGAATTATTGAAATAAAATTAAACCATATGTTAGTCCCGAAATGACCTAGTTTGTGTCGAGTGGATGTTAAACCCTCTCTCTCTCTCTCTCTCTCTCTCTCTCTCTATAAGCTGCATTTCCCAATAATACATTATTAGGTTGCATATTGTTTAAATATTTTAAAAAAAAACTCAGCTGACCACTCTGCTGCAGTTTTGTCATGTGCAGCGACGGGTATACCACTTATGATGTGTCTCACCACTGATCTCGGATACACAATATATTGGACATTCAGGACATTACAGAAAGAGGGGTTACACATAGGCATAGCCTGTTCCCCAAATTCAGATTTAATGAATAAAAATACTGTTTAAAACAAATTAAAAAAAAAATTATACTATCAATGTATAATACTGAACACATATTTCTGCCATCGGCTAAATGGATTGGGTTGGCAAATTCAATCGTTGAGGAATTTTATGAATCTGTCCGAAATATCAGACAAAAAATCAGCAACTTCATATGTACTCCTTACAATCCCAAATGCATGGGCTGGCTGACTATATAATAACCACTTCTCCCCGCTTTCGGGAAGTTAAGTAACTGCGATCTATGTTGAATGTATGTTGTGAGGTGTTGTCTCTGTGTATTATATTCAATAGATAGTTTATCTATTTGATCATTATTCTCGTAAATCAGTAGGTCAGCGATCAACATTCATTTCTTTGCCTTATATTTTGGCCAGTTATAGGTAAAAACAGCATTTTACGCCTGGAAACTAAATCTGAAAGCCTTAAGTTAAAAAAAAGAATCCCTTTTTTATCGTCTGATGTTTCACACCAGTGTTGTTATAAATGACTTTGGTTTCGAATCCCCGGTTGTACGTGACAAGGAGTAGGGTCGCCTATCCAACCTCGTGGGTTTTCTCCGGGTCCTCCAGTTTCCTCCCACTGCTAAAGACCCCTACGCGCAAGCGAATTATTGAAATAAAATTAAACCATATGTTAGTCCCGAAATGACCTAGTTTGTGTCGAGTGGACGTTAAACCCCATCTCTCTCTCTCTCTCTCTCTCTCTCTATAAATGACTTGAACTGAGATTTTTTTTTAACCCCTAGCGGTTAGTGTTAGAGTTATTTTTGACAAGATAATAACCTTCATCAAGTTATTATTATCTAATAAGTTTTTATGTTGTTTTTTTTTACAACGGGAAATTGATATTGAAAATATAGACAAACTGAGGGGCTCAGGTATAAATTAGTGTTTGAGTAACACAGATACGACACTAGTGTGTTACTAGTGTAAGTATATCCATGTTTAACACAACCTCAACACCAAAGACCTTAACTCGGATTGATTTAAAATACAGAGGGAGTCTCAGGCTGATCTAACTGGTGTTAAACACTACACCACCTTAAAGGAGCTAATTCGCTAATATTTGGGACCTAGAAATGGACCCAAATGGGTCGCAACGCATATAATAATGTAACCTGATTGTATATGAACTGATTTACATTCAATTGTTTCCGTTTTGACTCTAATTTCAAAACAGTCAGATCCAGCGAAATACGGCATAAGTTTCAACCGAATAGAAATTTCTAGCGTCTGGTTATTCCAGTCTATTCTGCATATCGTATGACATGAGTTGTGGAATATGTCTAGCCTCGCTCTTTCTGGTCACTTGTTTCAAATGATGACGAAACGCACTATGGAACACGACTCGTGTACCAATGGTAAAATGTTTATTTTGTCTTAAATATTGGATATCAGAAGCCTGCCTTTTCCCGGTAAGATTACAGCATCAATGTTGATTTGAATTGACAAATAATTCGTGTTTTCAACGTGTAAGAATTTGTATGAAATTGAGTTAGAGACTTAGCTACTTTAACCCAGGACTTGAACTGACCCACTGTCATTTCCACATGCTCTGCAAAATCCGTCAGACGTTAAATTTAGAAAGTAAGTGCAAGACAAACCGCATTAAAAACAAACCGAACCGATAAGACAAACCAATGACCGGGACGCAAACTACACAGATATTGTAAGCAACAAACAATAAGTATCAAATCAAGTGAATTCATGGATTTTTAGTCTCTTGCAAACAACTACAATGTTTACAGAGAATTAAAAATAGAAATCATTTACTGTTATTAAATTTTATGTAAACGGTTCCACTATTGATTTTAAATATTATTGACATTAAGTTCACTAAATGTACATGACAAGGAGTAGGGTTGCCTGTCCAACCTCGTGGGGTTCCCCCGGGTGACCGGGTCCTTCGGTTTCCTCCCACTGCTAAAGACCCCTACGACCAAGCGAATTATTGAAATAAAATTGAATCCATATAATTATTCCAGTTTGTGTCAAGTGGACGTTAAATCCTATTTTTCTCTCTCACTCACTAATGTCACTGTGCTTGATATGTACGTGACAAGGAGTAGGGTCGACTGTCCAACCTCGTGGGTTTTCTCCGGGTGACCAGGTCCTTCGGTTTCCTCCCACTGCTAAAGACCCCTACGACCAAGGGAATTATTGAAATAAAATAGAACCATATGTTAGTCCTGAAATGACCTAGTTTGTTTCGAGTGGACGTTAAATATTTCTCTCTCTCACTCACTAATGTCATTGTGATAACTATAAGAGAATACTTGTCGAAACGTCGTGCTTTTATAATAAAACTAGTGATTGTTTTCCAAAATAACTGTGTTCTGTTAACGTGTTTCTCGATCGCTAAAAAGATTATACTGTATTTAACTACAATGTTGGAGTTGAATCTGAAAAGAATATTATTCCAAAAATCATATAAGCTAATATGTATCTACTCACGTGCATTTTCTACTCGAAGTGGTATATAGACAGATCTATGTAATACACTATTACCAACACACTCGTTATTACTTTTAGTTGATAAAAACGCCACATTACCATTCTCATCACAAATATCTATAACAGCTACAATATACAAAATGAAATGGGGTTTAACGTTCTACTGTTCTGCTCCGACTGGGCTAATGAAGACGGGCATACGCCATACAGTGTGCCCGGATAGCGGCGCTACGACATACTCTTATATCGAATTCCAACTGCCAAGGGAACTTTTATGTGCACGCCAATATGTACACGGGTCCTCGGTTTTTCGTCCCATCCGAACGACTAGGCAGCTGGCCCTGTCAGGCACTCCGTCCTGCATCACTGACAAGGGGGACAAAATGGAATTAAATGAAGTTTAACGTCTTTCCTTTCTGCACCAACCGGGTTAACGAAACTGGGCATACACCATACCCCGTCTTCATTAGCCCAGTCGGAGTAGAACAGTAGGACGTTAAACCTCAGTTCATTTCATTTCATATGCTGTACGTGGCAAGAAGTAGGGTCGCCTGTCCAACCTCGTCGGTTTTCTCCGGGTCCTCCGGTTTCCTACCACTGCTAAAGACCCCTACGCACAAGCGAATTATGTAAATAAAATTAAACCAAATGTTAGTCCCGAAATGACCTAGTTTGTGTCGAGCGGACGTTAAACCCCATTTCTCTCTCTCTCTCTCTCTCTCTCTCTCTCTCTCTCATTTCATATGTAGGTGGGTAGATATAACAATATGATAGGGGGGACCTAGAACAAACTGCAACAGAAATCATTTCTTTGGGAACTGTTCAGGTATGGTCTCTAGTACTCCCATAACAAAAGCGGCCATTATCGGTCTTGGGGAAATTTGCATAAATAATTTAATTCCAAGATGGCCGCCAGTGGACTAGAAAATCGACGAAATCTCCGAAACGGTTGGCTTTAGTGCAACTAAATGTATTACCGACCTATAGGAAATCGATACTCCCGAGTTCAAAATTGCCGACATTTTTTTCCTACGACCTTATCGTAACCAAAGCCCTATATAAGGAAAGTTCCAGGCGCCATTTTGGATACCAACTATGACGCCACAAAAACCATGGTGTCATACAGCTTTACTTATCATTACAAAACGTTTTATTTACTTCATGCAGCATTATATAGGTGGGGAAAGATATAACGTTTTACCTTAAACAAATTGCACCAATGCAGTTTGGTTCAATGATAAATATGTCAGACAAAATTATACTCAAAATCGGTCGAATTTGGCCAAGGTAAAATGACGTAATCAACATAATTCAATATGGCGGTCTTCAGGAATGTGTTTCAGTGGTGGAAGAATAAATAATTTTTAAATTCCTCAAACACAGAACGATTATGCAAGCCAAATGTGCCTAAAAGTCGAATTTGACAAATATCAATTAAAAAAATGTATTTTTCATATGGTGCCGAGCAGTTCTTTCAAAGTGGCTGCCAAATTTGGTAATATAATGCAATTTAAAAAAACAAACAACATAAATAATATGGTAATAAAAGGGCAGCGATAATTTCATAAGATATGACTTTTGCTATGACTTTTATATGGTTTTCGATGTCCGAATTAAAAGATAAATTTCTAAAATCCAAAATGGCAGCAACACAAATCGGCAGATGTTAATTTAATCGTCATTTTTCCTTGTTGGATATTACTTGTAACATGTCATTTCCACGGTTCTCGATGTCGCCGAGTTCAATACTGATCTCAAAAATGACTCCATGATGGCAGAAGTTCAAAATGGTCGGCAAAGTGTTTTCCAAATTTGCGGAATTTGGTTATATATCTTATATATGTGTTTTGAAGTTGTTGGCACAACTCTGATCTCAAAAATAAATTTCGAGAATTCTTGATGGTAGAAATTCAAAATGGTCGACAAAATGAAATCTAAATTGGTGCTATTTTAATTAACCGTCATTTTTTTCCGTTGGATATGTCTTATATGTGGATTTGGTGGTTTTTAGGGTTACTGAATTCAATGTTGGGTTCAAAACTTAATTTCAAATAGGATTGTCACCCACCAAATTTGTGCGTAAGCTAGAAACATCAGGACAAATTACAGAAATCATCTTTTACGGTCAGTTTTGTAAAAGCAAGGACAGAACCTCACCGGACCTCCAATAGAGTGGGAACCCCTCGCGAGGCCAGGTTCAGAGACCCTCGGCCCCCTAGCTTGTGAAAAACTGTACTACTGGGGTAATCACAAGTGCCGGTCGTGAAATGAATAACAAACAGAAATGAAACCGCAGTAACTATCGGTCTTGATGTTACCAGGGACGGACCGGGAGTCGAGGGTCTCTAAATCATAATGAAGACATCTGAACTCAATCAATCAAATCAATCAACCAGGCTGTTGTCGTTGCATTCACATGTCACCAGAAATTTCACTGATGAAACAAATATGCCCGAAAAACACCCTTTTTTTTTATTTAAATTACACTGATTTTAAATGTTTTATCCATTAGTCAATTTAAAGAAATTTCAATTCCCGAAATATTGATGATACAATTAATGATCGATGACCGAAAACTGTCACACAATCCGGAATATCACCAGACCAAAAGTCATGGAATTTCGAGCACTTTATTTTGCCGGCTAGAAGGCAAATGGGTTTTTCCCCCTCAAAATATTATTCTCAGACTTAAGTTGTGAATTTACTCAAAATTGTTCGCCTTATTTTAACTAAAATATAGCCCTTTATAAAACTTTTGTTGCTTTAATGTATCAAATACATCAATAAGAAACTATGTGCTGGAAAGTTTTGTGTTTCTGCATCAAAGATATTTCTCATAAACAATGATTGAAAGTTGAGCAAATTCTCAACATAAGTCTGAGAATGGTTTGTGAACTAGGGTCTATATTTTTAAAAGCGTATTCAAGTTAACTATCTTTAATAGCGCTTTTATCTGGTGTATCTTTTATTTTGATTTTTCTTATGAATTCAATTAGATTATATGACAATTGTGTGCGCTTTTGTTTTTCGTCTCATCCGAAGATGTACGTTGTCCCCTGCCAGGTCTTCTGCCCTGCACCACTGACAAGGGGTACCACGCCGTAAAATCCCGATGAACTTTCTCGGCCAACGCAGGGATCAAACACTGAACCCCCAGGTAAGCAAGCCAACGTCTTACTCTCTGAGCCACCGTGTCTCCCAGCTATAGATGAACGATGATGTACAGTTTCAGTTTGGATGAAGATGTGTTCTTTTATAGAAATTGTACAGCGGTTCCTGGTTTCAATACAATTTGATAATGAGAACGACGTAATGCCATCAAAATGACGTTACGACGTCATAATAAGGTCGTAGGTAAAAAATGTTGGCATTTTTGAACTCGAGAGTATCGATTTCCTATAGGTCGTTAATACATTTATTTACACTGAAGTCAACCGATTCGGAGATTTCGGCGATTTTCTTATCCACTAGCGGCCATCTTGGATTTATGTTAATTATGCAAATTTCCCCAAGACCGATAATGGCCGCTTTTGTTATGGAAGTACTAGAGACCACACCTGATTTCTGTTGCAATTTGTTCTAGGTGCATTGTTATCTACACCCGCCTAATGCTATGCATTGTGCTATGAGAGAAATTGTGCCTGCCCGGACTGCGGCTCTACGGTCTACGGTTCTTTTACAAGATATTAAATGAAATGAAATGGAGTGGGGTTAACAGGGCATTAGGTAAAATTAGCTAAAGAGCTGACAGTTCTCGCTATAATTATAAGTTAAAATGGGGTTTAATGTCTCGTGAGTACATTATTGTATTTTATTTAAATCCGTGGTTATGCTTGTAAAATTGTAACACGAGAGAGGAGAATTGTAGTTTAACACGCATCGTTTATTTACCAGCATTCGTACGAATTGGCGCACATTTCTTAAATCCGCCCCCCCCCCCCCCCCCCACACCTCCCACCTTGCCGTATTGAAATTAGAAAAGTAACTGCACTTTCGTCCCCCCCCTCGCCCACTTGCTCAGCTACATAATTTTTTTTTTGTAAATCAACACTTTTAATGAGAAAAGTTTCTCGGCCGTCTTTATCCTTTATCGTCAGATAATGGACGGGATGGGCACTCAAATCACGAGATAATGATATAGACATTATGTGATATCACAATTAATGCTTTGCATCCATGAAATTGAATCACAATGTCATTGTATTAATTCATAATAAAAATTGACGTCAAACGAGGTGTTGAATTTCTCTGTTTAAAAAGCTCAATGTGTATGTATATACGCCAAAATGACGACAGAGACAATGTGGGCGGGGGCACTCGGCAAACCTCGGCAGATTCCGATACCCTACATCTGTCGAGGTTTGCCGAATGGGAGGGGGGGGGGGTACATTGTCTCAGGAACCTGGCAAAATTCCTGGATCGGCCTCTGTCATGTTTTTGTTCTTACCACCAGAATCAAAATTACAGACATCTTTTACGTAATCAACAAAATTACGACAACCACAGTCAGCATTTAACAACTTCGTCATTGAATCTGCAAAACACAAAAAATATTTCAATCAATTAGTTGAATTACCGGTATGCCCCAACACAGGTTCCGACTTAGCATCCCACTAAAAAAAAGTTGGACATACGCCTTGCAGTGTGCTGTGGGGGATATTTTGTCCGGTCCATCTGCTCTTCTTCGCATTCCAAATCTCAATAGTCTTTTTATGTACACGCGGCTAGGCAGTTCCCAATCTGTTTCACAGAGAATTACGAGTCTCGTATAATATCTCTGTCATAGATGACTGCCTTAACACGTGCTGTCACAGCACGCGGTGTATATCATTGGCTGAATGGCGCGTGCATTGGTTACATAAGACATAACTGCTTCGGAGAGAATGCTGCATTTTAGTCATTTTAATACCCATTTACACTAAATCGGAAATAATTTTTAACTACAAATACGTCAAACGCCTTTATTTATTTTTCCAATATATACAAAAAATGTTTTAGAATTTAATTTAATTTGTCGCAGGAAAAAAGTTAATATTTCTAGCTCATTAAGCCGCATCAATGTCATCCTTATCAGTGATTGTCGCGGCCAAGCAAATATTCACTGCGGATCAGTGTGGGCAGTTCCATGTCTGTACCACCAACAAGGGGGATAAAGAATGGAAAAACTCTCGGTCATTGAGACAGCGGTTTGTGTACGGTACGACATAAAAAGATTCATTATGTGAGGTCTAGATAAAGAGCTGACCCTAATTCTTGCTATTACAGTTCCAAAATACATAATGCAAAATTAATATATTGAAACTTTCATTCAAATTACTTTATTCTCAGCGAAGTTACCACTGTTTGAAGTTTTGACAAGATGTGGCATATTGTTTATTAATATTATCGTAGCAACAGTAGGTCTACTAGTACTACTTAGTACTACTACGGTACCGGATGCATCTTTAACTTTAATGATATGTCGTCTAATACAGAACAACTTTCAAACCTGTATACTTTAGGTCAAGTCAGTCCTGTGGTGTTTAAAATGGCGAAGGTTTTAACAGGGCAGAGGCGTTTGAAGCAAAAGGTTTTTCTTCTCAATCCTCACATGACATTTGATTTCATATAAATAAAGACGAAACAGATGGGTCTATTTTAGTATTTAGTAGGCTACTTGAATTTCAGGCTTTTCAGTTACTATTTCATTGTAGGAAGCAGGTGTGTTGACGCAAGGGCAGGGTATTCATTGACATTGTTGTTGCTTCACTGTAGTGTTTTGGTTCGCTTAAACTTCTTAAATTTTAGCCATGGTCCAAGAAAGACCGGTAGCCTGGCTAGGCCTAAGCCCCTTTTGACAGGCTTTGATTTGAAGAAGAGGACGCTACGTCGTGAGCCTTGCGTTGTAAATTAATTATAGGCCTATCGTAGATTTTACTATACTTGCCTCCGTATAAAAGAGTTATGAACATGACTGTTTCTAATCCATACTAGGCCAATTCAGATCTTGATCAGAGCAGAAATTCGTCGTAAAAAGTAATAATAAAATACTAAAAACAAAGACAGCTCCACCTGTGTAAAACAAGATCGATAACTCTAAAATCTATTATAGACGTCATCTGCTATCAAAAATGAAATAAAATGAAATGGAGTTTAACGTCCTACTGTTCTGCTCCTAACCTGGGCTAATGAAGACGGGCATACGCCATACAGTGTGCTATGAGGGAAATTTTGTCCGGACAAAGCACTACGGCCTACTCTTATATCGAATTCCAACTGTCAAGGGATCTTTTACGTGCACGCCAATGTGTACACGGGACCTCGGTTTTTCGTCCCATCCGAACGACTAGACAGCTTTCCTTGTCAGCCCCTCCGTCCTGCATCACTGACAAGGGAGAACCACGCCGGAAAATCTGGATGAACTTTCTCGGCCAATGCAGGGATCGAACATCCGACCTCCAGGCTAGCGAGCTAGCGTCTTACCCACTTAGCCACGTGATCCCCATCTGCTATCAAATGTCCACCCCAACGCCATGGACATAATAATAATTATTATTAGTCTATACTCTATCTATCGTCTATCGGAGAGGGTTTATTTTCATTAGAATTTTACAACTTCAACTTTCAACTTTTTTATTTGCATATTACGTCCATTAAGAACATTATACAAAACATACGCATACATCAATATCAGGTATACAGGCAGTGGTGTTTCCCTTTACTCTTTATCGACTTTTAACTGTCAAGGGTTTTTTAGCGTACAAGTTACAGATGTGGTAAATTTTTAGGCCTAGGCCTACTTAGTCTACCTAGTAATAATAATTAATAGTATTATTATTCATAGAGTATACATAATGTAAGTATACATAACATAAAGTAGACAGTAAAATTATTAGGCTAGGCCTACTGTCTATATTATCAAATGTAGTTTTTACTCCGTTCACAAATATATCGAGATCAATTTCAAAATAATATACCTTTTGATTTTTTTTGATTTTTTTTTTTTTTTACGAGGCGGGTGTTTCATTAGACAGTACAGTTACTAGTGGTAATTGCGGACTTACCATTTGCTCCTACAATTGTGATATCGTCGAAAATCTTCCAGCCAATGCTCTGACTGATTAATGACAACCCGACCCTCCAAATGGGCAACGTGAAACAGTTAGCAAAGGTTTTGAAATGTGATGAAAGTTCATAATAATATGCTATATGCTTAATTGAATATTTACAATGGCAGCCCACAAAATGGCGCAGTTTGTAAAACAAATAATTTCTGGGCCCTTATTCACGAAAACTTAAACTAAGATAAAATCGAAATTTTAAGAAATACTGCAATTCAATTGGCTGACCAGTAAAATCCATTTGCATATATCCAATGAAGTTGCAGTATTTCTTAAAATTTCGATTTTATTTTAGTTTAAGTTTTCGTGAATAGGGCCCAGTTCACTGTGTCCGTTATAAATGAAACCCTATTTGACGTATTTCGCCGGGAAATCTGTGACATTTTTATGGAGAGCATTCCCACCCCATACTGGAAAATCCAGGGGCCACGACTGCTGCTGTGCTCAGATCAGTTTATAATTAGGCAATAAAATATCTTGGACTAATAACTAATTTAATTTTCACACCATCATTTTGTCATTTTATGCGAGAAAGAAGAGCATTACGACAAAAAAAGCCCACCACCACCATCCCACCACACACCAACATACACATGCACACACCTCGCTACTAGTAAATTGTGGAGCCGCCACTATGTTTTTATATGTCAATCGACTATAAAATACACGTATATTACATAGACTAGCACGAGCCGTTGAAATAAACACACAATACAAACAGAAGATTGCTATTTGATTTGATTTTATAGTCTTTCTATTGACTACTTCAGGCTTCTACTCCGTTCATTCGCTATATTAAATCTTAATTAAATCATACCGATCACAACACCGAAACATAAACTAAATATTGATAATACACAAAAACACATACTTATGGAAGAAACAGCTACTTATTTATTTTGGCGACGTTTAGAAGAGTATTCTCTTAATGATATCAAGTTATTAGGACAGCAGCGTATCTACCTACTCTTCTTGCGAATTCCAACTGTCAAGGGTTCTTTTACGTGCACTTCAACGTGTACACGGGACCAATCGAACAAATAAACGCTGCCCTATCTCCCCATCCTACACCACAGACAAGTGAATGTCGCATAAGAAAATCCCTTGGAACTTTCTCGACCAACAAAGGGTCAGAAACCGGGATCTCATGGCTAGTGAGCCAGCGCCTAACTCACTGAGCCACCATGGCTCGAAAATTTTAATCGCTATGTGTGTTAGCCTATAAAATACAACCAAAGATGTGTAAGTTATAATGAGATCAACGCGATTTCCAAGCAAATAATGAGCTCGCTCCAAGTCGGAGGAGTGGATTCGATTGCATCGAATGTTTTCTCTGTTTTCTTGGATTATTTTTCGCTGACTGCTAAAGAGATCCGTGTGCATACGGATTCATGAGATAAAGATAAATCATATTTTATCTCGATTGATCTAGTTATGTCATGGTTGAACTCTGTACCCGATATCTTTTCTTCTCCGCAACTGTGAAATCTCATCCTCGGTATCCCCAGTAGTATCATTCAGTAGAAGGAAACGATGCCACATCGGGATACCGAAGATGATAAAAGCTTAGAATGACTAATAGACACAAAATATTAATTTACGGATTGAATTAGAACGGAACGATACCACATGGGGATACCGAGGATGATGAAAGCTCAGCATGACTAATAGACACAAGATATTAATTTACGGATTACATTGTCTTTTATATATTAAAGTTTAATTGCAGGAATCCCTTGAAAACTACAATATCGTGAAAAAGAATCTCTAATGGGAATATCGGTCCACAGAGCGTTCAACTTCGTTCAGTATTTACAACGATATGTTGAACAGAAATTTCATCGATCTATTCTGCTCGCTATGTAATAAGCCCGCCGCTATTTGATTGTCCGCGAATTAATACCGATGGGCCTATTTTATATCCAATTTAATCCAAGCCGCGAGATTATCTAGCGTTGGTATATTTTGTTTCTTAGTTTTAAAAATGTTAAATAAACAATCTGAGTAAGTTAAGCCAAAAAGCAAAAGCGTTTACTTAAAAAAGAAGAAGAGGGGGTTACGGTACCCTTTAAGAAGAGACTTTCTGTAAACTGGGCAAAAAATATCTTCTATTTTTCGGAATAAATTGTCTTTTAAATATCAACTACCCATGTAAATATTTTAAATGAGAAATTAAATTCAAGACACTAAGTTCAACCCTCAGTTACGTTTGTCGCTTTTGATTGAAATGTTAACCCCGACCGTTCCCTTTAAGAAGGGCGTTTCAATAGGTCTTGTATTGAATGGAGTTTATATTAAACCATAGTGCTGTGTAATATAATATCGTGTATATACAGGTATAAGAAAAGACTGAATGGGTGGCTTTATAGTTCAATATGGATATCATGATACCGGACAAACTTCCGTGTATATCAATATAATATATATTTCATGTTATTTCAACACCTCTTTTATTCTGGTATCGCCAGTCGTCATCACCAGGTGAATTGTGTTCAAAAGGATATATTAATTTTAAATAACGATATGGTATCCCCGGTCGTCGGCAACAGGTGAATTGTGTTCAATACGAACATCGTGATATATTTATTTTAAATACGATATGGTATCCCCAGTCGTCGTCAACTGGTGAACTGTGTTCAATACGAACATCGTGATATATTAATTTTAAATATCGATATGGTATGCCCAGTTGTCATCACCAGGTGAATTGTGTTTAATACGATATACTGATTTTAAATATCGATATGGTATCCCCAGTCGTCATCAACAGGTGAATTGTGTTCAATACGAACATCGTGATATATTAATTCTAAATATCGATATGGTATGCCCAGTCGTCGTCACCAGGTGAATTGTGTTTAATACGATATACTGATTTTAAATATCGATATGGTATCCCCAGTCGTCGGCAACTGCTGAATTGTGTTCAATACGAACATCGTGATATATTAATTCTAAATATCGATATGGTATGCCCAGTCGCCGTCACCAGGTGAATTGTGTTTAATACGATATATTAATTTTAAATAACGATATGGTATCCCTAGTTGTCATCACCAGGTGAATTGTGTTTAATACGATATATTAATTGTAAATATCGATATGGTATGCCCAGTTGTCGTCACCAGGTGAATTGTTGTCAATACGATATATTGATTTTAAATATCGATACTAATTAACCTTGGATTTGTATATATTTATCACAGCAAGGTAAGTCTTAACATTTTTTTTTTTTTTTTTTTGGGGGGGGGGGGATCACGTGGCTAAGTGGGTAAGGCACTGACTCGCTTGCCTGGAGGTCGATTGTTCGATCCCTGCATTGGCCGAGAAAGTTCATCTCGATTTTCCGGCGTGGTTTCCCCTTGTCAGTGATGCAGAACGGAGGGCCTGACAAGGACGAAAAACCGAGGTCCCGTGTACACATTGGCGTGCACGTAAAAGACCCCTTGGCAGTTGGAATTCGATATAAGAGTAGGCCGTAGCGCCGCTGCCCGGGCAAAATTTCCCTCATAGCACACTGTATCGCGTATGCCCGTCTTCATTAGCCCAGGTTAGGTGCAGAAGCGTAGGACGTTAAACCCCATTTCATTACTTTTCTTAACATTTTATATATAATAGTGATATGTAATAACAATCGGTGGCGTGTGTGTGTGGGGGGGGGGGGGGGGTCGAATCCAGGAGTGAAATTATTATTATTATTTTTAAATTTAAGTTTTAATCCAATGTTGGAAATCGTGACACTGGATTAATATTTCCAACAATGTCATATTTCTCATTTTTTTTCTAATAAAATGTTGGAAATATTAAACATACATTATGCAAGAGCTAAATCTGTCTGTTGCAGATCTTTCTTTAGGCCTGAAATGTTATCTAAATTATTAATTAGACATTAATTAACCTATCCAGACCATAATCAACTCTACATGGCATCGCTAGCCTGCTATCTTAAGTGGATTATAACTTTCCTTCACGATTTAACGATTAAATGGATAATCGAGACTATGCTGTTTATCGTACTGACTTTAGTAATGATGAACGAGGCTAGGGTTCATAGCGGATCAATTTGAATGAAATTTTCAGCAAATTGCCTTTACGTTATCTAGTTTTTAACTATTATAATGAGAACTGCCAACTCTTTATCGAATTTCCCATAATGTATCTTTAATACAATGTCATGATTTCCAACAATGTCAAATTTCTATTTTATTTTTTTTTAATGGAGAATTTGACATTGTTGGAAATCATGACATTGGATTAATATTGGGTGTGTGAATGTAATATGTAGGCCTACCTTACTATAGAATATATATACACCATCACATTTATATCAACCCTTTTCATCGCTTTGCCATTTAAAAAAACGTTATAAAGGGATTCAGCCATCTAGAACCTTATTCTTGTACACATTAACTGTACCTATATATAAGTTAAGCATTAAGCTTTTTGCCTAATTTATTATTTAGCTCATCCCTTTCAATATTTACCTCTTTCCCATAAGCACCGCCAACATCCTAGGTCAGTGCTTCTGTGGAGACTTAACCTCTCCCCAAAATTCTTAAACCTAACCTACAATCTCGCGAAAAATCGCGTGCACTAACCTTATTTACATCTCAGCGACCCTGACGAAAAATGAACTGGCCTTAACAATTAGATTTAGCCCTTTAGAATATTCTATGTCGGAATGTGTGGTGCCTCCGATACCCAGACATTGTCTAGAACAATCTTCGTAAGATGTATTTGGCCGATATATTGTAGAACAATTAGACGTAATCCGTTGTCGGTAGTATACACATATCACATATATTTTGGTCGGAATGTATATAAAAGACGACTTTAGAGCGGTGGGGCGGGGGTGGTTATGGGGGAGGGGGGTGGTACTCCGAAAGCCATAATCAAAGGTCAAAGGTCATTTATTCGCTTATTAAATAGCTACACAGGCAGCGTATATTCAACTTTCAAAAACGAGCATTGAAGTTTAGTAATAAGGGAAATAACAAATTATCGCCAGTAATCACAGAACTCCCCCCCCCCCCCCTGATATAAGCAAGCACCATTACCACAGCTTTAATATGTAGGCGTAAAACGTGTATTTTTAAAATCATTAAACTGTTTCAATGACTTTGAACTGGACCGTCACAGAACACATTTCTATGGAGGGAGAGAGAGAGCGAGAGAAATGGGGTTTAACGTCCACTCGACACAAACTAGGTCATTTTGGGACTGACATATGGTTTAATTTTATTTCAATAATTCGCTTACGCGTAGGGGTCTTTAGCAGTGTGAGGAAACCGGAGGACCCGGATAAAACCCACGAGGTTGGACATTTCTGTGGAATACAATTACTGTTTATTACTGAGGAAATGAAATGAGATTGGGTTTAACGTCCTACTGGTCTGCCCCGACTGCGATAATGAAGACGGGCATACGTCATACATTGTGCTACGAGGGAACTTTTGGCCGGACAGCGGCGCTATGACCTACTTTTATTTTGAATTCCAATTGTCAATGGTTCTTTTACGTTGTTACTGAGGGTGCGATTTGCTAGGTTTGCGCTGTGGAGATACTTGGTTTGGGCTATCGATTTGCCGAGTTTCCACTGTCAATTACTGAGTTACCACCGTAATTAGCTGGGTTTAAACTGTCGATTTACTGGGTTTACGCTGTCGATTTCTTTGTTTAAACTGTCGATTACTGGGTTTGAACTGTCGATTTAATTATACTGGGTTTGAACTGTCAATTTAATTATACTGGGTTTGAACTGTCGATTTAATTATACTGGGTTTGAACTGTCAATTTAATTATACTGGGTTTGAACTGTCGATTTAATTATACTGGGTTTGAACTGTCGATTTAATTATACTGGGTTTGAACTGTCGATTTAATTATACTGGGTTTGAACTGTCGATTGCTGTGTTTAGACTGTTGATTTACTGGGTTTAAACTGTCGATTTGCTGAGTTTCCACCGTTGATTAACTGGGTTTAAACTGTCGATTCCTGTGATTAAACTGTCGATTTCTTTGTTTAAACTAACGATTTACTAGATTTAAACTGTTGATTTACTGGGTTTAAACTGTTGATTTACTGTTGATTTACTGGGTTTAAACTGTTGATTTACTGGGTTTAAACTGTCGGTTTACCGAGTTTCAACTGCTAATTTACTGGGTTTACATTTTATTGATTTGCTGCCCCACTGTCGATTTGCTGAGTTCTAAACGTTCATTAGCTAGGTTTAAACTTTCGTTTTACTGGGGTTACAGTGTCAGTTACTGGGTTTACACTGTCGATTTGCTGGGTTTACGATGTGGATTTTCTGGGTTTACACTTTTGGATTTGCTGTCTGAAATTCGTCTATAGTCCAAATGCTAAAATTGGAGTCGTTAACTGTTGTAAACAGATACGCTTCGGTAACTTCTATAATTGGATACATTATAAACAAGTTCACATTGATGATGATGAATTTCCATCGATTTCAGCATTAAACCCAAAGACATGTAACTACACCCTGTCGAACAGTGCAAATAAGATACTTATATTATCCCGATTTCTTATATAATTTTATTATTCCGATATATGATTAAAATTTATTTTTATCCTTTGTGATATTTGTATGTAATTGTAATGTACACCGAAGCACTTTGCTGAATACTTCGCTATATAGATGTTTTTAAATGATAAAAAAGATATACTATGTGTAATGATTGAGCCCCACTTTAGCTATTGAGTCTAAACCACGACATGTAACAGTACACGGTTGGCTAGAGACACTGAGATATATTTCTATAGTGGAGTTATTTACACAAAATACCAGTTTGAATATATACCCACGATAACTTATCCTTCGTCTATTGTCTACCTGTATGCCACGCCTTTATAATATAAGGCCTGTCTTTTACCACCAGTTGTATTAAGCGCACTGCTCTGACCCCAGTGACGCCACAAGGCACATAAACGTGTGATTATTATTTATTTAGTTTTAGTCTAGATATATTGAGAAAATCAGATTAAAGGGATTATATTTAATTCATCAAAAGTAAGTTAAGTTTAGTACCATAATTATGTTTTAATATATATGTGTATTTTTATATATTCATGGTAATGTCCGATCTTAGTTTACATCCAGGAAGTAGACAAGTTTTTCCAGGGTTAGGGTTACGCTGGAACTATACCAGAGAGCTTTACGGGCCACGAAACTTGTCTAGATTGTTTCAATGGCATTTAGTAATTGAACTAGAGTATACAGATCACAATTCTATGGAATACAATTACAGCTTATTACTGAGCGACGTTTCGACTAGGCTTCTCTAGTCATTATCAAGCAATGATAAAATTTGAAAATGTGATAAGACAATATATAATACATGTACACAAGGATACTAAGTTAATGCTGACCAACCAGAGATACCCCTACATGTACTTCAAGGGAATCTAATTGGTTGGTTGGTCAGCAGTAACTAAGTATTGTTGTGGCTGACGTGTTGTTGTCAAGAGAATAGGCGGAAATAGGCCAATCGTTTTTCGGATGTAACCATAAAAGAAATTAGAGTTGCAACCCTTTCGTCTGAATATAATGGAATTATTAAGTTCACGAGATCCCTCTCCATTATTTACATAAGTTTAATTATTGTACACAATGAAACCCCATTTCATTAGAAGGCTGTTGTATATTTTGTATCTTCATTGTACTGCAGTTGTCATTGTTTGCTTGATAAATTCGAGAGAACCCTCGTCGAAATGTCGCCAAAATAAATCCTTCAAGTAACTTGTATTCCATAAAATTGTGTCATGTATTATTCTCATCCAGTTACTGAATGCCACTTTAAAGGGACAATAACAATCTTGCTGGCTTGACAGCTCCAGAAAATAAAAAAATAGCCCTATTCTAAGTACTAGATGTGTTAGTGTCCTAAAAAATAGCCCTATTCTAAGTACTAGATGTGTTAGTGTCCTACCTGTTGTGTAAATTATCCATTAAATCCTATTTAACTTGTCCAGAGGGTTTAAAAATATTTTTAAATCCAAGTCACATTTGAAAAGCTCTACATCAGGCTTTTCAAATCATTTAGTTGAATTTTTCCAATTTTTTAAATTAGGTGTGTTAAGATGAAATTTGTATCATCAATTAATTAGAATATTGTAAAATAGTACAATTTGTTGACCAGAATAAAGATTGGGGCATATTATTCAGTTACAACAAGAGTGGTATTGAGCCTTTAACAAAATATATAATATTTGGTTTGAGTCATGCTGAATAATTTCACAGTTATACGATACAATGTGTTTATAGACAAAGTAATGGATTGATTAAACATACATTATGCAAGAGCTAAATCTGTCTATTGCAGGTCTTTCTTTAGGCCTGAAATGTTATCTAAATTATTAATTAGACATTAGTTAATTTATCCAGACCCTAATCAACTCTCGATGTCATCGCTAGCCTGCGATGTTTATTGAATTAGGTAAATAATTGCTGCCCGACTTCCATTCATGATTTACAGTAATCATGAAATGGATAATTGCGACTATGTTTTTAAATCGTACCGACTTTCGTAATGATGATCGATACTAGGCCCAAAATTCAATCGCTAAAACCTCGGTTCATAGTGGATCAATTTGACTGAAATTGTCATCAAATTCCCTTTACATTATCTAGTTTTTAACTATTATAGTGAGAACTGCCAGCTCTTTATATAATCGCCCATAATGTATGTTTAAGAATTTAATAAAATTACTTAAATGATGTTCCGTGGTTTATTAACTATACTTTCGATACTGTTAAAGCAACAGCATTTGTCACCGCTGCCTCTCACTTGAAAATTTGCTTTTGCCGTTCGAGTGTGATTTTGTAGGTGCTTCATAGCCAAAAAAAAGACTGTCTTTTTAATGTCTATGCAAAATGTTTTTATTTATATAAGCATAAAGTAATGGGGACAGGTAATTACTTTCAATGTAATGGGTAATGGTAACTGATTACTTTCAATGTAATGGGTAATGGTAATTGATTACTTTCAATGTAATGGGTAATGGTAATTGATTACTTTCAATGTAATGGGTAATGGTAATTAATTACCTTCAATGTAATGGGTAATGGTAATTGATTACTTTCAATGTAATGGGTAATGGCAATTGATTACTTTTAATGTAATAGGTAATGGTAATTGATTACTTTCAATGTAATGGGTAATGGTAATTGATTACTTTCAATGTAATGGGTAACGGTAATTGATTACTTTCAATGTAATGGGTGATGGTAATGAATTACATTGCTAAAAATGAGAAAGTAATTGTAATGAGTATATTTAAGAAGGAATGGTAATGTAATTAATTACATTGACAATGTAACGTAACGTGTTCACAAGACCTCGGTGTTTTGTTCCATCCAATCTAACATGGGTAATTTCTTAAGTCGTTCGGATGGGACGAAAAAAAACTAAGCCTGGTGTATTTGGAAGAAGAATAGGCAAATCTATCACTCGCAACAAAAATGTAACTTTATAAATCCAAATTATCACGTGTTACCCTCAAAACGACGCTTTGATGATACATAAATATACCATTTAGAGTTAAATAACTAAATAAGAGGTGCCCAAACGGCCTTCAACGGTGTATTAACATGTAATTGTATAGCTTATACCCCTAGTCCCGCTCACAGTTGTTTTTTACCCGGTGTTGAAATACTTTTATAATAACGAAATACTTTTGTGATTGATTACCCAACCGAGTGACATAAAAGAAGGTTTCATTGTGTGGCATAATATAAATATATATATATATATATATTTATGTCTAGTAGAGGGTGTACCACGATATTGAATTACCACGTGTGAGTATTAAAAGCATTTGTCATGTCTGTCCTAGAAGAAGGGGTTGGATGACCGAATGGTTAGCATGTGAACGCTGTATTATAAGGTCTGTCATTGAGTCAACTGGCGTGGTTTCGATTCTCCGGCTGTACGCGACAAGGATTAGGGTCACCTGTCTAATCTCGTGGGTTTTCTCCGGTTTCCTTCCGGTTTCAATTGGTGCATCAAGAATAATTCTTGCTGCCCTCATTTGTAATTTTAAAAGAATGTCTAATTTACTTTTGGTAGCATTCCCACAAATAATAGAGCAATAATCAATTATTGGTAGCATGTAACTGTTATAAAACAAAATTCTTGTCTCGTAAGGTAAATGATCTTTTATCTTATTTAGGAGAAATACTTTTTTAGACATATCTGCTATTTGTCCTTCCCAATTAAGGTCTTGGTCAATTTGAATTCCAAGTAATTTTGCGGTAGTAACCGTCTCAATTTTCTCACCATGGAGACGGCCTACAAACTGGGAAGCTCGTTTCGAAGGGCCTGCTCATATTCCATATAATTATAGTTGAAGCTGTAGCTAGTCGAGTTTCCAATTCCCTTACTGCTCGACTGCTGCTGCCACACTGATCCGCAGTGAATATTTGCTTGGCCGCGACAATCACTGATAAGGATGACATTGATGCGGCTTAATGAGCTAGAAATATTAACTTTTTTCCTGCGACAAATTAAATTCTAAAACATTTTTTGTATATATTGGAAAAATAAATAAAGGCGTTTGACGTATTTGTAGGTAAAAATTATTTCCGATTTAGTGTAAATGGGTATTAAAATGACTAAAATGCAGCATTCTCTCCGAAGCAGTTATGTCTTATGTAAACAATGCACGCGCCATTCAGCCAATGATTCACACCGCGTGCTGTGACAGCACGTGTTAAGGCAGTCATCTATGACAGAGATATTATACGAGACTCGTAATTCTCTGTGAAACAGATTGTGCTGCTGCCTCTGAGACTGACGTATTAGTAACTTTAATAACAACTCCTATATGATGAACAAGAAACAGACCTTAACGTCTTCGCAGCTATACCCAAACGTCATATCGCAGCTTTAATCTCGATCGTGTTATCGAATTGCCGGAGTCTTAGGCCTATTTTCCGAATACCGTCGCCTGATTACCAAGTGTATTGAATCACTTCCCGGTGCAAAATATATCATATATTGGTCCCGAAATGAAATAGGGCATTAAAATGTCTCACTGTTTTGTTCCGACTGGGCTATTGAAGACCAACATAGGTCATACAGTGTGCTATGGGGGAAATATCTCCCTGACAGCATAACTACGGGCTACTCTTTGACGTGCATGTCAATGTGTACACCGGACCCTCGGTTTTTCGTCCCATCCGAACAACAATACCAGGCCCTTCGTCCTACACCACTGACAAGATCTCAAAATCACCTAGTTTATAAACAGATATCAAACTACGTTTATCTCTTCTTTGATTGGCATTTAGTAATTGAACATATTAATACAAGGTACAATTTTATGGATACACAATTACAGAGTTTAATACTAAGCGTTTATATCATCTGTCCGTGTAAAATGTACACATAAATAAAACCCCTTTTACTATCTGATTTTAATTTTCTTTTTTTTTTATCTCCGTTGGTTACAATAGAAATTAAGATTGTAATCTTTTCTCACGGGAAAATTTATCAAAAAAAAATAAAAAAAATAAATGAAAATAAAATTGATTGTAAATGATATGAAATAAATTTATTCATGGCATCAACCAAACATTGTAGCTTATTTTCTTTCAAACGGGAGCCACCGTTGCTCAGTGAGTAGGATGTCTCGTGTTTGATCCCCGTGTTGACTGAGAAAGGTTTGGCAAGGGACAACGTATAGTCGTTCGGATTGTACGTAAAACCGAGGTCCGATGTATACATTGGTGTGCACGTAAAAGAACCCTTGACCGTTGGAATTAGATATAAGAGTATATAGGTCGTATTGCCGCTGCCCGAGAAACATGTCCACCAGAGAGAGAGAGAGAGAGGGGGGGGGGGTAACGTCCACTCGACACAAAGACTAACATGTGGTTCAACTTTATTTCAAGGGCACTGTAGCAGTGTTGAGAAACCGGAGGACCCGGAGAAAACCCACCAGGTTGGACAGGCGACCCCACTCCTTGTCACACACAACCGGGGAATGGAAACCACGCCACTTGACTCA